GAACTGAGTTTGAAAAGCCTGAACTATACAACAGGACTTTGTCTCAAAAACCAAAAACAGCCAGCGTTTCCCGAGATTGTGCCATTTTGGAACTTATGGTGCTACGAAACCAAGCAACCAGCTCGCCTCCCTGGTAAGTGGCTGTGAGCCTACTGGCTTGCGGGCTGAGAATCAAACATCCCTCCCCCCACCCCATTAGCAAATGGGAGCCAGAGGCTTGAGCATCTCTTGGGAGGTTGACCATATGCAATATAGCAAATGGGGGGATTTCCTTCTATCATCTCTATGAAGGCAAATATTGTTATTATTGTTTTGCTTTGATCTGATTAATTGTATTGCTTTATTCAATAGTCTGTTTTGATAGGTTTTATGATGTTCTGTATTTGGTTTGATTTTGCTACACCTGATTGAAAGGACAACTATTGTGAAGGTAACAAGACACACTATGGTACCTATTACTGTTATCCTGGTAGCCTGCTGTGAAGTTCTGTACCAATTTCACTGCATTGTCTCGATTGGCTTTGTTCTGTGTTGTTCTGTTGAATTTACCTCCTTCAAAATAAACACACACACACACACACACACACACACACACACACACACACACAAAACAAATAAACTTCCCACCACAAAAAAGCATCCCAAAAATCCAAAAAAGTTTAGGATGTCAACTTTAACAGAACAAAGCTTACAGATAAGACAACACATTGTCAGATCTCTTCTAAGACACAACCTGTTATAAATGTCAATTTTCAGGTTCTAGCCAATTTAAAAAGAGAAGGAAAGAACACAAAACTATATAATATGATTCTGCTTTTGTGGGTGTACCTTTTTAAGAATCCTGTAAGACCTTGTTATGATTAGCGCATTCTCTCATTAACTTTCGCAGGTTGGGCCTCCAGCCCGACTCGGGGAGAGCTGCCCTTCACGGTCTCGAGCACAGCCTGCCTCTCCAGTTCTTTCCCCGTCCTGGTTTGAAATCTTCAGGGTACGAGTCTCAGACTTCTGCTAAGTTTGAAAGTATAGCAGTTCCCCCTTACTGGGGGGAAATGTTCCCAGACCCCTGATGGATGCCTAAAACTGTATTCTTTTGGATGTCAGAATTGAATTTTATTTCACATTAATAGGAATTGCGAAAACCATTTACACTGTCCCACATTACAGCACAACATTTCCATGGCGAAGTTTTTGCTATCTTACCGATTTGTATAAACTGATCTAAGTCTACAGTTCTTCAAGGTAAAGCAGAATGACTTAGTAAATGATTGTTTAAAATAGAAATAAACATACGGCTTCATGATAAACATCCTATGTAGTCTGTTACTACATTACTTAAGTGATCAGTTAACACCATAAAAACGCATTCTTAATATTGTTTTGGTAAGTTGAAATATGGCAGAAAAATTAACATACTTCAAAAATATTAAGCATATATTTTTGCTACATTTTAAACTGTATGGTAATTATACCTTATTTATAGGGTTCTGATTAACCTTTATTACCCACAAAATTGTTTTCAAATAATTTTTTACTATTAAACTGGAAAACTTGACTATTTAAAATCAAATGACTGTCATTTTTATGTTTGCACAAAAGACTGATTTTTAAAAATAATTTGAAGTGAAAATTTCAAGCAAGACCATTGGAGGATAAAAATAAAGCAGTTTTGTTTAATGGATCATTCATTTTCTATAGCAGTTGGTTTCAACTCTATGTGCAGAAAAAGTAAACAAGGTGACAAAGAGGCCCGATAATTCTGGAAATTAGTTTTTAAGATCAGTGTTAAGTATTTCTGCACACACCAGAATATGATCTAGTTATTCATCCAATTGCTTACAGAAAAATAATGTTTTATTATCAGAATTGAAGATTCTAAGTGTCTAAATTTGAACATATGATTTAAAATATATAAAGTAAGAAGTGTAAGTAATGTTTCATTTCTTCTAAAATGCATATAGATTCTAAATATCATATGTCTGTAATTCAGAACGTCAAATTACAGCACGTATTGATAGTAGATGTTTATGGCAGGGAGGCGATACATTTGGTCTGCTCTGAAGCATAATCAGGGCTGGGGGTTTAGCTCAGCGGCATAAGCACCTGCCTGGCAAGTATGAGGTTGTGAGTTTGATCCCCTGTACCAAAAGAAACAAAAACAAAACAGTAATCACAAAGAAATCATAGAGAAGAGAAAATACTAAATAGAATAATATCAAGGAAAAGAAAAACTTGGTCCCTCCAATAAAGGGCCATTAAATGAGGAGAGCAGTGTTACTCTTTACAGAAAAAGCATTATCCCTATTATCAAGAGTAATGTAATAACATCTAATTCATACAGAGTGCAATCGTTATATATAATACAGATACTGCATGGTGACTAAGCAACTTTGGAATAAATCCACAGATGAAGTCACAGCCTGCATAAATCACTTATACCGAAACTGTTCATTTTACCTGAACAAATTTTCATACTGGTAATTTCCAGACGCAATAGAAAAAATCTGGTTGCAACTGTTAATTATTTTGCTGAATTATTTTTGAGGGAAAAAACCTAGCTGCCTCACCTATTTTAATACTAGTGTATTCTGGATCACATTATGCAAACACATGTATAGAAACTTCAAAATTTCCCACAATGAAACGTTATTTGTTATATATCATTGATGTGTATTAGCAAGACATTTTAACACTGCCCACATTAGAAGTTTTAAGACTGGACTTTGGGAGAAGTTTATGCTCTGCCTCAAGGTTGCTGGTGTGCTTGTCACAAGGCCTCTTGGTGACACCCATCAACTGGAGGTAGGCATTCAGCCACGAATGGCTTGACATCCATCATTTCCTGTCGACATGAACGTTCCTCTGCCCTCGTAGGTTTTGAAGGTTACACTGGGCAGATTTACCAATGATTTTAGTTTTTCAGCAGTGAGGGAACCAAACATTAGGGAAACTAAAGGGTCACAATCTCCATGGCGCTGGAGAATAGAAATACCTTTGACACCACTGATGGGCCCCCGCGGAAAGCCAGCCCGAAGTGGAAGCCAGCAGCTCAGGGCAGTGACACCCGCCAGAGTCTGCCGTGTGCTTAGAGCAGTGTATAAAGATCTTTGTTCCTCCCTGAGAATATTCTCCCCAATAATTCTGTTAGCAGGAAAGCCATTCCTCAGCTCCTCATCTATGAAAGCTTTTACATTTTCTGCTGCTCGTTTAATTCCAGGTTCATCCTCATGAGAAGCTGGTGAAAGCCCAACAATATCAAACCAAGAAGGCACAGCCATGTCCACGTTTAATGCTACAGGCCCCAGTGGGCAGATATGTTTGGTGTGCGCACTTCTAATACCTACAGAGGCTTCTGCCCGTCCATGCCCAGCGCCTCCCAGCCCATGAAGGAAAATCACTGCGGCGGGCACCATGGCTGGCATCGGAGCAGCCGTGTTATCCGACACACCCACCGGCTTGGTGGACAGCGTGTCCCTAGGACTTTAAATGGTACTGGATCACACGTATCCTGTGTTTTTTCCCTAGACAACACAAAACACCACAGTTGCAATTTGAGGCCATTCAGTAAGATAAGGTTACTTGAAAAAAAGTACCAAATTCGTTGGGCAATCTGATATCCAAGAGGGTGACTAGGCGACCAAGGGGAAGGAAGCATGTGTGCGCACACGTGTGTGTGCACGTGTGGGTGTGCATGTGTGCAAGGGTGTGCAGCACAGACAGTACACAAAGGGATGAGTCATGTCTGAGATAGGATCGAACAGATTTTTTTTTTGTCTTTTTTCCTTTTTATGGGTACCAGGGATCGAACTCACGAACAGACTTTTTAAAGACATCCTGGCTTTGGAAAAAAGCAGAAGCCTGGGCCAGGGATTTAGCTCAGTGGCATAAGCACCTGCCTTGCAAGTGCATGGTCTTGAGTTTGATCCCCGGTACAAAAAAAGAAAATCAGAAACTAGTCAAGCAAAACAGATTCCTTGTAAAACTTACAATGGTTTTAACAATATTCTTTGGTTTTTGTTTATCTTGAGACAGGGTCTTGTGACACAGTTCAGGCTGGTCTTGAACCCATTATGTAGTTGAGGCTGGCCTCAAACTCACGGTGATCCTCCTGCCTCAGCCTCCTAAGTGCTGGGTTTACAGATGTGAACCCCTACTTAATGATATCCTTAAAAAATGACAGAATTCAAATGTCAATATCTTTTGTCATAGGATCAATAACCCAAAAATATAAAACCATTCTGTTAAGTATATTCTACGTGCAACAATGTAGAATGTGTTTTCCAGCCATGTGCTTTTTACAAATTACACGAATGTTTTATACACATGGATAATTCAGTTTTGTGGAAGTTGTTTTTAGTATTAGGAATCAAATCTGACTTCGCCCAGGCTACCCATCATGGTACCTCCAGCTCATTTATCCACACCCCTCTTTTTTAATATTCAGAACTGAACCTAAGGCTTTACATATGCTAGGAAAGTTCTCTACCACTGAGCTATAGCCCCAGGCCCCAGTTCCTCATTTTTTAACAATATATTTTGAGAAAGTTATTAATTTTATTTCATCAGGCTTGCTTTGGATGTGGCTTGATTTTCAAAGGTTCACATGTTGGTCTCTAATGTGACAATACCTAAGGGGTGGAACCTTTAAGAGTTGAAATCCTATGGAAATGTTTAGATCATGAGGGCCCAGCCCTTGGAAAGGATGGATCAACTTGACCCTCAGGGGTGGGCTGTTACAGTGTGAGGCCAGTCCATGTGCCTTGCCCTTTCTGCACAGATCGAGTTTCCTTCTATTCTCTGCCATGTGGTGACACAGCCAGGGTTTTCTACCAGGATCCTGGCACCATGCTGTTTGGACTCTCCAGTCATTAGAACCGTGAGACAAGAGACAAACAAACCTCTTTACTTTATAAGTTTCCAGTCTCAGGTGTTTTGTTAGAGTAACAAAAAAGAGATGACAATAAGGCTTATAAACTCTAAAAAATCCTTCAGGAACATGAAACTCGTTTCAATCACAGAATTTTAATATCTAGTCGTTGTTTTGGACAGTGAACATTACAGACTTATCCCCATATTCATCCTTGTTTTTCAGAATAAGTTTGTAAATGTTTCTCTCTTTTTGACAAGCTAGAAAGTAGCCTTTATACAATGAAGACTCAAATTGCATCTTATCATCATGTCCTGGAACACTTCTCTGGAAGAATATTATGTCACTTTTTGTGTCATTGATATTATCAGGAGGATTGATTTCCTAGAGAGAAAAAACAACATGACCTAATTTTTAAAGGACAGAAACAATTTGAATACACGTAGTTCATTTAGATGCATATTACTGTACAAAACTAGCTGCTTTTTAAGTTAAGAAAAATAATCTCTGACCACAGGAACACCCATCGCTCCTGAATTCCTCATCTTCTGTTCTTTTTGTCTACCCCGGTATTTTCCATCATGGAAAGCGCATTCAGATCCAGGCCTTTCATTTCCCCTGTCACCAGACAGCTTCCTGCTCTGCTCTTCAGCTGATGAGCCTTCTCTGCTCCAGAGGACGTGGAGCTCTAGCAGAGACCCCCGCCTCTTGTGTAACGGCAGTTACTGCCCTGTCTGACCATTCATGGCTTAAGGCATCGATGGCCTCTCCCACACATCCAGGTAGCTCTAGTTGCTGAGTCCACTGTGAGAGAGGCCAGAAATGTTAAGAATCTCAGCGCCTTTTGGTAGAACTTGAAACTAAAACTTAGATTCATTAACCCAGTAGTTTTCCGGGCTGGGCCCTGGGTTCTTTTACAGCCCTGCGGTACTGGCTAGGTCAGTGGCCCCTGACTGTTTCCCCACAAATGCACAGCTCGGTCACCTTGCACTTCTGTCTTGACTGCAGACGACTTGGCCAGGGTCTACCCTGAAAGGCCGCAGACTGACTCCTGGTTATTCAACCAGAAAACACAGCCTTGAGACGAATGATTCGGCTACCGGAAACTGTTACCCTGCTGGTCATCTAATCAGTACTGGCTACACATGTCCTACTGTTCCACCATGCCTACTTTTCAGGACTGACTGGTAAATGCGGGAACTTCCCAGGGTTCCTCCATGTTGATCTGGAACCAGCAGACTTTTTGGACTTAATTCTGACCCCACGGGAGCAAAGATTCCCATTATTCTGAGGTCTGATAGAGTTCTAGAATAGCATTCCACCCTCTCCTAGGATGCCCGAAGGCCCGCAGGGTGGGAACCCCTCTAACTTAATGATTGTCCTAACTCCTGATCTCTCCTTTACCAACAAACGCAGGTCCTTGAGTTGGTGACAGTATAAACTGGTTACTTCTGGGGTATTAACAGTAAATCACAATTTAAGAAAACACTAAGCTGCAGGAGTCAGTCTGTAACTAAGCTGAGGTCTAACGTATAAATAAAAAGAACCCTTCGCCAAAAGGTCAGAAGCTCCTGTAATTTTACAGAGGAAAAGGATCTGTTAGATCCAACTAGCCCAGCAAGTTTCAGTTGAAGGTGTGAGTGTGGATAGGTGGAACAGGAGAGCTCCTTAGCTGTAGTTCAGGGTTTCACTTCAGAACCCAAGTCAGAAAACCCTGGGCGTGTTCCTCAGTCTTGGTGATGGCTACACAAAGCCGAACATAACAAATGGAAGTGTGGTGACAATCCTGGTGACCCTGAAGGACACTCAATTTGGAAAGTGAAGCTTGAGGACTCTAGGGACTGAGGATTCTTTACACGAGGAGGCGCTAAATCTGGACTCAGGGAGCGTTAAGCTCGACTTCCTATCTGTTCCTTTGGCCTCTCCCAACTGCATACAAAGCTTGGTAGGACCCTGGCCAAGCCTGATGCATATGTAAGCAAGAGACACTGACAGTAACCTTTGGAAGCAAAGCCTTCTACATGTTGTCCAAAGAATTTATCACTAGTGATTTGATCTTTTATTTTTATGTTTTTGGCATTGGGACTTGAACTCACAACCTTGCACGTACCAGGCAGGCGCTGTGCCTCTGAGCTATCCCCAGCCCCTCACGAGTGATTTTAACACAGAAAGGTGAGTCCATGACGGGAGTGAGCTGTGTCTGACCACCGAGAACCTAGTCTAAGGTGACCGCTGCGAGGCTCAGTGTAGAGGGGAAGGGGAAGGGCAGGCCCCAGCACTCGTCCTAACCTCCGCTTTTCCCTTCCCTCTCTTCCCCCTTCCTTCTTTCCATTTATTTAAACAGTATTCACGGAGCTCCTTCTGGTAGATTTGCTGTAAAGCTGATTCGGCTTCACTGTTGGAGTCGCCCACCTTTATAGGTCTCTTTAAGGTTCTCTTTTTTCAAAAAAAATTCTAAGTAACTTGTAGAGTTTACAACTTTGGTGATTTTATGTTCTCTTTCTTTAAAAGAGATCAAAAATTACACAAGCTTCAAGCTGGTCTCAGTCTGAATTTCTTCCAATGTCTGGAATGTTCCATACATTATCTCAACCTGCTCAACACTCCCACCGATCAATCCCAACTAAGCTTCCTGCCTGTCAGGTCTAGAGCTGAGATTCCAGACTGCACGCACAAGGGCTGGCACCCAACTTAGGAGGAAACAGCGAAGAGAGCTGTCTGGAGGCTGTCTGTGTTGGATTTGTACTGTGACTCAGTGGACTATATTTTAGAGTGGCTTTTTTTGGGTCCCTCCCAAGTTGCCGCTTGGCATCTCCACTGAGGTCCTACCCCAGCTTTCAGTGAGGGCTGGTGATTCGGACTTTAGTCCTTAACTGGCAAATCCCTGCTCAGAAACAGTCTTCAGCACATGGGACTCCCCTTGTAAGCTTTGTCAGTGTGTGGGCATTCCTCTGGCTCTTCACTACGAAGAAAGTTTTCTGGGTCAGTCTGTAACTACAGTTAATAGCTGTTTATCTAACGATAATGCAAAAAAGAGAAAATAGGGGCTGGGGATTTAGCTCAGCGGCATAAGTGCCTGCCTTGCAAGCAGGCAGCCGTGAGTTCGATCCCCGGTACCGATAAAAATGAAAAAGACAATAAAAAAAAGAAAGAAAATAAAAGTAGTGGCTGGAAATAATTTATGCTTAGCTTTGAGATAACATTATTTTTATAGCTGATCTTGTTAATTTTATTTAATTTGTTAATATACATCAACTGAAAGCTGAAGGATATGGAGACAGGTTGAGAAGAACAAAAAATCAAGGATTAAAACATTATAAATATTTGCAAAGTAACAGATTTGCAGGACAACTGGCTGTATTCTATGAAAGAGGGCTTATTCTAAAAAGTCCCATGCTACTAAACAGGTAAGGAATTTACATATACACCCTGTATCAGTATTTATACTGATTAATTGTTCAGCAGACTTGGGTTCTGACTCAAGTGTTGTGCTCTTTCTTGCCTGCAACAGGCTCAGAAAAATCTTGTTACCACAGTCGGTTAAAGGGTTTGAAAATGTTTCATAACTATCCGTTTCTACAGTCCTGTGTTCCCTGCTCTGCTCTAGCTGACGGGGTGAATTCCTGAAGCTCTTTGGGGTTTCTAAATTTGTCCATTAACTTGACTAAAGTAAGGCTCAGGCTTACCTTAAAGGAAATAGTTTTGTCCTCACAAGAGAGGGTATGGTTCCCGTTACACGTCACAGAGATGGCTACAGGTACACCTCTCGCGTTGCTATCTTTATATACATGTATGTTAAACGTAGTATAAGGTTCATTGTCTGAAATAAACAGTAACAAGTGAGACCACTACTTAGGGGAATTTGTACAATACTTGGGAAATGTAACCAAAGAATGGTCCTTAAGGGACCTGCTGTCAGGCTCACACTCTGAGCAGAAGGAGATTATGTGTAGTTTGCTGGACATTCTTTAAAACACTTACACGTGTGTTACAGCATACATGCAGGGGCTGGGCACAATGGTGGCACAGGCCTTCAATCCCAGCACCCGGGAAGCTGAGGCAGAAGGACTGCCGTGAGTCCAAGGCCAGCCTGCACTACATGGTGAGACCTTGTCTCAAAAGCAAAAACAAAAAAATACACACATCAAACTTTTTAGTGTGTTATAAATATTCTGAATTTTAAAACACCTTTTTTTTTTTTTTTTGCAGTGTTGGGGATGGAACCAAGAGCCTCATGTAGGACAGGCAGGTTCTCTGCCACTAACTTACATCCCCAGTTCTGTCTTTAACTTTTGAATGCTAATTAGACTATTTAAAAATATAGTCATTAAAAGCGGGGAATGGCGGCATGTACCTGTAATCTCAACACGCTGGGAGGCTGATGCAGGAGGATCATGAGTTTGAATCTAGCTTGGGCAACTTTAGTATGACCTTTGTCTCAAACTAAAAACTAAAAAAAGGAGCTTGGAACGCAGGTCAGTGTTAAGGCCCTAAGTACAATCCCTAGTACCAGAAACAGAAGTCAAGAAGTTTTCAAAAATGTGCATTCACTTCTTCAGGCTGGCCTGCGATTTGGTATTTGGGGTTCATACCGTGTAAGGTAATGAACTTACTCACTTTCTAACACATTCTAATTCTGGAGGAAGGAAGACTCACTTGAAATACTTGTATATTTATTGTTGATTGTGAGTTTTAAAAACTTTAACTATTTTCAGCTATAACCAGTAGAGATTAAGAATACACTATAGAGATCATAATGTAATGTAATGTAATGAATGGGATTGGTGATCCAAATGTCAGCTCACAATGGCCTCTAGAAATGCCTTTATTGGATCTAAATTTTACTTTAAATGAAAATTATGGACACCTATAAAGTCTTTTTTTTTTTTTTTTTTTTTTTTTGTGTGTGGTAACTGGGTATCAAACTCATGACCTCGCATTTGCCAAGCAGGAACTTATGCTGCTGAGCTAAATCCCCAGCCCCAAAGGTTTTTTTTTTTTTTTTTTTTTAAATCAAAATTATGCCTGTGATTTTTGATCCAAGTTTGGGTCTGGCACAGACAAGCGTAGGCAGCAAAAAAAAAAAAAAGAAGAGGAGGCAGTAGTCAGTGATCGATAAATGTATAAACATACAAAAACATCCCACCGGAGAGACCAGAGAACATGGCGGACAGACAACAGCAACTACCAGAGGCTCTCTGAAAGGTTCGGCTCAGAGGCCAGAAATAATGCGGACTAGGGAGACACGAATCAGTAGAGATATGCTCTGCTGACTCAGGAACGAACTGGGCTGAGAGAATCCAACTTGGAATACAGTCCTGGCGCTAAAATAGGAACAGAAAAATCTCGGTGTGGAGGCTCGACTCCGCGCCATCGGAAACCGGTTTGGATTTCCCGCCGTGCGGCGGCCGGCTATCTCCACAGCGGCTCAGCAAGGAGAGACGCGCCGAGCTCTGGGAGCGCCGAGCTCTGGGAACGGGAGAACGGAGTCGAAAAAAAAAAGGACGGACAGAGGTGTACACGAAAACTGACTGGTGGCGAGGTGAGTGAGAATCTGACCCCCCACCACAGTTTGACTCTAGCGGAGATCTCTCTGGGCGCCATTCCCCTCTCGGACGGGATTGGAGAAAAGTGCCTGGCCTGAGTGACGCTGCTGGCGGACTCTCTAGGCTAGACTAGCCTAACCCAGATCCCAGAGCCGGACGATGGCCCGGAGGAGCGACTGACTTCCGCGTAGGCTGCCTCCTCCGACTCCCTGGTGCGCAGCGGTGGGCGGGAACAACTAGCCAGCGCAATTTGATCAGGCTGTGGCTGACAGGCAGGGAAGCCGGGCCTCCTTTGTAAGATTGCATTTTATAAGGAACAAAAAATATGGGGAAGGGAAGCAACAAAAAAAGCTCCTCGGCCCCCAATCCTGAGAAACAGGCAATAATGGACGCCGCACCAGTATACATTAAGCACCATATTGAGAGCCTCATAGACCAATTCAGGAATGAAGTTATCAATGATCTGAAGCTAGAAGTATGCAGAATAGTTAGAGAAATGCTAAACACCACCCAGGAAAAAACAGATGGTGGAATGGAAGAACAGAAAAAGAGGGGAGAATTGCTTGATGGAGAAAACAGAGAAAGCATTGAGTATGTGAAGCAGGTTCAAAGGGACTATCAAGAAATTAATAAGTCTATACAAGACTGGCATAACAGCTTGAAAGAAACTAAGGACAGACTATCTGAACTGGAGGGCAGACTTGAAATATGGGAGAATGAAATGAAAAACTTCTTAAAAATAACAAAGAAACAAACAGCAATAATACAAAGACAAGAAGATGATAAGAGGAGCCACCACTTAAGGATTAAGAACATAGAAGAAGAAGTAGGGACACAAACAAATGAATTACAAAAGCTACTCACAGAAATAATCCAGGAGAATTTTCCTAATTTAGCAAAAGGTAAAGATACTCAGCTGTATGAGGCATACAGGACCCCAGCTACCTACAACCCTAACAGAGAAACACCCAGGCATATAATAATAAAAATCCCAGAAATTCAATACAAGAACAGAATATTAAAAGCTGTAAGAGACAAGAAACAGATCACTTACAAAGGAACACCCATCAGAATTACAGCAGATTTCTCTTCACAAACCATCAAATCACGAAGAGCATGGGGGGAAATAATTCAAGCTTTGAAAGATAATAATCTCCAGCCAAGATTGAGATATCCTGCACAACTGTCCCTGGAAATTGATGGAAAAACGAGGTGCTTCCAGGATAAAGAGGAACTGGGGGAATTTGCAACCACCAATTCAACTCTACAGAAAGTATTGCAGGATATTCTAAAAAAAGAAAAATACAAAGAACCCAGAAATAGTGGCAGGGAGGCCACAACGAATGGAGCAGAGAACAAAATGAAGAAGACAAACTGACAGCTACTGACAGAAAAAGAGCTCAACAGAAATGAGACAGAGAAGATTGGATGATAGGAACAGCTATTTTTGAGAAAATGACATCTTAATAGGTAATGCTGATTCAGTACCATCTTGTTTTGAAGTCTCATCTAGCTTTTGTTCTTCTGTCTCCAATGGTCTAACCAGGTTGTATCTTATTGGATTTTGTTATGTACGTTAGTATAAGCAAAAACCTTTTAAAGACAAGGAGATTATACAGAGACCATTGTTCATTTTCTGTTAGTCAATTCCAAATACTCTATAATGCTGTCATTCTCTTAAATGGTTTTACATTGTTTTGATATACTTAATGCTACAGTATATGAAGTTGTACTCAAGGACTTCAGGGAGGGAGTCAATATGGTAACTATTTTTAAGTCGGAAATATCTGGTGGTGAAACACTATTCTGCTTAAAAGGTTATGTTTTGATCTGCCCTGTTTCGCTGTTATGCCCTCTTTTTCTTTTTCTCAATCTCCACTCCATTATATACTTTTTTATTGTTATCCATTTAATTAAAGGGAAAAATATAGCAGGATATAATATAGTAACCCACTTTGACTTTCTATTTTCTCGATTTGAAGCCCTGTATTACTCTCACCATCTTGTTTTTGACTGAGGTTCCTCTATTCTGTTTTGCTGAATAGTATCAGGTTCGAAAGTTTAGGCATCAGCTGAGAAGATAATGAGATTCATTATAACGCCCATTCTCGTTGACTTCTATCTACTTTTGAAAACCTACAATATCTCCAATGTTTTGGTTTTGTCGGTTTTATCCTTTACGGTTTTGTTCAATAGTATTACAACTAACGATATAGGCAATTCTATTAGAAATAGCGGGAGGCATTAGGGTAACCATTGTTGATCACCTTGTATTATGTTTTTATATTATCTATTATATCCACCCTTTTGACTTGACCGATTCTGTTCTGTCATGTCACATTTGGTTTTACTCTCTTCCAAAAAAGCAATAAGAACAGTGGGAGCAATGAAACCCAAAGTGTGTAATAGTCACTGTACAAAAGAGAGGAAAAGAAAATGCTCTAAACTATATAACTGCATGTATATTTAAATGTATAAGACAGAAAATGATATCACAGAGTTCTAATGGATCATTGAACAGAACTGTTTGCAGTATCATTGCTGGAATGTCCACTCTACAAACTTTAATTCTGTGACTTGAACAATTATTTCTAAGATGGCAATATGTAATCTATTAACTAGTGATTTCCTACTGCGCATTTTTTTTCTTCTGTAAATCTGTATAACTTGTACCCTTCACTGTTTTTTTTTTCTTTTCTTTTCTCCTTAAATAAAAATTAAAAAAAAAAAAAACAAAAACATCCCACCTGCACAGTCGGAGTCGGGCATATCCTCAAACACAGGCTGCTTCTTACGGTCAATAAAGAGGACCTGGTTTTTCAAATTTCGTATGATTGACAAATGATGTTCAATCCTGCCAAAGTAATCTGATTCCAGGTTGTCTACAATAAACATTACATTCCATTAAAAATGTTTCTTTTAAAATATGCAAATAGACATATCACACAGTTCAGTTTTAAACAGCTATTAATTACGAGCTTCCGTCTCAGAGACGGCTGTTACAAGGTGTTTTTAGCCAGCTTTCAGAGGCATGCTGCACTGCCGTCCGCACCCCTCTACCTCTGGCACGTTCGCTTAGCTGTCCACTTCCTCAGTCTCCTGTTCTTGGTTTTCTTAGGCTCTTACTCGTTACACGAATTCTTAGCCTTCACTGTCTTTGTCTCCTGACTCCTCTATTTCCCTTCTTGCTAATCTGTCTTCTGATCCTTCCCTGCTGCTGAACTTCATGGTTCATTTTTCTGTGCCTTAAATCCCTACCTCCCTTATCTGTCCACAATAAAGTCCTGAATCTAGCTGCTCAGCACTGCTGGAGACCAGTTATATAAATGCTGCCAATACTGTCTTCCGGTTCAGCACTCTCTCTCTTCTGTGCTTCATAGCTGCAATTTCCAATCCTCTCCCTCTCCTTAGGACCTCTGAACCATCATCTCTGTTTTCCCTTTCAGCAAACCGTTTTGGTTTTATTGAGACAGGGTCTTGCTACGGGTTTAGGCTGGCCTTGAACTCACCGTGGAGCCCATCCTGGCCTGGAACTCACAGCAACCCTTCTGCCTCAGCCTCCTGAATGCTGGCATTACAGGCCTGTGCCACCAACCCTGCTGTCTGACTTAATTGTAATGAGCACAGTTTTCTAATCAGAAAAGCATAAAACTCTTTGAAATTTAAAATTATTCCACGGATCCTTCCCAGTGTGAAGCTCTAGCCTTGTTTCCCTCTCTTATCAGGCAAGCTTCTGACAAAATCACTTGTATTATTCTGTATCTTCATTTGTTCCGCAGTCACTGTCTTCCGCCTCTGCCTGCATTTCTCCAGCAAAATGCTTCCACTGAGAGCACCTGACTCCCTGCTGCTAAATCTAATCATGTCTTACAGATTTTTCTGAGTATTTCTAAAATCAGTCCATGGCTCCTCATGATCACCCTGCATCATGCCTTGTAGACACAGATAGTCTGTCTCCCTCTTCCTCGTTTTGTTTTGTTGAGAAGAGGTTCAAATTCAGACTGGACTTGAGCTCACTAGACTTGCCTCCATCTCCTGCCTCAGCCTTCTGAGTTCTGGGATTACAGGTGCGCACCACTACGCCCTGCTAAAATAACTTTTTTTTTCTTTTGGTCTTTTTTTGAGATGGTTTCGCTATGCATTCAGGCTGCCTTGAACTCACTTTATAGCCCAGCCTGGCTTTGAACTCACAGTGGTCCTCCTGCCTCAGCCTCTAAGTACTGGGATTATAGGCATGTGCAACCACACCTGGCTCCATCAGACTTCTTTATACTGATGCCACAAGGACTTTCTAAAAATATGATCTTGTTATCCCTGAATGTTAATGAGGCACATGGTCACCCAGAATAAAAACTGTATTTTCCAGGTTTCTAGGTGACCAGTTGGCAGAATAAGACAGACTAGATACGTACAACTTCTAAGCACAGATTTTAAACGGAATGGGTCTGTTTTCCTCTTCTCTTGACTCTTTCTTAAAAACTGAGATATAGACCCAGGAAGTAGGATAATTTTCAATAACTAGGGGATGATGGAGTGACAAGAAATGCGGAACATGAAATTACTTGGACTCCTGGGGAGAGAAATTTTCTCTTACTCAGTCACTGTCTTTTTAGACGTCTTTCTTAAACTGATCTGTATCCTAGCTCAGACACATTATGCTTAGCAGATTCCTATGACTCGCAAGATAGGGCCCAAACTCCACGTCTTGGAACACGAGAACTTGATCTGCACCCTGATTTTCTCTCCTGCCCTGCTCTCCCTCACTGCACCATCCGAGTTATCTTAGTTTCGCACACATGCTGCGCTCCCTTCATATCTTGGTCTTCGAGCCCATCCTTAAGTCCTCTACTTTCAGAATACGCTGGCTCCAGGAGCCCCCAAGGGTTTGTTCAAAAGCCTTTCTGAGATGGGACAGCACAGAAGGGAGAATGATTTCTGGACAATTCTCATCCCTCAGTCTCCTTTTCTGGATCTCCTGAGAATCAGTGGCTTCCTGCTCATCTTAGACCTATGTGATAGGAAAGGTCTAGTTTGTAGCGTCTGGAAGCTAGACAGCTTCCTAAGGTACCCAAAAGCAAAGTTCATAAAGCCTTTTTTTTTTTGTACCGGGGATTGAACTCACAACCGCACACTTGCAAGGCAGGCGCTTATGCCGCTGAGCTAAGTCTCTGGCCTTTGTAAAGTTTTTTTTTTAAACCCTATGATGGTCTTCATTTTGACGCTGTGTTATTGGTTCACATTCCTCTGGCAGAAAACTGGCTCCCCAAATGGACTGGTGGCAAGTGGACAGTCTCTCCCAGTTGACAGTGGCGGTACAGATGTGTCTCATGTGGTTACTTACTTTATACAGAAAGAAAAACATATTTATACTTTACCATCATTCTCAGCTGTGGGGGAAAAAGAGAAATATGTTAATTATGTTCTTCAAGCCAGATTTTATTCATTTATTACTTTGTCCTGTCCCTGCCCATTCTTTAATACCTGCTTTTTCTTTTTGAAGACAGGGGTTCCCTATGCAGCTCAGGTTGGCCTTGAACTCACTGTGTAGCCCCCGCTGGCCTCAAACCCACAGCAATCCTCCTGTCTCAGCCTCCTGAGTGCTGGAATTTTATAGGTGTGCGCCACCACACTTGGCTCATGACCCGTTTTAGCAGTTACATCCTTTGGTAGCCTTCATCAGAAAATATGAAGTAATCCGAAGATTCATAAAGTGAAATCTTTAGACTTAGTGTGTTCCCAGGTAAGTTAGCTATAAAACTTAAATCCAGGGTTTATAAATTTTAATACGAAAAGAAATTTTATAAAGTGGTATTTACTCATAAATTTATTGCCTAAGTGGAAACTTACTTAAGGACTTTTCATGATGCTTTCAAATGAAGCCAAACTTCAAAATGAAGCCAAGTTGCCCATGCAAGATTAATCATTAAGAATCAACTTTTGTCCTATACATCACATAAAATGATAACTCATATAACTCTAGCGTATCTCATTTGCTCATTTGCTTTGAAAACTAGTATTTCCTCACTGTACCCAGTTTTGTGCGATTTTCACGGTAGGTTCCCGCTGCTACCTTGAGATGCGCAGTTGCTAATTTAAGTACCAAGGCAACGTGCTGGACGGAGAGCTGGGACCTTGGAATGTTATGGTTAACTTGAGAGTCAATTTTTTTACTCAAAGAAGAGAGTCATTAATATTATAATAGAGTTTGGTAACAAAAAAGGGAGTCCCTGAATACGCAACAATTTCCTAGCTGAATATATTTATCGAAGCCCCGTATTTCTCCCATGCTTCAGACTTACGTATAAAGTAAAGTATACTGTCAATAAATTTCATTTTCACAAAGTTGATGCAATCGTTTTCTGAGTCGGAAACAGCCATCTTCACTCCTAGTGAAAGCAGAGACGATGCTTGTTATTTTTACAAGGTGTGACTGGAAAATACAGTGAATGCTTACCTTTATAACAATTGATAACAATAAAATACATTACCATTAATACCTCTCAAAACATTCCCTTTCAGTGTGAACACGCTTGGGTTGTGCTGTCATGGCTGCCGTGACACGCTGAATCAAAATGTTTACCTTCCACGATCATTCTGACTTTAGGGAAGAACGAAGGCCACACCGCCGTAGGTCCAGGGAATAAAGTGGGTCAGGACACTGTGACGTTTGCCCAAGCCTGTCTGCAGGGCGGCACTGGGCAGCTGCAGTCATGGTATATTTTTTTATCACAGCTCGGAAAGTCCTTCATGAAAGAGAACTTTCAATCCGCTTCAGAAAGTGGCAAGAATAATGGGGCAAGTCTGTTCAAGTCGAGGGGGAGTTTTTGAGGGAGAGTAATAGCAATGTGTCTTTTATTAGAAAACATTAAACAAAAGCAAACAGTCACTATATATTTTGATATAGCATGTGGATAAAAGCAATCTTTTATTACCACCTTTTTCATTTTTATTTAAAAACATTTTTATTAGTATATGTTTTATTTATTTTAGAGAGGACAAAACAGAATAAAATCCATCAAAACAAACGAGTATAAGAGACAGAGGACTTCAAAACATTACAACAATAACAAAATCAACAACAGTCACCATCATGCCTTTTGACGCCCTCAAAATAGCTGCAGATAACTTTGGACACAGTAAAAATCAAACACAACAGAATAGAATAGAAACAATAGAAACAAAACAATAAATGTAATAAAGGACTTTGTTATGGTTTATGTTTGTGGCCCCCAGGCCTTATGAGTTTGAATTGTGTATTTCTTATTTGTTTATTGTCTAGTGCTTGGATTGATGGTGTCAGTGCTCCACCCACATAGGGGTGGAGCCAGGATGTGATGTAATGGCAGGAAGAAGGTATGTTTTGCTCTTTACTGGTTTGAGCTTGCTGTTTGCAGCCGCCATGAGCGGCGGCCCAGCCATGCCTGCCTGCCTGGGAGCCAACTGAGTGTGGACTGAAACCTCCAAAAACTGCAAAAAATAAACTTTTCCTTTCCCAACTTGGGCTTCAGGTATTTTGTCTCAGCAAAGAGTAAAAAGTAACTAAGACAGACTTCAAAACAAGCCAATAGTAAATCCATAATTGCTAGCATAATGGATCTTGCTATTTTTGAAATAGCTGCTCCTGCCATAGGATTTAATACAATCAAAGAAAACAAGAGAGAATAAACCCCAACCCAACAAAACAATGGAAATGACACAGGACTTCAAAACAAGACTACAGGGACACAACAACGGCTACCACCCTCAGAAGGCGATCCCCCCAGATGTCACACTGTGTACTACTAACCCCTGAACCTGTGATCAGACCCCTGGCCCCAGACCTGCAGTGTTAGTTAGAGACACCAAAGCACCACAGGCATCCAGCTGCATTTCAGCCTCATAGCTGTCATCGCAGCCGTGTTTCTTAGGATAAGTCGGTCACCTAAGGTGGGGGTCGGGGCTGGGAGGGTGGGGGCCTGGCACTTTTTGTTCGCCAGCCCAAGTGCTAGAAGGGGCTGGGGTCTGTCTGTTTCAGTCTGGCAGTGGCCGCGTATGGTGCTGGTTCCCAGACTCAGCTTGCGTCCTGGTGTGGCCTTCTCTGTCCTACTAGTGTGAGTCTGCAGTATATAGTGATTGTATGTATGTGGGGACCGGTGCACCCATAAGTGCGCTGTTTGGACACAATGTCCTAAAGCAAGCTGGCGGTGTCTCTAACACCCCTGTCCCTTCTGCTTTCTTTGGGTCCTATTTTGCTTCTGAAGCACAGGAAGGGACATTTCCTGAAGTTCCCTTATCCACCAGAGACTGGGTTCGCCACAGAGGAACGTAATTGTCCTCAATCCTGTTACTGAAACCTGCCTGACCAAGAGATCACCTCACATAAGACAGGACAGAATGAAAACCAGATGCCACGCCTACGGCCAAAAGCGACTCTGAGGACCTTGTCTGTTTGCTGGGTCCACAGTGTCCCATAAAAACAACCTACTGGGCTGGGTATTTAGCTCAGTGGGGTAAGCGCCTGCCTTGCAAGCAGGCAGTCATGAGTTCGATTCCTGGTACCGATGATATAAAAAAAAAGAGAGAGAGAGAGAGAGAGAGAGTAAAAAAACCAATCTACTGCCCCTCTAAAATCTCTAAAATTGCTTCCACCTCCCTTCCGTCTCTTCTTATGTTCAAGCCTCAACTGTTGGCCCCTTTGAGATTTCCCGTGCTGTGTGGCTCCTGGGGTCGCGCATGCTAATAAAGCAGCGACAGGGCCTTCTCTCTGGTGGATGTGTGTGCTGACACTGTTTCAGCTGACTCACACGCTGAAACTGCAGCGGGAAGGCTGAGCTCCACATCAGAAAGACGGCCAGGCAGCCCTGCTCCGGAGCGGGCAGTGTCCTGGGTCCCTGAAGGCAGCGATGGCTGGGGCTGGGGTGGGGGACAGTGGGGGGCCCAGCCTTCGCAGGATACTCGGTCTCTCCCCACTCAGCTTCCCCCAGCTTGGTCCCCGGGTGCTGGGCTCTAGCGGGAAGCTGGCACAGCGCGTGAGAGTGAAACTTAGATCTTATCTCACAGAGACTCAACCACTGGTGACAGGGACCAAAGGAATGTGAGGAACTCCGCAAAGGAGGACGCAGGAGACCTTTCTGGAATGAGAGAAGCCTGCTCAGAAGAGAGGACTGTGTGCCTTGAAAGGAGGCAGCATTTCCAAGCCTCGGCAGAGAAGTCACAGAAGAGCAACCCGAGCAAAGGCCAGGAAGCAAAGAGGCCGAGAGTTATGGGCTGCCTCAGGCCTCACCAACTTTGCCTTAAGTGACACAATTGTATTTTTTCAAGAAGGATGCATTTCTGAGATTTTACCTAGATGAAGACTATTTATTCCCCAGGAATAAACGTAAAGGCATGGTAGGAGATAGTTGTGGAAAACATCAGTCTACAACCGCCAAAATATACTTTCATTTTGTTTTTTTTTTTTGAGACAGGGTCTCACTATGCAGTTCAGGCTGGCCTTGAATTCACTATGTAGCCGAGGCTGGTCTCAAACTTGCAGCAGTCCTCCTGCCTCAGCCTCCCGAGTGCTGGAATTACAGGTGTGCACCACCATCCTGGCTCTAAGACTACTGTTTTAATAACAGGTTTTTTTTTCTAATTTAACTCGCAGAAATGCAACTTGTAATATAGTTCTTTTGATGAAAGCCTAGGAAGGAAGGTGAGAGCATAAAAGCCTTAAGACAGACTAAAGAGGTTTAACTTATTTTCCCTAAAAGAAAAATTGGTAATTTAAATAGAATAAACACATATTTAAATTTATTTTTATTTATTTATTTTTGAGACGGGCCTCACCGTGTAGTACAGGCTGGCCTGGAACTCACTGTGCAGCTAAGGCTGACCCCCAACTTGTGATCCTCCTGCCTCAGCCTCCTGAGTGTTGGGATTATAGGCGTGCACCACCATGCCTCATTTAAGTGTATGTTTAAAAAGCTCAGTATCATAGTGCCATAGAGAGTAGATTTTACTGGGTGGCACCAGACAGCGGTCAGCAGTGACTTTAATCATTAAAAGTTGATAGGGCTAAACAGTACAGTAGGATTTTTTATTTATGGGAGTGGAGGAACTAAGGAAAATTACCTCACAATTTCTGGCTCGGGAACCTGTTCAGTGGTTACCCCATGAACTAAGAACAGAGAGCATGAAAAACAGCGTGTGAGGGAGAAGAATTAGTTCAGCTTTGCTAATCCAGGAGAGATGTGACCCGGGAGCCACGGGAGAAGGGAGCTTGGAGGGCGGCTGCTATGGAGCCCCTGGCACAAGCTTGACGGTGGCACCTGCAGATTGGTGCTTGGCTCCCAGCTTGGGTACAGCCAAGATCGACAAAGATCTAGCAGAGAATGAGGGGAGGAAAGAGGAAAAGCGTGGCTGTAAACCATTCCTTTCGGAAGCCTGGCTGTGGGGGGCCAGGGAAGCGGTTGCTGAGAACACACAACTTGCACACGTCACCTGCTGGCTCCCGACGCCCGCCACAGCTGGCCCAAATGACTGTTCCCGACCCCTGGGGGGTCATCTCGCCTGCTCTGCCCGGCCTTCTCCTCGTCAGATGCGCACAGGCGCTGTTTGGGGTCAAGCCGCATCACTGCTGGCACCTCCATTTAGTACCCACTGGGTCCTCCTGCTCCCCTGCTCCCCACCGCTGCCAGGCAGGAACTGTCTCCTCTCCTCTCCCCGCCCTCCCACCCCCTTCTTTTAAATCTCAGTTTGCACACATCCTTCCCTGACTGCCCCGTTCCTAACCGATCAGTCTCCAGCCCTCCCTTCCCCTTCCCTCACTTCCTCTTACGCTTCTGACACAGCTCTGCCCACACCGGATTTGTAGGACTCGGTCTGCCCAGCCTCCTCAGATGGTGGCTCAGCCTTTGCTCCTCAACATCTGGAGTTTACTACACAGCAGGAGCTCAATGAATGTTTAGTACGATAAACCTCTGGCCGCGACAATAGTATAGATAGAAAGCACTATTGGAATTTCTTTTTCCTGATTTAAAACTTTTTCTTCTAAAGGCCAGTGAGAGCCAGGTGTGGTGGCCCAGACCTGGAATCCCAGCAGGCAGGAGGCTGAGGGTGGAGGATCACAGCAAGTTTGAGACCTGCCTGGGCTACACAGTGAGTTCGAGATCCAGCCTCAACTACGTAGCAGGACCTTGTCTCAGAATAACAAAAAGGACCCTCCCCAAAACACACACACACACACACACACACACACACACACACACACACACTATAATGGGAGCTTGAAAACAGATTTAAAAAAATAGAATAATCTCTAATTTTTTTTCCTAACAGCTTTTATTTCATGTGTTGACGTTGAATTCTTCACTGTTTTCCTTATCACGTTTTGTTAGCTCCCAACACACTATGACAGTGGGGGTGAACCCATGGCACTCTGCCACAGCAGGCTGTCTGTGTCACTCTAAAAGGTTCCCCATCACTGCACTATGATCGCAGGGGTTGTGTTCACCCCTCCACCGGCAACAGTTTTTTATTCATTTAATATTTTCAGGATTGATATTTTAAAAAATTATAACCTCAGAAAGATCCTCCCAGGAGTATACAGTAACAGTTTATTCTTTGAAACAAAACCTTTTAGTAACACCTTTGAAAACCAGCCAGAGGAAAGTGAAGGTTATACTCCTATGACAGAAATTAAACCTCATGAGTTCCAATTTTCTCTGGGGAAAGTCACTTACTTAATTCTGAGGGTCTCAGTTTCCTCTTTTGGATAATGAGGAAGTTGGATATCAAGCCTTAAGGTCTTTTCCAGCCTCAGCGTTCTGCAATTTTAGACTCTATTGAAGGCCAGGAGAGAGCCATTCACATGTGGCTGATGCCCTGGTAATTACTTCCTCATCATGCTAGACGACACACATTTGCTGAACGTTTACTGCACATTCAGCATTGTTAAATCGCTAAGAGAACAAAAAATAGAGCATGAGATTAAATGTAGAAAATGCCTCCAACGTAAACAGTGGTTCTGATTCTGCTTATCCATTCTGTGCAATCCCAAATCTGTGAAATAGAGGATGAAATGACGGAGCACAGCGTACAATGACTTCCCTCAGCGCAGGTGGGAAGTCATCCTCACAGTAAGATCAAAACCCAACTCTCACCGGGCGAGCGGTGCACACCTGTGATCCCAGCACTCAGAGGCTGAGGCAGGAGGATTGCTACAAATTTGCTAGGCTACACACATATTGAGTTCAGGGCTGGTCTGAACTACACAAGAAGACTCTGCCTTAAAAAACCAAAAACCAATGAAACAAACAACAACCAAAACCAAAACTCTTTTTGGTTTTAAAAATCATTTTGTCCTGAAATTTGCCCATAGAGTAAGTACTCTATGCGGTTGTTAAAGAGGTGGGAATAGAATATTTAGGGAATTATATAACTAGGTATAAAAGGTCTATTGAACCAATTGTTAAATACAGACTAAAACAAGAAAGTCAAATGGGGAATTAAATTTAATCTCAATTAACTGGGTAGGTGGCAAAGGGCACAAGAGAACATTTATGTGATAACCAAAACAAAATGATGCTATGGAGAGAGACGAACTGAACTGGCCTATTTCTTGACTCCGTGAACTAGCCCTGCAGGGCGCTGCAGTGGACACGGGATGACGGAGGGCCTGGCAGGCTGCCACGGTATGCCCGCCTTTGGCTGGGGAGGAAGCCGCAGACAATCCTGGCCAAATTCACAGCTTGGAAAAAGTGGACAGTGAACATTCCTAACTTTATTTGCTTTTTATTAAATCTTGTACCTCCTCCCACACAAAAACCCAAATTATGGAAGGTTTTGGAAATCCCATAGAAGAACCTGAATTTAATCTTATAAGCAATAGGAAAACACTAAAGGTGTAAAAATTATTTTGAAGGAGGATTTTGAAGGAGTAGCTGAATATAGGCAAAAAGTAAAATGCCAGCTGGGTGTGGTGGCTCAAGCCTGTAATCCCAGCACTCGGGACGCTGAGGCAGGAGGATTGTTTCGAGTTCCAGACCAGCCTGGGCTACAAAGTGAGCTCACGGCCAGTCTGAACTGCAGAGCGAGACCCTATCTCAAAAGACAAAAAAAAAGTAAAATGCCATTTAAGGATGTCTGATTTCTTGTTACTCAGTTTCAAAATAGAGATACTTATTCAGCCCTTCCCTGATTGTAAAATAAAATTCTCTGGGAGTGCTGTGTTATTTATTTACCATGCAAACCACCCATCCCAGGATACCTGCAGATTCAGTCAAGATTACCAACCTTGTAAAAGTTTTTTTTTGCTTTTAACATAGCTGACTCAGAGTTGAGCCTTACAGAAGAGCTTATTTATTACAACACTCCAACGCAAGGATTCTGAGAGTTTCAGAAAATCAAAGCTATTTTTCAGTGATTCGAGGGTGTAATCTGTTTCTCAGTTCCTTTCTTTCACAGCTGTAGCAGTTTATCAAAGGATACACCCTGTGCAACACTCCAACAGCTTGAAGACAAAGCCTATTTAGATTTGCAAAAACGAAAAAAATTCCTAACCCTAGATTGTTTAAAAAAGATACAGCTATCTTCGAATTGTCATTTATGATAGCGTGATGTGCTTATTATTTTATGATCAATTACTCAATAATTCTGTTTTAAATCACTCAAGTTTCACTTGCTAATACAGTAAATTATAATCATGCAGTCAACAGCTAAAGGTGCTCAATAATTCTTGAGAGGAGAGAGGATGAGACCAAAAAGTCTGAAAGTTTCTGCTGTGACTTTGCTTAAAATTTTTTTTTTTAACTTCTAATTGCTCCCGCTCGGTTTTCAAATAAACACGATGGCATCTCTTACCCGTGCCGACGGTGCTCCCGCTGGAGAGTGCGCTCGGTCCCGTCCGGGCGACGCGCTCCGCGGCCGGAGAGGGCGCACCCCGCGGCCGGGGAGCGGAAGGGGCGGGCCGGGGCGGGTCGGGCGCCCGCGAGCGCTGCCTGCGCCCTTCGCCACAGTTTGAACGCAGCAAAGTGTTAGCAATCGCAGCTTCCCGGCTACCTTGCAAAGTCACAGAGGCCGGCCTGGGAGCGCAAGGTCATGAGTTCGAATCCCGGTACAAAAAGGACGTGATTTCTTCTGGGAAAGTTGGGGTCCAGCCCTTCCCAGACCTGCACCTCTTTCAGAAGCACGCAAAGCACACGCTTCATGTGCGTGACTGCTCCGTCTACACGCGTCTTCTTGTCTCAGTCAGTCTCGTGTGGAAACTTTCTGGTCGCATTTTAGCACAGAATTTCCTAACGGCGTTGGGTAATCGTGTACGCTGGAGTAAGTCTTACAGTGTAATCGTGGCACCTAACGTACTTCTAAAACATATGGGGGTTTTTGGAGGAAAGACTTTTGCATAATGTTTTATTGCTTTCAACTTAGGATCTCATTCAGAACTTCTGCCTTCCAAACTCAGCTTGGTATCAGAGGACAGTTGACAGAGGCCACTAAATGTACTTCTTGATTATTTTTGGCCTGAAGCAGTGCAGGGAAAATGAGATAAGAAGGAGACAAAGGAGGAGGCCTTTAAGGAGGGCGCGGGAGAGCAGCGGGTACAGAGGCCCCAACACAGAAGCAGGACTGCTTTCATCAGTTCTGGCCGGGGGAGGAGGCTGGGAGGTGGGCAAAATTACACATTGACTGCTGATTTGAAGGAGCGTCTGCCTGTGTAAAACAGGTCACAGAAAAAGTTTACTGGGGGCTGGAGGTGGAGGCTTGGGTGGTTGTGGAGTCTTGGGATTGCAGAGGGCTTGGCGACACAAAAGAAGGGAGCAGATTTATCTCGGGAAGGAGGAAAACGTACAGGTTACTCGTGGAGAGATGGGTTGTTTCTCTGGGTCTAGTACCAGCAGAACCTATCATTTCTCAGTCGAACAAAAATAGTCTATTTTCAGGAAATTTCCCTTTGTCTGCTATGTTTCATGCAAACTACAGTTCCATCACCAGAAGTTTATTGAATATTTTTCTTCTTTTCTGCAACAGAAAGAAAAATTTGCTGTGGCATAAGAGCAAACATTTACATGCTGTTCCCAGGGCTAGAATTTTTTGTTCCTAGAATAATGGCAAGATTCTGAGTTAAAATACATGAAATCTGATTTAAGGAAATGTATTTTTAAGTTTCATATTCAATTCTTTAAAAATAGTCTTTTTGAAAAAGCATTTGGTAAAAAGGAGAGGGCAGATATTACAGCCTTAAAAGTGATAAACAGAAATAAGATTTCTTAGATAATTTTTTCTTGAACATGTGCTGAATTGTATTACCTTGCCAAAAAGGAAAATAAACAGGTGGCATTTTTGTTTTTGTCTTTGGGCAATATAGACATGATATGAAAACAGAGAGACCCTAGAATTAGGAAACAAAATGCTTACACAGCTGCTGATATATATATTTATATTTTTAGCAAGATCTTTTATTTCCTAAGTAATAAAAACATCATACCCATAATAGTGATTACAAAGGATGCCGGTGGCAGGGTCAGTGCGGGTGCTTGACGTGATGATGACTTAAGGGAAAAACAGTAGCACTTTTAAGAAGTATGGTAAGAATCCATATGGGACTGAGTTTGAAACAGCAAGTTTTCATCCTCCAGCTGTGGCATCCAGTGAGGTCAATGAACACGAGAACATAGGTATGGTCAAAAATGATCAGAAGGAGAGCAGCAAACAAGTTCGGATTTTCAGTGCCGGTTGCCAACGAGTGTCTCTAGTTCTAGGAAAGACAGGCACATTACGAGCGTTTCTGAGTTTCCGGACTTCATTTCTGCCTTAGATGTAGAGCAGTGCAGATGTCTCAGTACGCAGTGCTACTGTGAAAATTAAATGAGACTATGATCTTAGCTTTTTGAAGACTTTAAAACCCTGGATAATGATACCCTTCTACATCTTTTATTCTTTTTTTTTTTGAGACAGGGCCTCCCTGTGCAGTTCAGGCTGGTCCTGAACTCACTACTGTAGCCCTGCCTGGCTTTGAAAGAAGCAATTCTCCTGCTTCAGCCTCTCAAGTGCTGGGATCATGGTGTGTGCCACCATACCCAGCGATTTCACTCATTCATAACCACTTAGTTTGTACAATGAATATAACATTTTAAAGATAGGGGCTGGGATTATAGCTCTGCGGCACAGCATCTGTCTGGCACGCATGAGGTCCTGAGTTCAATCCCCAGTACCAAAAATAAATAAATAATAAAATAAAATACCATGGTATTCTCTAAACCCGATGAGAGCATTTAGGTATTATACACAATCATTTTTCCCTATAAAGACCAGGTGATAATTGCCAGTTTAAATACCAAAAATAGGAAGTCTGGGGGCTGGGGATTTAGCTCAGCAGCATAAGTGCCTGCCTTGCAAGCACATGGTTATAAGTTCGGTCCCCGGTACTGATAAAAAAAAAAATGAAGTCTGTGAGAAACAGGTCAGTAGTCCCAAATTTTTGATTTAATGAGCCATAAAAAAAAAAGCAGTAGCCAGGTGTGGTGGTGCACAAATGTAATTCTAGCACTCAGGAGGCTGAAGCAGGAGGATTGCCTTGAGTTTGAGGCGGACCTGAGCTACATCCAGCCTGCACTACAAAGTGAGATACTCTCAAAAAACAAACACTAACCCCATCAAACCAAATTGATGAAGAAACCAGCAGTAATGATAATAATGAAGATGAGAGAAACATGGAGTGGACAACTTTATATTTTACCAAATAAAGATACTGACAAATTTAAAAATCTTTACATTTTTATTTCATAAGAGGATATTTTGTATAAAAATAGAAACTATTGTAATGATGGATAATCCTTAAGTACACTTGATTTTATGAAAATGTACTTTTAAAAATTGTACTATAGATAATAAAAATTATAACACAGAATGCTATCATTCCTCAGTGACTGGGATTCTTTGAAGGCTGTTGACAACTTCCACCAAATTATCTAATCTGGTATTCATTAAGTGGCTTGTATGTCACAGTATTAACAAATCAAACCAAGCACCTATTTTCTAGGTACTTAAAACAATTGGCTCTTTCACAAACGGCAAATAAACATACAAGCACAATACTTCTGATCTTGATGACAACTAACATTTCAATAAAAAGCAAAAGGAAAAAAATCACAATAATGTACAAGTGTTAAATGTAGTTCTCTGAGGTGTAATGTGCATGTGGAGTGCATTAGGCATGTTATTGACCTCTGTCTTTTGTTTTTCTCCCCAACAACTGAAGCTTAAATTTAGAAATCTACCTGTGAAATTGAACATCAAAGTCATAATGTCAAAGCACCCAAACCTGGCACAAGTATGCAAGCCACGCAGTGTTCCAAAATACCTTTTATAAAGCTGCTGCCAAGAGATCAACTAAACCTACTAAAACATCCAGAGTGAAATTTTCTTAAAATGCATGATTCTGCCAGGTGCACCCCTGTAATGTCAGCCCAGGGGAGGCCGAAACCAGAGGACTGCAGGAAACCCGAGGCCAGCCTGGGCTAGAGGGTAAGTTCCAGGCCGGTCTAAACCACATAGTGAAGCCGTATGCCAAAAAACAAAACAACCAACCCAGCTGTGATTCTGAACCGCCTCTTGTTGCTCTAAGAAGCAAACAGGGCAGTAATGGAGGGTTGGAGGTGGAGGCCTTGGCTGCCGGACAGACTACTTCAGATTTAGGCCTTCCCTGCCAGCAAATGGCCTGGAATCATAACTTGTAGTTGAAAAGAGGAGGTAGGTGTAGTGATGTTGTTCTTCTCCTCTGTTTTCATTTTTTGAGACAGGGCCAGGCCGCGTAGGTTAGGCTGTCCTGGAACTCACTGGGCAGTGCAGGCCTGGAACCCGTGGGGATCCTCCTGCTTCATCCTCTCCTTACAGGATCACAGGCAGGCCTGTGCCACGGAGTCGGGATGTGGTGCGTGCTTTTGGCCGACATTCCGAACCTCTGGAACACACTTGGCTTAATTTGATCCCTTTTTTATTTTTTTGGTATCATAACTTGAACTCAGGACCCGGCTTTGGTCACTCTTTTTTTTTTTTTTCTTTTTTTTGTCTTTTTCATTTTTATCCGTACCAAGGATCGAACTCACGACCGCCTGCTTGCAAGGCAGGTGCTTATGCCGCTGAGCTAAATACCCAGCCCCTGGTCACTCTTACACTCTTATTTGTTCTCCCTTGAGATCTGTTTCAGGTTTTCCTTTTACACACACACACACACACACACACACACACGCACACGCACACGCACACGCGCACACACACTCAGAGGAAAATAAGACACCGCCGTTTCCAGGTTGTAGGTCGAGGGGTGAAGTAAGCCAGAGAAGACACCTTCTGGCGCCTGCACCGGAAGTGGGGGGAAGTGTGTCCGGGTCACGTGACTCGCGCACTGGCCGGCGGGAACGCGCGCCTCCTCCCTCCGCCTCAGCAGCAGGGTCTGCGCACGCGCCGGCCTCACTCCCGCGCTTTCTCCGGCGAGGAAGGTTGGCAGGCCGCGAGCTGGGTGACTTTGAGGGGGCTGGGGCGGGGGTGCGTGTGTGCGCATGGCCGCGTGACTGACTGTGAAACCAGACAGAGACAAGAGGAGAGTCCTTTTAGGGTCACAGGGGAAGAAGGCGCGAGGGCATGTGAGGGGAGAAAAAGGCGGGAAATGGCGTGAGGAGCCCGAGTAGGGTTGCGAAGAAGGGAGGAAAGGAGTTGCGCGAGGCCGGGAGGGTGGTGGTCGGTGATAACCTAGTCACCAGCACCTAAGGTTGCGTACCCTGGGTCGGTGATGTGCTTAGTGTGTCTCAGGATGAGGACCAGACCTGCTTTAGGCTTGAGGCGTCAAGTTATGACAGAAAACGAGTTGATTTTCACGGAGGCAGAATGACCCACCTCTGAAAGTCTGTATTTGGCATTTGTACATATTTTCTTACTGTAGGAAAAGAGAGAGGTATAAAAGGGAACGGGGAAAGGGGAAAGGGAGGAGAGGCGCACTGTGCGTGCGTGTCGCCATCTCGGAACCGTTTTCTGTCCCCGAAGCGAAGTCAGCACAGTTGTGCGGTGTCGTAGTTTCTACGTAGGACTGCGCTGGAGTTTACATACAGGGCACTGGAGGATGTGGAAGTGTGAGGTGTGATTGCAAAATAGGGTATGTTTTAATAAAATGCATTGCAATAAAAGGCAGGTTGCTTTTAGTCTTGCCCAGAATAGTTCCCCTTTGCTGGGAGTGGACTTCCCCACCGTTCTCACCGCTTTGAAAAGCTGTTCTAGGAGTCGTCTTGCGTATCCTTAGTTGTGCTGTCATGGCTGACTTCATGTCTTAAAGCCATTCTGAACATTTACCTTTTATGGTCACGTTGACGTTGGGGGAACGGCCACGAGTCGCATGGTGCCAGATCTAGTGAATAAAGTACACGAGGACACACCATGACGATTTTACAAACCTGGCTTTCTGTGGAGTGGCACTCAGCAGCAGCAGTCACTGTGTTATCACACGGTAATAAAGACACACACAACACAGGACTTCCAGAAAGCTTCAGAAAGTGGCAAGAATTATGTGTGCTCAAGGTGAAAGTGTGGGAGAGTATTTTGACAGAGCCTAATGCCAATGTGTCTTTCATTGTAATAAGTTAAACAGTTTTAACATTCACTGTATTTTTGATCACTCATTGTACGCTACTGAATTTATTAAACAGACTTCCCTGTAATTTGTTTTTACTGTCACATGGGTATATAGACATATTATATATGACTAATTGAGGTCCAATTCAGCATAATTTTTTTTAAAGTAAACTGGTAACTTTAATGTAGGCTTCATGTCTAAGATGTATAGACCCTTTCAGGTTACAATACTTTTTCTTCAAGTTTAAACTTCATGTTATAGATTTCTAGGATATATACCTTCAGGATCTATAGGAAAGGAGTTTGGACAGTAGAAACAGTCTTAGACTAGAAAGGTGAAGAGATCTTGTTTCTGGTCTGACGTGGTCTTATTTGAACTTGGTTAAGCATCTTTTTCATTTGTGTATGTGGGAGAGGGAACATAGAGACAGACATGAGCTAAAAATCTAGTTCAACATTTAGATTTTTCAGAAGCTAGAATAAGCTATTCTTGAAACAAGGCAGAAATGTCAAAGAGATTTATTTGACAGAGTACATGTAAAGGAGTAGTTGAAAATGATAAGAATGGTAGGTTGGCCTACCATGACGGACTTTGGATGCTGTACTAGGGAATTTGAATTTAGCCTTGAGCAAAAAGTAGTCAAGGAAGGTGGATTGGATGTGGTGGCCCATGCCAGTAATCCCAGCACTTGGGAGGCTGAGGTGGGAGGATCCTTGTGAGTTTGAGACCAGCCTGGGCTACAAAGTGAACTCAAGTCCAGCCTAAACTGCATAGCAAGACCCTGTCTCAAAAAAGAAAAAAAAAAAAGTTAATGGAAGGTTTTTAAGTGAAGGGAAAGCAGTGATCAGAGTTTTGAATTACTCAACTAGCAATCGATAGAATGAATTCGAGAGGGAGAAATCAAATATAGGTAGCTGACATTATGGGAACTTAAATTAATAGCAGCAATAGGAATGGAAAAAGGAAGGATTCAAAAGAACTGTAGCATGGAGTTTATCTAAATTTGACATTGCTGTAAATTTTATAATTTGTGCTATCAGGATATGATGGCAAGTCACCTTGTAAAACCCGATTCTAGAAATTGCAAGAGGCCAAGAGAAATGGAGGTAAGCTACATGTTTGTGGAGATTTATCTTTTATTCTGTTTTGCATAGTTTTCAGATTCTGTCCATTTAAGGGAGTTCTATTGATAAATGAGAGTTTAATGTTTTAATATTCCAAGAACTAGGATTGTTCTAGCAGGAATCATGTTTGACTCCAGTTGCTTTTTCACTAACTGTAGACATGCAAGAAGTCATTGGGAGATTCTTTTTTGGTAACTTGTGATCTACAGATAGAATGGAATCCATACTTTTATGACACATAGAATTTTATGTAATTTTTTTGTTATAACGTGAAAGATGCCTAAATATCGTACTGGTTGACCTTTTGAAGAAGAGCCCAGTACATTTCTGCCTCTACCAATTGATCTATTGCATTTGAGAATTTTTTGTGTTCCTTGAACATGTATTGTATCCCATAACTTTGCAAGTACTTGGCTGTTATCCAAATTACAGTTGCTGTAATGCTGTGAAAACATATGCTGGCTGAGGATTTAAAGCATATTCAGAATCTAATTTTTTTTTTTTGAGACAGGGTCTCACTGTGCATTCTGGGCTGGCCTAGAGCTTACTGTATAGGCCAGGCTGTCCTCAGAGTCATGGAGGTTTTTGCCTTCAGAGTGCTGGGATTACATTTGGGTGTCATCATGCCTGGCTTAAAATCTAGTTTAAAACTAAAAATTTAGTGTGTTGAATAAGGTGCTTTTTAAGTCTAAAAGTCTCCTTGATAATATAATTTCAAGTGTATGAAATGTACTTTTTAGCATGTTTGCTTTTTCTCTTAAGAATATTTTGCTTTTTTTTTTTAAAGCACAATACGAAAAAAAAAAAGCACAATACGCAGGTATTCTGTCACTGAGCTGCATCACCACCCTGAATTTGTTTTTTTTAAAAAAATAAACAGAGTGTATGTGTTCTAAGGTTCTTACCATTCACAATGAACCTTTTTTTATTTTTTCAAACTTTTCTCAGCCTCAAATTCCAGATAGTCCAATGCTCTCCTCTCTTGGAAAATCAGATTCACCATTTTCTGACTATGCTGGATTATTTTATAAGGATAAGGCCCTGGAGAAAGAGTTGAATGGTGATGTATAAAATCCTTACATTTCTAAATATTTACTATTTCATAAAGAAGATGTTATATTTCATAACTTACTCAGTGATTTTTCTTTAAACAGATACAAGCAAGGAAATTAATCTAATGTTTTTTACATATGCAAAGATCTTAAGGCAAGTACTTACAGTATATTCTTGTAGATCTTTATGTTAGAAATAGTTTTCTTCTGGAAACTGTAATGGAACGTTTAATTTTGGCTGAAAAACTATTAAGTTATTAAAACTTTGAAGTTTTTATTTTAAATACCTTATAATAGGTTATTTTCAGGTTCCAACCACAAGTTTTCCTTTAAACATCTCTTGTTTTGCTATTGCCAGAGCTAATACTATGTTGGATATACTTTGGTCTTTAATTAGGAACCATGGTACTAATGTTAAATTTTATGTGAATACTTCTTTGAGAAAAATACTATTTGATGAAATTAATGATACTCATCAAATGATATTAAAGATAAGTACCTTATGTGTTTATGGTTTATCTTTATATATTTGAAGCCTGCATTTATTGGCCTGAGATTAAAGTGTATTGTAAGATAGTGTTTTAAACTACTAGACAATCAGTATACTTGTATAATGGTTTGTGTGGCTTTAAAAACAATTTACATAGTTTAATGTTAAAATTATAATACATAAGATGTACTTTTTACTGTGTCAAGAGACTTTTTGAGAAAAATTATGTGTATTTGTGGGACTAATTCAATCTTTTGCTGAAGAATATGAGTAAATAAGTAAGCTCTCATGTCTAAAGCCATTTAAGTCACATAGCTAACAAATATAGTATAGTAAAGCACATCACCACGATGATGTATTTAGACTCATAACTTTAGTTTAATGTAAAACTTCTTTTTTTCCTATTAGTGAGAGAGCAGCAGTAGATGCATCCTACATTAATGAGATAGATGAACTCTTCAAGGAAGCTAATACTATTGAGAACTTTCTGATACAAAAAAGAGAGCTCCTGAGACAGAGGCTTACAGTGATTGCAAATACCCTGCACAAATAAAATGTGTACTACACATAAGTGGAGAATTTAAACCTAAAATTGTTATAATAAGAGAATGACCTTTATACTCTGACCTTTCTGTAATCATTAAAGATAATGTATATCTGGAACAGAGAATTTTTTTTTCTAGACTTTAAAAGAACTTTAAGTTGGATGTTAACATGAAATATGGAACTTTTCTTTTGAGGGTTATATATTTGGAACATTTTCTAAAAATGTAAATTATTTAAATCTTACATGGGTTCTGTTTTTTTTTTCTTTTTCCCTTTCACACCTACCCTTTCTTAAACTTCTAAAAACAGAACTCAGTTAATTTTATTATGTCTAACAATACTGTACTTTTTTCTTTTAAATGACTTTAAGTAGCAGACAGTTTTATTTGAAATATATTTAGTGGTCAGTACTATAGAAGAACTTTACAACATCAAAGGTAATTTGTCAGGTTTCACAATACATAATAAAATATGACTGTGTTATTGCTATATAATAGTACCATTTGATTGCTTTCACTATTAGTTTTTATATGTAATTAATAAAAATTTGATTTAAAATTATTCTCTTGTGGAAAAGTACCAGAAAATACTATCACCTTGTATGCATGGTTCTTGCACAGTAATTATATCAGTGTGTGTAGTTAATGAATTGTCTTCAGAAGCCTTAGCAGCACTGTGGTATGAGTTAGAAATCAGTGCAGTGATTGAGGAGTGAGGAGACTGGCTTCAAGGTAACTTCGGCAAGTCACTTCAATCTTATTATAACTTTTTGGGGGGGGTATTTTGAGACAGGGTTTCACTTGGTAGTGCAGAGTGGCCTTGAACTTCTATGTACCCCAGGCTGGCCTTGAACTCTTGTTGATCCTTCTGCTTCAGCTGAGTGCTGGGATTACAGGCATGTGCCACTACACCAGGCTAATCCTATTACAATTTGAAAGTTAATTTGGTCTAAAGGTCCCTACTACTCTGGCTAACAATTTCTTCATTTTGTATAAAGTCCTGCTATGATTTTATTAAAAAGGCAAGTATATTATATAACTACATGAGATAGCTTTATTAACCAGATTTTAAAAATTCATAGTTCCCATTTTTCAATCAAATAGCTGATTCACTCCTTTTATGTGTATTTTTTTCAGTATAAACAATAACAGATTTGGATACATTTGCAAAAAGTACACAGGGAATTGGAATGCCTAAAGAAGACAGCATGTTTGTTTCCTGCCTTCTAAACTCGAAAGTAAAATTTCATTTAATCAGATTACTATTTTACAGCATAAATATTATACTACATAAATACTCATAAGAAAGAATGATGAAAGTAAAATAATAATTTACTTTAAAAATTGGTTAAATGAACAGAGTAGGTTAGGGGTCAACACAGTACTGGAAATGAAATTTAAAAAATTAAACATAACAGAAGACAATAATATATGCCACTTGGATTTTTATCATTTTGTTACAGAAGTATTTAATGTTTGGAGTACAAAGACAATTCCACTGACCTACCATCATAAAAATGTTTTGAATTATTTTTAACCATTTATTTTTATTACGAAAAGTAAGGCCAACAGATTATTTTAGACTGGATTTCATAATATACTTACTATATCCTGGTTCTTGGTGCAGGTTCAGGAGATTGATATGATCATTTAATTTGGTATGATCAGAACTGAGGAGCTGGGTTTTTTTCCCTCAGTACAGGGGATTGAACCCAGGACATTCACACTGAACTACATTAGGGTGTAAATTATTTATTTTTTTAATTTTTAATTTTTTTGGTATTGAGAATGGAATTCACAACCGCACACTTGCCAGGCAGAGACTTACACCACTGAGCTAATATTTTTTTTTTTGATGGAGGATCTCACCAAGTTAGTAAATTGCTCAGGTTGGTCTTGAACTTGTGATCCTCCTGCCTCAGCTTCCCAGAGTGCTAGGAATACAGGCATGTTCCACTATGCCTGGTTAGGCAACTGACTTTTAAGTCACAATATATATGCTGTTCAGCACAGCCACCTTCTAGTTTATTTATTTATTTTTTGTCTTTTTCCTTTTTATCAGTACCAGGGATCAAACTCACGACTACCTGCTTGCAAGGCAGGCGCTTATGCCGCTGAGCTAAATCCCCGGCAGCCACCTTCTAGTTTAAAGGACCTGAAAGCCTAATAATTAAGACTTGATTTTTAAAATAACATTTGATGCTTTAATATCTCCACAAAAACAAGAATAACTTACAACTGGAGATATATGGTTATAGCAATGCCATTGCCTTTTAGTTTACATTTCTAGTGTCACTCATGTCAACAAAATTTCACAAATTCATGAATTACTTTGCATTGATTTCTAATCAAAACATATATTCAACCATCTTTGTACATCATACACTGGAAAATACACAGTAAATTAAAACACTGCCTTCTGGCACTGTTTTACAATTCCTCTTGAACTATACTTCCAACTTTTCTAGGGAGCCGTGTTAATATTGAAAGCATCTCCTTGGCAGTGCTGGGAGAGTTACTGGAAAAACTTTGGGCAAGAAGCTAAGAGCTAGGTAGACTTTGGATTTCTGAAAAGAAAAGGTGGAAGATATTTCAGGCAGGAAAAGGGCTTTTGTTTGTTTTTTTGTACTGGGGATTTAACCCAGGGTCTGTACTCAGTTACAATCATATCTCTCTATTTTTTACTATTTTTATTTTGTTTTTTACTCTGAGAATAGAGTCTTTTTAAGTCACAAATTGTTGCAATATGGATTAGAAGTTGGGAGCCTCCTTATTTAGCCTTCTAGAGTCTGCAATTAAAACCAGGTGCTACCACGCCATACTTGGGGCAAAGGCTTAAAGACAGAAGAACAAAAGCACATCATGGCACACAAATTTACAAGAACAGTGTATCATCTAACTTGGAGAGCAGAGTTTGACTTTTGTTTCTTGGTATTGATTGATTGATTTTTTCTTTTTTGAGACAGAGTCTTACTATGTAATTCATAGTGAGCCTTGAAATTCACTGCATAGCCCAGGCTGGCCTGGAACTCTTGGCGATCCTTCTGCCTCAGCCCCCCCAAGGGCTGTGATTACAGGCTTGTGTCATGACTCCTGCTTTAACCAATGTTTGATACATTGGTTCTCAAAAATGTTTGTTAAAGTAATAAAATCATATATGACTATCGTTTTAAAGGACATACCTTTATAAAGTCTTATTTATAAAAGTAATAGAAAAGGAATGAAAGAATGAAAAGAATGAATAAAAGATGAATAAAAAGAATGAACAGAAGAGGAAAGATGAAAGCAGCCAAAGGACAAAAGTTAAGGTGCTGCTGATTATACGGTCCTTTACCAACTGTCAGTAAATCTGGACTTTATTCTGTACCCGAATCGGGAAGAGGAGTGGCAGAATGAAAGTGATCCGGTAGGTCTCAATCAATACAAGAATTCTAGTGCGGGGACACATTCAAGGGAGACCACTACTGGTTGTCCAGCTTTAATTTTTAAAAATGAAAGAAAGTCTGTTTACAGAGAGCTTGCTGGGTTAGCTGCCCTGAAAGCGATACTAAGAGGGATTACTAGGGGTTGAAGCCCTGCCTCTTCCCTCCCCTCCCCTCCCCAGTGTGTGGCGAGTCTGGAACAACCCAGGGAGCTCAGTGAACGTTCATAATAGGTACTGGAGAGCGGAGAGCAGAGCGATGAGCGGAAGGCTTTGGAAATCCCGGCTTCGGCTGCTACCTGCTACCGAACTGAATTTAAAAATGTTGACTCGAATTCTTCACCCTTTGGTCAGCAACCTTCCTGCCACTTCAGTGGGTTTTCTTTCCTGCATAGCACAGCGGTTCCCAGGTAGGAGATTTGCCCCTGCCCGTTCCTGCACTTCCTCCTCCTCTTCCTAGCAGTCTGCACTTCAGCTTCTGTGCCCGTTCCCCAGGAGATTGCTTAAGGCTTCTGAAGCGTCCCGCTGCGCAGAGCAAACTGGCTGCAACTCCCCAGGCGAAAGTGAAAGGAGCTGGGCCAGCAGCGTTGGTCCTTGTTAGGGAAACAGCCTCCATGTTCATGTGTTTTATTCGATGTATGTGGGCAGGGTTCAGGGTTTGGAGTTTTACTGAACCTATGAAAGGGAGAATATTCATTATTCAGACATCTAAATTGAAGATTACTGCCCTATGTTCTAAAGTGTAATGTTTGATTCTTTTATTTGCATTATGGGAAATTGCCTTAACATTGGTGGTTTTTGTTTGTTTTGTAGTTTCCATTATAGCTTCTATTGTTTTATTTCTTTTTTGGTTTTTTTGAGACAGGGCTTCCATGTAGTGCAGGCTGGCCTCTAACTCCCAGCAGTCCCGCCTCGGCCTCCCAAGTGCTGGGATTACAGGCCTGTGCCACCACGACTACCTATAGTTTCTACTGTTTCATGATTTTATTTCTTGAAATTTACTGATATAGAACTGTCAAAAATTTCACTGATGTACTGTGAACTGTGAATTCATTTAATTTAGTAATTTTGTATTGTATAAGAAATGTGTTAGGTACTGGAAAGAGATGGTAAGCAAAACCTGCACTGTGTATTCAAGGAGTGCTGATAATGGAGGTTTTCAGTACATTCATCTTTATCATACAAGACAGAACAAGATAAGGGCCATACTACAAAGTGAGCCAAGGCCAGCTTGAACTGATGGCGAGACCTTCATCAGTGCCTGGCACACAGCCTAGACTGCACCCGGTGGACTATGTCAGGCCATTTGTGGGGTGTTGTGGAGGAGTGCGTCATACAGTTAGTTGTTTGCCTGTCTGTTTATTGACAAGAGTCTCGCTGTGTAGCCAGGTTGGTTTCAAACTCCAGAGTGCTGAAATTACAGGTGTGTACCACCACCACCGTGCCAGCTAGATCTACACCTAGTAAAGCTAACTTGGTAGCATTGTTTCCCAGCCTTTTTCACATCATTACACAGGCAGAAAATACTATTTGTACTGCACATTGTTGTAAATAGAATGGGATCAGAAGTCCCAGTGAGTCCTGTGTCATCTCCCTGGCAGCTCCCCACTGGCCTTGTGTAGGCATGTCTGTAGAATTTAGAGAACGTGAGGAGTGGAAAACAATAATTCAGGGCCTGCAGAGATCTTGTAGCTGGATAATATAGCTGGTGACAAAATTGATTTGGAAGGGGAAAATATTCTCTGTTAATACATTGAGAGTCACCTGGAAGAAAGAATTAGAGAACACATGAAATTACCAGGGAGAATGCTGAGGTTAAGGGGTAAAGGTCCAGGGGTTGTATCTTAGGAATCTTTGTGTGGTGATAAGGGGAAGGAGGCACTAAAAGGCATTAACACTTGGACAGTAACATTTAATGATGAAGATAGACGTATGTAAACAGGAAGTATTAACTTTCTTTTATCCCCGTTTTATCATGGAAAAACTTGAGACTCAGAGAAATTAAAGGATTTGCTCAAAGTGGACAGCAAGTGAGCTGCAGAGCTGGCCCAGAGCAGAAAGTGGCCAGAGACTGAGTGAGGAAGCTGGGGTAGGACAGTGTCTCAGAAGCCCAGAGGAGAAATGGTTTGAGGAGAAGCTGGCCACCATAGCAAGTATTCCAGAAAAGTCTGAAGAATATATAATAGACTGCCAACAGCATGGAATATAGAACGTATGGGTAATATGTTTTCTAAAATGTGAAAATATTTAAAATTCATTCATATCAAATGGTATAGTGACTTATACTGTAATCCAATATTCTGGGAGGCTGAGGCAGGAGGATCACAAGTTCAACCTCACCTGGGCAACTTAGTGAGTTCCTGTTTTAAAATACAAGATAAGAAATGGCCTGGAGAAATAGCTTAGGCCCTGAATTCAATCTCCAATTCTGAACAACAAAAAACAGCAAAAAATTCATGTACCTCTATTTCTACAAATGCCTAATCAGGCTATTCAATTTAAGTTTACTTAAATAAGTAGGATGGATAAAATATGTGACTTCCGAGAGCTTGTTTCAGTCTAAGAGGAGAGTAATACAAACACAGGTAATGTTAATGAAAGTAAAGTGAGGTAAGTACCTGAGGTTCCTTCTCTCCTTTTCAAAGCATCCTCCTAAGAATGCTTAACACTGATTCCCAATTTGTTGTTGTTGTTGTTCCAGGGATTGAACTCACAACCTTGTGCTTGCCAGGCAGGCACTTATGCTGCCCAGCCCCCTGATTCCCAAATTTTATTATATGTAGGTTTACTGGCTGGCTTCACCTGGGAGATTCTGACTTACTAGGTCCAGAGTAGAATTGAGGAATTTGTGTGTTAGAACCACCAGACAGTATTTTTGTTGCAAACAGTCCTCACATCAGATTTTGAGAAACAATGCTGAAGTGAAACACTTACCAATGATCTGTTTGTCTTTTTACTAGAGAGTGAGTTCTTTTGTGCACAGATTCTAATTCCTTTTATGTCAGCAGTGCTTAGCACTTTGTTGAATGAATCATTTGAAGAGAAAAGAAACATTATATGTCTGATTAGATTGACCGTGAAAAGCTATGTAATAATCTTTGAGTACTGAGTTATAAAAGCTTTACCTAAACTAACTCACTTATTATGGCCTTAGGCATGGTAAGAATCACAGTATTATTTTCCCACCTTAGAAAGGAGGAGACAGTATGCAGAGGCTGAGAGTCTTTCTCAGAAACTGACCAATACTGAACCCAAGTAGTCTGGAGCCAGGTAGAGATCTCCTGTACTCTTAAATATTATTGTATGTACCTGTAAAAGAAAGTAACATTTGAGATACATTTTGAACATTAGAAATTTCTTCTCTTTCTTTTTTTTTTTTTTTAAAGTGCCAGGGTTTGAACTCATGACCTTATGCTTGCCAAGCAGGCGCTTGAGGCACTGAGCTAAACCCCCAGCCCCTACATTAGAAATTTCTTAGGGAAGGTGTTCTTTCTTTCTTCCTTTTTTTTTTTTTTTTTTTTTTTTTTTTTGAGGCAGGGTTTCACTATGCAGTTCAGGCTGGACTTGAACTCACTTTGTTTTTTTTTTTTTTTTTGTCTTTTTCCTTTTTATCGGTACCGGAGACTGAACTCACGACTGCCTGCTTACAAGTCAGATGCTTATGCCACTGAGCTAAACCTCCAGCCCCTGAACTCACTTTGTTAGCCCAGGTTGGCCTCCAACTAGCAGTGATCCTCCTGCCTCTGCCTCCCAAGTGCTGGAATTACAGGCGTACACTATCACATCTGGCCTAGGGAAAGGTTTTGGGAAAGGCATTTCAGGTAAAAGTAAATTTTGTTTGGGATGTCAAGAAGTTATTGAACTCGACTGAATTGTTACTTACAGGAAACTCGACAGTCTCAGGTACTCCAAATTGAAAGATGTAAAAGAGATTGATCGTTGGCTGGGCATGGTGGCACATGCCTGTGATTCCAGCACTCAGGTGGCTGAGGCAGAAGAATTGCTGTAAGTCTAGGCCAACCTGCGCTATATAGTGAGCTAATGGCCACCCTGAACTACACAATGAGACCCTGTCTCAAAAAAAATTGGTATAGATAAAATATAAAATTTGCTGAAAAAATACTAACTTTACTCATTCAGAGTAATAGTATCCCTATGTATTAATTTATTTTTCTAAGCTAGACTTCTGTGTCATTAAATTTCTCTGAAATGAAATAAAGCCTTGAATTTATATTATATAATTATAAATTTGCCCACCCCTCTGTATTAGGCAATTTTGGTTTGTGAACATTCAGTAAGTATGAAAAAATGGGAATTTTCAACTCCTGATTATATAATAAAGAATGGCTTTGGGACTTAGGTAATTTTTTTTTAAATTTTATTTTAAGGAGAAAAAAAAAAGCAGAGAAAGGGTGCAAGTTATACAGATTTACAGAAAAAAATAAACAGTAGGAAATCACTAGTTAATGGATTACATATTGTCATCTTAGAAATAATTGTTCAAGTCACAAAATTAAAGCTTGTAAAGTGGACATACCAACAATGATACTGCAAACAGTTCTGTTCAATGATCCAATAAAACTCAGTGATACCATTTTCTATCTTATATACTTAAATATACATGCAGTTATATCATTTAGAGCACTTTCTTTTCCTCTCTTTTGTACAATGACAATTAACACATTTTGGGTTTTGTTACTCCCACAGTTCTTATTACTTTTTTGGAAGGGAGTAGAACCAAATGTGACATAACAGAACAGAGTCAATCAAATCAAAAGGGTGGACATAATAGATAATGTAAAAGCATAATACAAGGTGATCAATAATGGGTACCATAATGCCTCCCGCTATATAGGCAATAGAATTGCCTATATCATCAGTTATAATAAAATTGAACAAAACAGTAAAGAACAAAACCGACAAAACCAAAACATTGGAGACACTGTAGGTCTTCAAAAGTAGATAAAAGTCATCGAGAATGGGTGTCATAATGAATCTCACTGTCTTCACAACTGTTGCCTAAACTTTCGAACCTGGTACTATCAAGCAAAACAGAATGGGGGACATCAGTCAAAAACAAGATGGTAATACAGGGCTTTAAATCAAGATAATGGAAAGTCAAAGTGGGTTACTATAATATATCCTGCTATTTTTATTTATTTTTCCCTTAATTAAAAGGATAAAAATAAAAAAGTAAATAATGGAGTGGAGATTGAGATAAAAGAGGGCATAACAGAAAAACAGTGAAGATCAAAACAACCATTTAAGCAGAATAGTGTTTCACCACAAGATAATCCTGACATAAAAGTAGTTACCATATTGTCTCTTTCCTTAAAATCCTTGAGTACAACTTTGTATACTGTAGCATTAAATATATCGAAACAATGTAAAACCATTTAAGAGAATGACAGCATTACAGGGTATTTAGAATCAACTAACAGAAAATGAACAATGGTTTCTGTATAATCTTGTCTTTAAAAGTTTTTGCTTATACTATCGTACATAATAAAATCCAATAAGATACAACCTGTTTAGACCAGTGGAGACAGAAGAACAAAAGCTTGATGAGACTTCAAAACGATGATACTAAATCAGTATTACCTATTAAGACGTCATTTTCTCCAAAATAGCTGTTCCTATCATGGGGACTTAGGTAATTTCATAATGAGTAACACTGTGTAATTTAATTTATGAAAATGCTATGTATTTTCACGAATATCCTATTAGAATGGAAGATATCAAATTTCACATCCTATTAAATTCCCGGGAATCACAGTGAGATCTTTAGTATCACATTCTTGTGTATGTAAACCACTAGAACCAAGGTAATTATGTAGATAATGAATGGTGGTAGATTTTTTGTTTTTGAGACAAGCTTTTGCTAAAGTCACTCAAGTGACCAGCTGGGCTCAATAGTCATTGTTTAGGTTTTTCGGATTTTGTAGCAGAATAGATAAAAAGGTTTTTGATAGTGTGAAAGTTTTTTTAAGCAAAAAAAAAAAAATTCCACATAAAGATTGCCGTTATTTAGAACAAATCAAGTTGCATTAGCACATCTACAGTTAATATGCAGAGCTGGTCTTATAAAAAGGCAAGCGTTGTTCAACCATGGAAACAGAAATGGTAGTCAGGAGTTAATTCTTAGGCAGATTAATAGTAGAAGAAACCCAAGCAGGATCGCTCTGCTTCACAAGTGAGCATCGAAGCCCTGAAAGCCTGAGGATGGGCAAGGAGAGGAGAACCTGGAGACTTGCTCCGCTACCTGGTGCTGCTTCTGATTTCCTTTGCAGGTGTGAGGACGCCGGGGACCCCGGCCGGGAGCAGCGCCGCCTCGGGGCTGCCGCGGGTGGCGCCGCTGCTGAGCTCGGTGCCCGCGACGCCGCGCTCCGTCCCGGCCCGCGTCCGCGGAAGCCTGCCCCGCTGGCTGCGCGGCTCGCTCCTCCGAGTCGGACCTGGCAAGTTTGAGTTCGGGGAGGACAGGTAAGCCTCGATTCTGGCGGGAACTTGGGCGTGTCGGCCAGACCGGTTCTGTAGAATAGGCTTCATCCCATCCCATCTGGGGTGCACGTTGATTACACATTCCAAACGGTAGCCTCCACGAGGAAAAGAAAAAATGTTGCTTTTTCTACTCTGCTTAATATTACAAATTTGAAGTCCTCTGTGAGTTTATGAGAGACAGACAGACAGACCGCGAGGGGTCAGTTCCCTGTGACTCCCCCAGTTCCTGGAAGGCCGGTCTCCACCTCCCGCCGCTTCCCTCACCAGCGCCCGCCGCGGACACAGCAGCCTCTTTCACTTCCGTGCTCATCGCGTTTCCTTTGGTCGCATTTGCCGTCGGGTTCCTAACTCTGTCTTCCCTGATCATCGGGGGTTTGCTTCCTGTCCTGCAGCTACCCGGCCAAGCTTCCTGTTCTCTGAGGCTTCCCTGACTCTTCGGTCTAAAGCCCTGGGATATTCTACCAGTTTGTGCGGCATCACCTTGGCTAGTGCTTTTTATTTGTATGTTGCTGTGCTTCCCACGGTGTGTGAGCTCCATGAGGGTGGGGACCTTTTACTTTACCTGGTATTCCCAGGACAGGGAACAGTGGCCCCACCTAGATAACGCTCAGTAAATGCAGTGTACCTGGATGAAAAGCCAGTGACTTGTTGGGCCAGAGCTCTCTATGTGTCTAGTAGGGATGTGACATTATGTGAAGAAAGGCCTATAGCCAGGAAAAACTTCGCTTTATTTTTAACATTTTTAAATGTTAGAAAAATTTTTTTCATTATAAAAATTTTTAGTTGTATAAAATTTCTGAACTATGGAAAAGGGGCGGGGGCAATCCTCTATTAACACGTTGGTGTATTGCTGGCTGTCTTCTCCACTATTCCTATACATTTGTTCTAAATAATTGCAGTCCTATGTGGAGTTTTTTCTGTTCAAAAAGACTTTTACGTTATCAGAACCTTTTTATCTATGCTGCTACAAAATCTGAATGACCATTACATGTATATATATACATATATATATATTTTTTTTTTTAACTGACTTTTGGGTTTTTGAGATAGGGTCTCTCTGTATTGCAGGCAGCCCTTGAACTCGCTGTGCAGCCCAGGCTAGCCTTGAACTCGTGACAGTCCTCCTGCCTCAGCCTCCCAAGTGCTGGGATTATAGGCAGGCACCATCATGCCCTGCTATGACCATTATTTTTACTGGCTGAATGATGTTCCAAGAATCATTTTTTTAAAGAAAAAAACTATGACAAAATGTACATAGCCTAAAACTTACCACCTTAATCATAACAGTTCAGTAGTGTTAAATGAATTCACTCTGTGCTACTGTCAGCAACATCCATCTGCAGAACTCATTTTATCTTGAAAACTGAAATTCTGCGCCCATTAAACACTACCTGCCGACTTCCTTCCCTTCCCTTGTTCCCGGCAAACACCTTTCTCTTCCTTCCCGTAGTGGGGCTGGCTGCGCTCTGTCAGGGCCACATTGTGCCACTCTGCCCATTGTCAGAAACAGCCCATGACCAGGGCATATTTCAAGTGCAAGACAGCTTTAAGATGTGCTTGTTTCTGAATTCCACTTACTTTTATTTACCAAACATGCTACAGTTTGTCTTCACTGAATAATCTATCTGTGGAATGCACCCCTCTCCAGGTGCTGGACAAATACGGAAGGAATTACTTTAATGCCAGAGTGTGGGGAAAGTTGGAGGTATTTTTGCAGAAGAAAAATAGGATGAGTGAGAGCAGTTCTGCTTTTCCTTACTTTATGTGTCTGTCTTTCACACAAGTTAAATTTTTTTTTAAAAAAGCATCAGTCAAAGAGAAAAAGGAAAAGAGGAGGAGGAGAAAAAGGAAAAGAGGAGGAGGAGGAGAAAGAGAAGGGATAGAGGAAAGTGAAGGGGAGGAGAAAAGTGATACTGCAGCCCCAGTTGGTAATAACCTCTTTTTTTTTTTTTTTTTGCCTTCTTCATTTTTATCGGTACCAGGGATTGAACTCACAGCTGCACACTTACAAGGCAGGCGCTTATGCCGCTGAGCTAAATCCTCAGCCCTGGTAATAACCTTTTGCAGAAAGTTTATGGTATTTTCTGTGCTGCAGAAGGAGAAGCCCTGCTGTATTATTCAAGTAACTGAGGCTGCAGTGGATTTGCAGTAAGAAGGCCTGCCCTTTGGGTGAGAAAAGCAAATATCTTTAGGCCCCATGGAGCCTGGACACTCATTTGAGAGGTTGGATTCCCAGATTAGATTTAAAGGGAGGGGTAGAAAGCTGGAGAAGAGCTGGGTAGCTCTTCGCCTGTAGATAAGAATCACCTCACACAACTGTGAAGCTCTGATCACACTGCTAGATGCCATTTAACAGATCCGCATCTATGTGTACACATACTAGTGACATGCTGAAGGCATTTTCAATTAATTTTTTAAGCCAATGATTTAATTGAAAGCGTGCTTCTCTGTTTTTTGAGTTATATGAGTATGGCAGGATGCTGAGTAGCCTTATCACCTTAATATCTACCACTCTCCTGGGAGGACTTAAGGTTCCACGATGATGCTGGTGTAGCCTCTCGGTTCCTGGACTGTCCCTACCGCAATGACTGTGACACTGTGTGACACAGGAACAGGGCCGCATACCCAGGCCTACCTGGAACCTGTTCCACAGTATTGCCGCAGCCTTGAAAGTTTGACCTCTGAAACTCACTGCACAGAAGGCCCAGTTTTCACATTCTTATAGTCCCATTAAACTTATTTCTTCCCAACAAGTTGACTTCTTACTGTTCAGCTAGCTTTTTATTACTGTCTTCTGGAAGCTCCTGGGTCTGTACAGGTAGTGTAGAGGTCACTAGTTGCTTTTCGTGATGCACTTTGGGCATTGCCAAGTGTAGTCCTTTGCTCAGCTCTAAGATCCGACCACCCTGACTAATTTAGGAGAGGAGGATGCCATGTCATTTGTCCAACAATAGTTCTCTGGGCATGTACTCAAGTATTGTTAATGTCACAGAAGTAATCTTAGTTTTGACTTACAGAGAAAACATTAATAGCAATAATTATGTGACCCTGGTAATATCAAGATAATCAGCGACAACTGTATCATCCAAGACAAACTGCATACTAACATACAGGGAGAACGGATTACATACCACCTTTAACTCTAAAGAAGAAACCCCCAGTTACAGTGTAAGCATTAAGACAGTGTAGGCATTGACTTACAGTTAATATGCAATAAATGTGACAGCTATGTCTCTACTAATGGTAGAATTCAACGGTAATTTTACAGAATTAACTCACTAAAGATTAATAAAGCTTTAATATGATAGGAGTTTGGGAATAGGAATGCAAGGGGGAAATTTTGAAACACTGAGCTGCATGATAAGAGGAGAGAGAAGGGGTGCAAAGAATCCTATTGGGGAGCAGAAGCATGAGTACAGACCTAGGTGAAGGTAAGAGAAAAAAATGAGAAATAGAAGAAAAAAGTAAAATAGGGAGAGAAAATGATATTGGGATTAAAAATAAATCAAAAAATTAAAGGGAAAAGGAAAAAAGTACCGAAAACAGAAGCACTGAGCATGCCAGTGCAGTTTGTAATCCCGGCAGATGGGAGGCTGAGTCAGGAGGAGAGTTTGAGAGTTTGCTGTGAGTTTGAGACCAGCCTGGGCTCCACAGTGACTTCAAGGCCAGCCTGAACTGCATAGTAAGACCTGCCTCAAAGGAAAAAAAAGCCCACAAAACAACAAGAAACAGAAAAATAAAAACTAAGAAAAAGATAAGAATCAAGGAAAAAGGACAAAGGAAAATTCCTCAAACCCCAATAATCTGGTGAGGTAGAGAAGCGGAGAAGAAAGAATAAAGAAAAATGAAAACAAGAATGTCCTCAAAAACAGTTCACACACACGCGCACACACACACACACACACACACACACACACACACACACACGTACACGCACATGCACATACACACACGCACATTTTCTCTGTGATTCTGATCGTGTGATTTTCTTCCAGGATCTATGATTCAGGGCCGGTGTCCAGTCAGGGCATGACCCCGCTTACGCTGGCTGATAAAGAGGGTAGTCGGACCCAGATCCAGGCCTGACGCAGACAGCAACAGCCAAAGGACCAGGGCAGGGGCACCAATGCCATGACTTTCCGACCCAGAGCAAATCCGGCTGGGCCTGGCCTCTGGTCGGGGGCAGCGCCTGTGTTCTCTAGCTTAAGCCCCGTAAGGACCCTTCAGCTTTTCCCTGGTCACAGCTGGCTCCCGTGCTCCTCTCTTACCCGGTCACTGGGAACACAACACAGGCAACCTTGAGGTGGGGCCGTTCTGCAGCTGTTCTGAGTCACAGGTCCAGTCAACCTTCCCCAGAGGTGCCCAGCCAAGCCCTCTGTCTAGGAATATGACAGGTGCTCTGGCTGGAGTCACTCTCAGCAGCCTGGCAGAGGACTCACGTGGGGGTGTAACCCTGTGCTTTCCCTGCAGCTCTCAGAGCTCTCTGGTCCAGTCCACTGCCACGTTTATCCCTGAGGCCCTCTGAGGCCCTAGCTTGCACTTTGGGTCTGTAGGTTCCCTTTCCTTTTCCTGACGGCCATGAGCTGGGAGTCCAGGGGAGAGTGAAGACTGTCCTTCCCCTCTGCACTGTGTTGTGTCTCTTTAATTTCTCTGTGTGTTTTAATTTTCTGTTGGATCCTTCCTTGTTCTTGGGGAGCTACTTCTTTTTTCTTCCCCACACTGTTATTTTCCGGGGTCTGAATTTTGAATCTCAGAAAGGCTGAGTTGTCATTCACCACTCCTCTATTTTCTATTTCTGCCCCCCCGCTTCATATTCTCTCTCTCCCTTTCTCTGTACTGGGAATGGAATTCAGGACTTTGCCCTTGCCAGGCAGGCTCTATGCCACTCAGCTGTATCCCTGGCCCTTCCCCTCTATTTTCTTACCTCTAGTTTTGAAGTACAGATGGGTCGCTTTATTTCTTACTCTGATCTATGCTTTTCTTACTGGTAAGAATTTTCTTTTCTTTTTTCTGGTTTGTAGGTATAATCACTGGTTTGATGGAATGGCTTTGCTTCACCAGTTCAGGATAGAGAATGGTTCAGTTACATACAGGAGCAAGTTTCTGCAGAGTGATACTTATAAGGCCAACAGTGCTCAGAATCGAATTGTGATTTCAGAGTTTGGCACACTGGCTCTTCCCGACCCATGCAAGAATATTTTTGAACGTTTCATGTCAAAGTTTGAGATGACTGGTAAGCAGTTATCAACATGCCCAGAATTTTTGGTGATCATGATCATTATTTCAATTATTGATGATCATTATTTCAATTATTGAGATCTATGACAATCTATAGAAACAGAAACCTTGAAAAACATTTTGAGGATGTTGAGACTTCTGAGCATGTGATTAGGGTTTGCTACCATACCTGTGGTACTAAAATGACTCTGATGGTCGGTTTTAGCCATGACTGACAACACCAATGTCAACTATGTGCGGTACAAGGGTGATTACTATATGAGCACTGAGACCAATTTGATGAATAAAGTGGACATCGAAACTCTGGAAAGAACAGAAAAGGTAATGGATAGTTAAAAATGAATTTCTTCCATCCAAAGTACTTTTAAAAATAGTAAATATCTGAAGCAATTGGAGCCTTAATGACATAAACAAAATTAATTCAGTTAACCTTCCCCTTCTGTCCCAACTATGGACTATGTAGGGTCTCTTTAAAGATAATTCTAAATCTCTTCCTTATTTGGAGGAAGATCTGAAGATTGGTGTAAAGGAGAAATAAAACAGTATTGATCTACCTAGTGAATCATGTTCTTTTTCTGAGTTACAATTAGTACTGCACTAGAGATTGTCTAGACCTACCTTGCCTTAATGAATTAGTTAAAAGTAAAAATTCAGACCAAAATTTAACTTTAAATCGAATGCTTCTTTTGAACTATCTTGTGGTTTTAGACAAATCTATTCAGGATTTTTGTGTGTATGTGTATGTTGGTAAGTTTTTTATAAAGATATGGTCTTGCTGTGTGGTTCAGGCTGGCTTTGAACTTGCTTATGTAGCCTGTGCTGGCCTCAAACTCACAGCAGTCCTCCTGCCTCAGCCTCCTGGGCTGAGTGCTGGGATTATAGATGTGAGCCACCACACTTGGTGGCAGGTTTTTGTTTTTGTTCTGTTTTTAAATTCAAAAAACAAATTTTTTTTGTACTGGGGGTTGAACTCAGGACCTTATGCCTGCCAGGCAGGTGATGTGCCCCTGAGCTAAATCCCTGGCCCTTAAATTCAAGTTTTAAAAAATTTAATGGGAAAATAATTTTGATTTCTCAGAGGTAAGAAATTATGGCATATACTGTAGTTTGTATATTTTATTTTAAAAATATTTTACATGTCCCTACTATTATGTGATGTCAATAGAGACCAGCACATGTAATTTAAAAAAAAAACTTTCATGATCCTACATTTGTAGGTAGATTGGAGCAAATTTATTGCTGTAAATGGAGCAACTGCACATCCTCATTATGACCCAGACGGAACAGCATACAATATGGGGAACTCCTATGGCTCACAAGGTAAAGTGGGAATCGAGGTCTTTCTAGAGATAATTGGGCGTCCGCTGTTTTCTTAGGGATCCCTTCTGGTCAAGATATAAAATGAAATTTCATGTAAATGTTTCAGAAAGAAAATCTTGTGGCATTAGTGAGCTTAAAATGTGGGATTCTGTGGTCCTTTTGTAACTATGTGTAACAGCTGATTTGCTGTTTGGCCTTTTTAGTACAACTCATATTTTTTATGTTCCATTATGAATTTGGCTTTTAACATATAGGAATCCTCAGTACATATTTCTTAAACATGAATTTTTAAAAGTGCCATGTTGTACATAGAAGAAATTTAGAATGAATGCTTCATCAAAGAGATATAAGGAAAGTACATTATTTGTGACATAGGATGGAATTTATTTTTATCAGGGAATAATGCACTACAAAGTAAATTCAGTTCCTAGTAGATTGTATTTACAGCTATTCAAATCATGCCTCCTTCCACATACTTCCATGATTGCCTACCAGCTGTTCTAGAAAGTTCTTATAGCCAGTATGATAACTAACATTTGTTGAATACTACACGCTGAAATTAAACATTTTCGGCTATGCTATATTTTCTTACTTACTCCTTATATGAAGGTGTTTTTATTACCTCCCTTTTACAAATGAGGGCAGTGAGCTTTGAGGAGGTTTAAATCACTTGCTTAAGGCTTTCTGTGTATCATCACTGGTCAGGTGCAGTGGTGTAGGCCCAGTACTGGAGGAGGTTGAGTGGGGCAGGATGAGCACAAGTTCTAGTCCCACCTGAACAATCTAGCAAAACCCTGTGTCAAGATAAAAAATAAAGAATAAAAAGGGACTGAAGATGTCGCTCAGTGGTAGAGTGATTTTGGAAACAAGCTCCAATACTGGGAAAAGAAAAACCATTCTAGTAGACCATCCCAATTAGTTACCTATCACTGGTTACTGCAGACTGCACTGCTTTTTAAAAAATACTTGATCTCTACTTGATCATGAGGGCACGCCAATTCATGTCCCTACACGTAAGTAAACATATCTTGACTTGAAAAGGAATGTGTTAGATACTTCTGGCTGTGTCTAAGTGTTTTTATTGTTGTTTTTTGTCTTTTTCCTTTTTATCGGTACTGGGGATCGAACTCAAGACTTCCTGCTTGCAAGGCAGGCACTTATGCTACTGAACTAAATCCCCAGCCCCCTGCATCTATGTGTTAGTTAGCAATAAACTTACCTACAGTTTGTTAGATCTTTGTGTAAGTTAGGAGTATGTTGGGTGAGTGATTGTCTTTGTGAGTTTGCTGTGACCCACACAGCCAGCAGGGTCCTGAGAGGGGCCGATGGGAAATAAAGCTGGGACCCGGGGGGCCCTAAACTTTGTAGCAGAGAGGCAGCCACCCCGTGTGTGTGCAGAGAAAGGTGGGCACCGGTGCGCTCCGGGCTGACTGAGGCTCAGGACCGGCGAGCTGTGGCTGGCCATTGGCTTGGGACAGGGGCGCAGCTGCGGGTGCCCGGGCCAGGGCCAGGCGTCCGGCCTGCGTTCCTCACTGTGCTACTTCCCTTCGCCTGGCAGGATCCAGGCTCGGTGTAACTCTGGTTCCCACCTCCTGCCGCAGGCTTGGTGCGCCCTCTGCTGCCCAGGGTCTGTGAGAAGTGGGGAGAGGAGGGGAAAGCAGGGGTTTCACCTGTTAAATGACCCTGTAAAAGTCTGCAGGAGTCTAGACAGGTTTGAGCTGGTGTACTTTTTCCCTGTCCTTGCTCTAAGCCACTTTCCTGCCTTCTTCCAAAGTGTGAAAACTTATAGTTCTTTCTTCTGGGAATCAAGGACAGGTCCCTTGAACAAACTCAAGAAATTAGGAATTGTGCAGTCCTGATAGGTGTCCCTCTAACCCTAAGCAAAGCTTTAACATATCAATATACGAAGAATGATCTTTAGATCCTAAATCTCCCTTAGCTTACCCTAGTGACTACTCGGTGCACTCTGTGCCTTAGTCCTATGGCCTGCCTGGAGCGTTTCCTTGTCTCAGTTTCTCCATGCTTATGCCCCACATTGGGTACCACCTGCCGTGACCCACGCAGCCAGAGGGGGCCTCAGAGGGGTGATTAAGAAAAAATCAGGGGCTGGGGATTTAGCTCAGCGGCATAAGCGCCTACCTTGCAAGCAGGCAGTCGTGAGTTCGATCCCTGGTACCGATAAAAACGAAAAAGAAAAAAAGAAAGAAAGAAAAACTCAGGCACAGAAGAATCTGGGACTAGGTGGGACCTGACTGATGGAGAGGCAGTGACAACCCAGCACAGTCCACATCTTTAATTTATACACCATAAAAAGGGGGAGGCGAGCAATAGAGCCAAAAGTACAAGGTCTCCGTGTTTTGCTGAGAACACTGAAAGCAAAACATTCTCACGGTTATGTGTGCAGTAGTTTCAGGGAGGAACACCAAGGCTGGACATGTGTTGATACGCCAGCTTACATGGTCTGCCTCTGGAGGCCTGTGTCCCCCTCCCTGACCATCACAAGGTCCGCCTCTGGTGCTTCCTGGTCTGCCCTCGCCTCAGATGTGTGGCTGATCTCCAGCTTAGCTGCTCCCCACTTGGGTTGCTCCTCTGAATCTCTCCAGGTTTATACAGTGAATGTATGTGAAGATGAATACTGGGGTTCTGTTTTTTACTGGCTCAAGTACAAATAGGATACCCTGGACACCTCATTACTCAGCTTCTGTCCTGTTCTTTAATCTCAAATAGAGATAAATTCTTTAAAGCTGTTATATGTAAAACATTAAGCAGCTTCCTAAGTAAAATAGCTCAGCAAATAGATACACTGAGCTAGTAGGGTTTTTCACATATCTATCTTTTTTGAAGATTAAAAATCTATTTCTCAATTAACTCTGTTAATCAAGTAGATCACTTTGTAACTCTTTGATGACATAAGAAATACTGTTGAACCATTCTGAGCTACATATTTTAACAAGGTCATTAAATCAGCAATCATCAGCCTGTGGTGTGTGTAAGAATCACTTGGAATGTTTGCTGGGTTACTGAGCTTCATTCTTTTTCAGGGGTTCTGGTTTAGCAGAACAGAAAAGGGGTAAGAATCACATTTTTAACGTGGTCCCCGGGGTGATCTTGGAGTGTTTAACCTGGTCTTCATTGGAAACCCAGCTACCAATCATGAAGGGTGGTGCTTGTAACTTTGCCTCAATCTGCTATTTATGCAAACTGCCGGAGAGCCAGCAGAATGAGATTACAGTACTGAGCAGATCAGATTTCTGTTAGCATCCCTCTGCTGGGTTTTCTTGGGTGCTTGTTTGCCTTGCCTAATTGCCTTCAAGAATTGCAATTAGAACAGTTTATTGACTGGTGAGTTTATACTCAATGAATTGAGTAATCACTTAATCTAACTGCTGAGAAATTCTTTGTCTTTTAGTCCCAAGTAACACTGGATTATTTGGTTCAGTGAGAAGTATTTGAAACTGGAACTGAATGTATAGGTAGCCACAGGGAGCTCAGCTACCTAGGACAGCTTTGCGGGAAAGTTATGATACTCACTGCAATAAAATACAATGTTTTGTATTAATTTCTGCCTTTAGGAAGTAAAAAGCTATTAATTATTTTAGCTTTTCCATATATGTTTTAAATCATTTAAAAAACTAATAAGAATACTTTAAACATTAATCCAGTTAGGTTTAATACTTATTTAAAACATGTGCTTTATACTAGATAATCTGTGTTCTTGGAACCATAGAACTTTTCTATTATTTCTTTTATCATTAAGCAAAGCATGATATATAATATATATATTAAATTAGATTTATATACATTTTTATTTAAAAATATGTATATTCAGCTGGTTTCTCAAAACATGCCTGTATTTCCAATAAGAAACTCTACAGTAATTTATATCTAGCTGTTTACCCAGTGTTTATTTTTCTAGAGGATTCCTAATAGGCATTACAAAATTAACTTACCCAAAACCAAACTCCTGATCTTTTCTACCAACTTTCTCTTCTTAAAGGATCTTCCCCACCTCAGCTGATGGTAATTCCCATTGCTCAAGACACTAACTTTGGAGTCATCTTTCATACCTCTCACAGCCACGTGTTCCTGGCCAAAAAGCAATGTTACCACCGTCTTCAACATGTCTCCAAACTCCAGCCACTTGCCGCCTTCTCTGTGCTGCCACTCTGCTTCAATCCTGCGTCCTCGCGCGCTTAAGGCGATTGCAGGAGCCTCCCAGCTTCCTGGCTCGTCCTTACCCAGCTCACTGCCCTGTCACCGTGACTCCTAGCTGTCCTCCCTTCCTCCCTTTCTTCCTTCCTTTCTTCCTCCCTCCCTCCCTTCCTTCCTTCCTTCCTTCCTTCCTTCCTTCCTTCCTTCCTCCCTTCCTCCCTCCCTCCCTCCCTTCCTTCCTTTTTTTTTGTGGTATCAGGGATCAACTGGAGAGCTTGCACTTGCCGGGCAGGCGCTTGTACAGCTGAGCGAATCCCTGGCCACTCCCACTTATTCTCACCTCCCTCACCTCTCTGGAGACTCATTTCTCTGTTTATCGTGACAGAGCCAGACTGGCTTCCTTGCTGTTATCTGAACATTCACACGTGTCCTGGCTGAAGACCTTAGGGTTTGTTCTCCCTTCTGTCCGGAATGCGTCCCTCCCGGGTACCCTCCAGGCTGTCTTCACCTTCTTCAGGTCTTTATTTAAGAGCTGCCTATTCACTGAAGCCCTCTGGGATCATCACATTTAAAGCTGCAAACTGTAGCCCCACTCGTGCACAATCCTCCATGTTCCCTTGTTTTCTGTCTGGTATAGTTCTTATTACCCCTCACATATTCTATTTTGCTTAGTAGATGATTCATTAGCATTAGAATTTTATAAAAGAAGAGATTTTTGATCTCTTTTGTAGACTGCTGCTGACATGCCCTGTGCTGTAGTCCTCAGAGTCACACTTCTAATGGTGTGCAGAATGTGGTGCGTGCTAAGAAAGTAGGTGCAGGACAGATGACGAGATGAATATTGTTACCTTGTTCCAAAGGCAGGTTGGGGATTTCAAATTTCTGTTGCCCAAATTTATCACTACCTGAACTGGAAGCTCCAGTACCACGAAGAGTGCATAGTATCACCTAAATGGACATTCGTTTATTGAGTGGCTTAACAAATCTATGTTTTTAGTTAATTCATTGATAGCCATTTGTGGTGTGCCTACAAAATGCCAACTTCTTGTTTGGCAGTGAGGATGAGAAGATAAATCAGACACAGTTCCTATTCTGGAAGAGTGCAACTTTTCGGGAAACAGGCAAGCAGAACATCATAGTACAGTGCGATGCGTTAAGACTGCGTAGGACATCATGCATGTATAATGAGGGATCTGACCACCCCCCATCGAGTACTGTAGGAGAGGGGAAGAGGGACGAAAGGTTACCGGAGGGACGGAAACTTGAGTTGACTGTTGAAGAACTAGTAAGCAACAGCCAGAAGAGGGCCTGGATGGATGAATATTGATGAGATAGATTGCGATGGGGCCTAAGGTAACCCCAGGACCAGAGGACTATAAGGAAAGAATTGGACACGGGTGAAAATGGAACTGTGGTTGTTGAAGCATGGGAAGGGAGGAGAGAGACCAGCAGGATCCGAGCATATTCCTGGCTTCTTCCTTGTCTTCCCTATGAGGTAGGTACGGGTGCATCTGCAGGAGTGAGGGGGCAGCCATCTGAGAGCATTAAAATACAGTGACTGATTACTTTGCATGTGTAGTTTTGAATCTTTAGCTAATGACTTTTATAAAGTGAATATATTTTATATCTAAATCCATTTGAAGCGTCCTTTGTTAAAGTTTTTGGTCTTTTTGAGACAGGTTCTCACTATGCAGTTCAGGCTGGCCTTGAGCTCATTTTGTAGCCCAGGCTGGTCTCAAATTTGCAGTGATCCTCCTGCCTCAGCCTCCCGAGGGCTGGGACTACAGCTGTGCGCCGCCATTCCCAGCTTGAAACATCCCTTCATGAGACATGTCCTACATATTGTGTGGATCTGCTTTTGCTTTGTGCACGAGGGCAAGGGTGGTCTTTATTGTAGGTGTAATGGTAAAGATTGGGCTTTTCATTTTCCAGGTTCCTGTTACAATGTTATTCGGGTTCCTCCAGAGAAGGTGGACCTTGGGGAGACAATCCACGGAGCCCAGGTGATATGTTCTATTGCTCCTACAGAGAGAATGAAACCTTCCTACTACCATAGCTTCGGTGAGTACAGAGATGAAGCAAAGTACAAAGTGCCCTCCCTTAATGTTACTGTGTCGGAGGGACTAGGGTTTGCAAGGGCTAGTAACAGTTAACATCAGAGTTCACCATACTGAAACCAATGTTGCATTTCTTGCCATGAAGGTTATTTGGGTTAGTCATATACTCCTTACACTAGCCAGTTACCTGCTTGAAAAGAACAGTTGCTCTAGTACAATTATTAAAAAAATTAAGTTACAGAACTCAGGACTTCAGACAACTTTAAACTGGATGTGGTGATGTACAGGGGGCATCCTAGCGCTTGGGAAGCTTGGGGAGGATGCTTGAAAGTAAGACCAGCCTGGCTACATGGTGAGGCTGTGTCCGAAAAGACCAAAAACAATTTAAAAAAGGCAATGTAAAGCCTTCAGTCATGCATGAAAAGGTCTTGACTATGCTTTGTGGGGAGACCTTCATGTTCTATATAGATTGCTTTAGCAGTATTTATTTTCTGTTTTTTAGTTATGGCCAAACTGCTTCTAGGTCCTTAACAGGAAGATAAGTAAGAAAAGGATTAGGGAACAAATGTCCAGCTCGTAAACGACATGTTAGTTTACTTCATTACTTTGTTCCAAAATTAAAGTAATTCAAAACGAAAACAAGATGAGAAGGAAGCCGACGACTTTCCACCCAACGTGTTGTTAGCAGTTTCTTTTTTAACGGAGAACAGGTTATATATGGATAGCAGAGCTGAAGTGGTGAAGTATGGCCTTTTGTAAAGGTCAGTAACATGTCCAGGCATTCAGTCGGGCCCTGTAATGGTTGCATTTCAGACTAAGTAGCCTTCTGTTACTTTCTGGACCCTTTCAGGGATGACGAAGAACTATATAATCTTCATTGAGCAGCCTCTCAAGATAAACCTGTGGAAAATTATCACTTCTAAAATTCGGGGAAAGGCTTTCTCAGATGGGATAAGCTGGGAACCCCAGTATAATACAAGATTTCATGTGGTGGATAAACGTACTGGACAGGTGGAGTATTTTGAGCAAGTAGTGGTTGGATTTAGAGATGAATTTCCATATGGCTGATTTTTTTCATCTTCACTGGGCGTTATTTTAAAGATACTTTTTTTGGGGGGAGGTATCAGGGATCAAACTCAGGACGCACGCTTGCAAGGCAGGCGCTTATGCTGCTGAGCTAAATCCTGAGCCCTAAGGATGCTTTTTAATTAGGGATATTGCCTTCTTTGTTATACTGGGCCACCTATAGTTAGTATTGGCAGGGTAGACGATGCCTATCAGAGATTTTTAGGAATTATTTTGTTCACTTAATTACCTGATTGAATTAAAGTAGCCTCTAGGAATCTCTTTTATTATAGCTTCGTTCATTTCATTATAGTTACAAAAAGGGATGTTGTTTAGGCACAGATCTAGAACATTTGCATTGGTAAATTTAATCAGCTGCTCCCGGAACTTACGGGTACGTCCGTATGATAATCTCACCAAAGTCCAAGCATGTTGGTTGAATGTCTTTGTATACTCCTTATTAATAATAGTGCTGTTTTGTTGTGTATATTTTATCTCTCTAAAATGATAGTATCCAAAATTTACCTGAATTTAATTATAAAAAATTTTAGTGCATCTATTTTCTGAAGAATTAGTCCCTTACATCACATACTAAGGGTCAGCGCTTTCTCTTTAACTGTGCAGTTAGATTTATCCTTTTGAACCATATTTCATAGACTTTTCAATTAGTTGTAACACTTGATTGGCCTATATCAAATACCCTTAGTTTGTTCATTAATATGACATGAGGCATATTTCCTTGACACTTTGGATTCTGCTTCTCTTACACCTACTGGGTGTGCCATGTAAGAGTGGCACCCTCTTAATGTGGATACTCTCTTAAGAGTGGATACCTTCTTAATGTGAGCTTTGTCGATCTGTTTCCTGGAGAGAAGAAATAGGAAAGGAAGGCGAATGTCTTTTTTCATCGTTTTGCTTCCCTCTGCAGCTTCTCCCAGGGATGTATTACAGCAAACCTTTCATTAGTTTTCATCAAATCAATGCTTTTGAGGACCAGGGCTGTATTGTAATTGATTTGTGTTGTCAAGATGATGGAAGAGTCATAGATGCTTACCAACTACAGAACCTCAGAAAAGCCGGGGAAGAGCTTGATCAGGTAAATATCTCTGATTTTTAGAGAGTTGTGAAAAATCTTCGAATGAGTCAAGATCTGCGTCTGACTTTAGAATTACCGTTTCTTTTGGTAAATAAGGAGGGAGAGTAGTTTTAAAGTATGGAAGACAGGTTGGTCGGCATATTACAGTGACAGCCGCCTATTTATGTTTGTAGCAGCACAATTCACAATAGGTAAATCTCGGAAATGGCCCGCTTCCCCATCAACACATCGATGGGTAAAGAGATTATACGTGCATAAAGTAGCACTACTGAGTCATGAAGAAGGATATATTCGAGTCATCGGTAGGAAAATGGATGCACCAGGAGACCATAGTGCTGAGTGAACTGCATTGGACAGAGAAGATTAGATATTGCATGGCTTCTCTTAAATGAGAAACCCAAAGTCCATGAAGCAGAAAGATGGCATTTTAGGAGGTGGGAAATGGATCTGGGACGAGGACAGAAGTGAGGGAGGAAGGGGAGGTAAAAGGGGTTGAGAAGCAGTGTGTGTATGTACAGACATTGTGGGAAGAACTGAAGTGGCTCGCTGAGTGCCTAGTACAAAGCGTGGTAAAGACAGCAAAGATACGTGCTGTGGAGCAGCGGTGAGCGGTTCTGTGCTGCACGTCAGCACTGAACGTACTGTACTTGTTTTCTGGAAGGAATAGCAAAAATGGACTACCGGGGGTCAGGCCTCAGCTAAAGGGGTTCACTTTTTCCTGATATTGAATCAGAGGTAAAATTTTTCCTTGTATTGTGTAATGTAAATTGGATTTCTTTGTAGTTTTGTTTTCCAGCTACACTCTTTTCTTTTTTGAGACTATAGTCTAGGCTGGCATCAAGCTCGTGGTGATCCTCTTGTCTCAGCCTCCCAAATGCTGGGACTATTTTTCGACTAAAATCTTATTCAAAAAAATTTTTTTTGTCTTTTTGAGACAGGGTCTCACTATGCAGTCCAGGCTGGCCTTGAGCTCACTTTGTAGCCCAGGCTGGTCTCGAACTTGCAACGATCCTCCTGCGTCAGCCTCCCGAGTGCTGGGATAACAGGCGTGAGCCACCACACCCGGCTAATTTATCAGTTTTTACAAAGAAAATAAAATTCTGTTGGGGTCAGGTTGCAACTATAGACCAACATGGAGATAACTGAGATTTCTGCAATATGAGTTTTTCAGTATGGGAACATGGAAAAGGCCTCCAGTTGAGTCTTCTTTTTCTCAGTGATGTTAAGCTTTTCAGTGTAAGGCTATGATGTATCTTTCACTCAGTTTATTTCTGGGCGTTTTGTGTATTTTAAAACTGTGCTCAGTTTCCATTTTACACTTTTCCTAATATATAGTGCATCTGGGTGTGGTGATGCACACCTGTAATCCCAGGACTTCAGAGGCTGAGGCAGGAGGATCCTCATGAGTTTGAGGCCAGCCTGGGCTACATAAGTGAGTTCAAAGCCAGCTTGCACTACGTAGTGAGACCTTGTCTCAAACAAACAAACAAACAAAAAATAGAAATGAAATTCATCTTTTATACTGATCTCATATCCAGGAATATTGCTAAATTAACATTAATTTAAGCACTTAAGCTATAGGTTATTTTGGATTTTCTATGCATATAATCGTATTAGCTGAATTGGGTTTTCAGCATGATAAAAGAGAGAATATAAAATAAAAATAGCCTTTATTCTAAGGACGCGGAGAGAACTCCGTGACTGCTGGGGCCTGGCTTTCTCTGCTGGAAACGTGGACCATGGGACCTACATATAATTTCCGATTGGGGTGGCGCTTAGGGAGGCATTGCTGACCCCCAGCAATTTTCTTTGCGCAGGAACAGGAGCTGGGGAAGGAGCAGGAAGTGGTAGGGTTTCGCCTTCTGCCTCCTTAGACCACTGCCATAATTTCTTTTTTTTTTTTTTTTTTGGTCTTTTTCCTTTTTATCGGTAACGGGGATCGAACTCACGACTGCCTGCTTGCAAGGCAGGCGCTTATACCGCCGAGCTAAATCCCCAGCCACCACATAATTTCTACTGAGGCAAGAACCCTTCACTGAAAATGATTCTTTTCCTTGTTTCTAACACTTATAACTATTTTTTATTTTTCTTACCTTATTGTACTAGCTAAGACTTAGATGCCTACAAATAAATCTAATAACATGTATGTAAGCAAATATTCAAAAAACTAAATATTGAAAAAATGAAATCTCTGATAAATGGAAAAATATATGCATTTAAGAGTACTTATCAATTGTCGAGTATCAGTTATCTCTATATTGATCTTTACTTGCAACATGACCCCAACATAATTTTATTTTCTTTATAAAAACTGACAAGTTCATTGAAAAATTTATGAGAATACAAAAAACCAAGAATATATATTCTTCCATTTATTAGAGACTTCACTTTTTCAATGTTTGTAACCTTCTGAGTATGTTTACGTATGTTTTAGTAGATTCCTTTGTAGATATTTGATGTTTTGACGTTATTTTAAATGTTTATCTTGTGTTTTCATCTTACGTCAGTGCATAGATTGGTATGATGTTTAGCTACTGATTTTTGTTGATCTTATATTCACTAATATAATTGCCCTTACAAATTCTAATAATTTAGGGACTCTTTCAGATTGTCCATACTAATACTCAACTGCAAATAATGAGATGATTTCTTTTCACCTTTTGTAACCGTTTATCGGTTTTATTTTCCTTGTATTGTGTTGCTTGATCTCCAGTACGTGTTGAATATAAGTAGGAACAATGACATCTTTAGAAAAGTTTCTGATATTTTGCTGTTAAGAATTATGTTCACAAGCTGGGCATGATGGTGTACGCCTACAATCCCAGTACTTGGGAGGCTGAGGCAGGAGGATCGATGTGAGTTGGAGTCCAGCCTGGGCTACATAGCAAGACGCTATCTCAGAAAAACCAAACCAAAACAGATTTTTATTTGTTATATGGTAAAGTAGGTTAATAGTCTTTGTGTTATAGAGTTATAAGTTTAAAGAAAAAAGCAAGCACAAAGTATGCAGAGTTTCTGTATCCCTCCCAAGTTTTTTCTGCTGATAATAACATCTTATACTTTTATGGTTCATTTGTCATAACTGATGAATCAGTACGGATCTACTCTTACTAACTAAAGTTCATAGTTTATTTTGGGGCTCACTCTTTGTGTTAAGTAAACATTTTACTTTTTATATACAGTTGCCTATTTCAGAGTGTCATGTAAATGGAATTGTATGGTTATGCATGCTTTTCACACTGACTTTTTAAAGCAATAGACATTTGAAAGTCCTCCATGTCTTTTTGTGTCTGGATGGCTCATTTATTTTATTACTGAATAATTTTCTCTTGTGTGGATGTACTACAGTTGAGTATCCATTTACCTTATTCAATATCTTTATTGTTTATAAATTTTGATGATTATGATTATGAATAAAACTTATAAATATTTGTGTGCAGATTGTGAGTGGACATAAATTATGTTTTAAACATATATTTTATTAGATTAGGAAAGTTCTCTTTTACTCCTAGAGTACCAAGAATTTTTTTAGGATTTTGGAACCTGCTATTACGTAGTTCAGGCTGGCCTTGGACTGACTGTGGCACAGGTTGGCTGGCCAATTCACAGCAGTCTTTCTGCTTCAGCTCCGGAGTGCTGGGATTACGGCAGTATGCCACCGAGTACCCTTGTTCTCTTCTGGTTTTTCAGAAATCTCATTAAATGTCACTGACAACAGCCCCTTTTTCTAGTTCTGATATTGGTCACTTCTGTGTTCCACACTTTTGAAAGAATTTTACCTGGACTGTAATTCTTTTCTGTGCTGGTCATCCAGTTTTGTATAATTTTGTGTAGCTTAGCTAGCTTTTTATTAGTGTCTTTTGTAGATTTGCTGATTTTTTTTTTTTTTTTTTTTTTTTTTTTGGTACCAGGGATCGAACTCACGACCTTGTGCTTGCAAGGCAGGCACTTATGCCACTAAGCTAAATCCCCAGCCTTGCTGATCATTTATTTTATTAGGCCCATTCTCTGTTTAGCCATTATTACCAAGCACCATATCGATCTTTTCTGTTATCTTTCTCTTATCCTTTTGAATAACTTAATGCTATGGCTTTAGATTTCCTCCCTTTCAGTACCCCATGAACCAGGTTTTGGAAGTTGAGATTTTTTTGGAAGTATTTTTTTTATTTTTTGCATGTGTGCTGAGGTTTGTGGGTTGATTATACTGGAAAGCTTAGTTGCTGGTATGGAGAGCTCTTTAGTTGATATCTGCTCTTCAGCAATGCTCTCTGGACCTGGTTGACTGTTGCCCTGTGCCTCTGAACGGGATCCAGCTGCCTTTGTTTGTTTGGGAGGGAAGGCTGCTGTGTATTTGACCCTGTCCTAGGCCGAGAGTAGGCTGCAGCATTGTTAATGACCCAAAGGCAACCCAGACATTGGCATCCGGAAAAAAACAAATTAATAGAAACAGCTGTGCTACCCTAGCTATAGTAATAAACTCAGCGATAATAATAGGGTCAAAGACAACCTGGAAATTAACATCTGCAGTAAACCAATAACGCACCACCCTTAGCCATAGACAAGAGATCTATAACTATAGTATAAACACGAAGACAAACCAAATATTGACCTTCAGTAAATACCTATAAAATGGAATATCTTTACTTCCACAATAGAACAGTATCTAACAGATAAGAATTATAAAAGTTACTAAGTACATTAGTAAGTGTAGGACAGTGGAGAGCCAGGGAATGAAAAGATAAAATTTGAAAAATTAATCAATGGAAGAAGAAAAATAATCAATAGAAAACGAGAAGGAGGAAAGAAAAGTGAGGCATGGGATCCTCTTGAGAAATAAAAGGAAATGAACAGAAAAGTTACAGAAAGTAGTGAACAAGAAAAATAGAAACAGAAGGCAAAATACAGAAAATAATAGATAAGAAGGAAAAAGCTGAAAATGGATAAGAAAAAGAAGAAAGAAAAGTCCCTAGCCCCCCCAAAAAAACTGATAAAAAGAAAAGAAAAATGGTAAAAAATTAAAAAAAATTTTTTTTTCCTAAAGATTGAAACCAAAAATCCTGTGTTTTTGAACGAGTGGCTTCTTTCCAGGATCTGCAGTCTTTGAATCTAGCAAGTCACAGCTTTCTCTGCCTAGCTTTAGGGTGTGGGTTTGTGACACCCTCCCTGCACCAGAGATCCCTCTCTCTGTTCACCGGAGACTGTGGCAACTGTGCAAGCCAAGGAATGTCCTTCCTTATGTTGGCAGCTGGGAAAACAATCAGTCTTCTGGTGTCTGCTGGGTATAGTCGCTGGGGCTGAGGTTCGAACAGCTGGACTTAATGTCGGCACTCACCAGGCCTGGTGTCTCACTGTGGAGGACAGGGCTCGTGTCCTTCCCAGCCTAAGTTAAACTCAGGGCGTCTGTGTCTCTCTCTGCAGCGGGCACTCTTGGTTGTCTCTCACCTCCTCACTTTGGAAAGGTAACACCTGAGTCCTTGAGGCTGCTGGGCAGGTCTGTACGCTTTCCCTGATTCTGCTGGCCCTCCAGGCTTACCTTCTTTCCCCAGATGTTGTCCTTTTCCAGGATCTGCTTGGTTGGTTAGTTGGTGCCTCTATTTCCTTGTGCCAATGGAAAGCAAAATGCAGATTCTGCGTGAATTTGGTGCCTTGCTATATATCATGTGTGAGCCTGTAAATCTGTTTGCTCAAAGATGTGTTGAATCCAGCAGCATAGTAAGGCTGAGCCTTAAAAACATTTGGCTTCTGAATTCTTCTACAGAACACAGGAGATACATATGACTACTTCAAATGAGGCCAGAAAGACCAAATATTCAGTCCTCAGGCTTGCCGCTGTCCATGGGCTCTTGGGTGCACTTGTTTTGTTTGGTTCTCCTATTTAAACATCATCCTTGCAGACAGTCTCTGTTGGGGATTCACCTCCACCCCCAGCTGCTTGAAGAAGCCCTTAAGGAATTACTTTAGATGCCAAACAGTGAGGGAACTTGGGAGGAGGTTTAGTGGAACAGAAAAATAGAATGAGTGAGTTACCAAGCAGTTCTGTGTTGGGGTTTCCAGGATCATCCTTCGCTTCAACGATCCCTTTGGGGAATTTACAGGCCTCCAGCCATGTTCATAGTTCTGATCACTGCAAAAGGATACAGCCAAAAATTAGCAAAAGGAAAAGATGTATGAGATGAAGTCTCAAGGAAAGCAGCATGAGTTATTTCCTAGTAGAGTTACACAGGGCATAGTTCCTCCTGGAGCTGCTCATAACAATCTGTGTGAAATGTTGTCTTTTAGGGAAGCTCACTTAAGCCCAGTGGCCATCATTTTTGAGGGACAGGTTATGCAGGCACAGAGCCCCTACATAACCTTAGTGGCACACAGCAAAATTCAGGTGTCTGTGATAAATTACGTTTGTTAGTATAAACTATTTGGAAAAACTAGGACAGTGTGATCCAAGGCCTCACACATGCAAAAACACACATCAAACAGAATTATCTCGAGAACTCAATTCCTAGCCAAGGATCAGTCATAAAAACAGGCTGTCTCGGGACTGTGCAGGGTGTGAACAATCCAAACCTGCTGGATGGACTCTAGAGGTTAGCTTACAGGTTAACCTGACCAAGCCCAAAGAAGGGAGTACCTCTTGTTACTTTCTGGTTCCTCAGGCCTTTGGCTATATAATCATCTACTTTATGCAAATTAAATAACATATCATCTGATTTTTGTATTTGTTATCATTATTCTACCCTTAAAATATAAATTCCACAAGACCAGCGACTGCTTTACTACTGTGATTTCTCCAGTGTCTGAAACAATGTTTAATGCTGAGTTGTGGTCCAATTGGATAATACTTGCCTAGGCAAAAATTCCCAGCACAATAAATAAATAAAACAGTGCTTAGCCTATATTACCCAACTACAACTTACTGAATGAATGGAAAGTATCATTTGTGCAGTGACAGACATGCCAGTAATGTTGATTGACTAAGTTGTCAAGATGTATGTTATCCTATGAATGAGGTTTTTAAATTTTTTTTTTTTTCCTGAACAGGTCTATAGGTCAGTGGCCAGGTCTTTTCCTCGAAGGTTTGTTTTGCCCCTAGATGTCACTGTGAATACTCCTGAAGGAGAGACTCTCAGTCCGCTGTCCTATTCTTCAGCCAGCGCTGTGAAGCAGGCTGATGGGAAGGTATGCTGTGAAGGGCCCTAAACTAAGATCTTAAACTTTGGTGGTTTTGCTTTATCCGTTGGTTATTCCCCGCAATGTTGGGTACCCAGTTGGTTTCATGACATTGAACTGAGCAGGTAAGGCCATGAAATCTTTCTTACATACAAATCACAGAAACCTGGTGGAAATGCCACTGCATGACTCTTCGTTTTATATTTTAAAACAGACACATGCAACTTTCTGATGGTTGTGAAATGTCTAAGCATTTAGATTGGCATTGAGCATTCCTACCTTCAAGATCAGTGCTTCCCGCAGGCATATATATCATTGTGCAGCTATCAATGCCTTAACTTTAGTAGTCTAAAATGCCATCTTCTATGCCATTTGGCAGCTTATTCACAAAATCTGAGAATATTATATATATTTATCCTCGTAATGGAAAAAACAACATAAAAATGTTAACATAACTTTAGATTTCAAGCCACATAGCAAAATTATAGGGTATTTGAACCCTCACTAACCAACACTGAAAAAATCATTAAGAATTAAGCAATTTTTATCAAATCTTTTTGGAATTTTTTTTTTTTAAATGGAGAATGGGTACCAGAAACTCAGAACCTCAGGCTTGCTAGGCAGGTGCTACGACACTGAGCTAAATCCCCAGCCCCTGGAATCTCTTTTAGATCTGGTGTACCCATGAGAATCTACATGGTGAAGACCTGGAAGAGCAAGGAGGCATTGAATTTCCCCAGATCAACTATGGCCAATTCAGTGGCAAAAAATACCGTGTCTTTTATGGCTGTGGCTTTCGGCATTTGGTGGGGGATTCTCTCATCAAGGTTGATGTGGTGAACAAGACACTCAAGGTAACGAAAATATTCTTCCTTTTCTGAACTTTTCCAAAAATGGATTCTACCCTTTAAATTAATTTCTTTTTTGTTTAATGTGGCTCTTGAGATTCTTTAATATTTTAACAGCTGAATCATATAATTAAGTTTGAGATACATAGAATCACCTAAGTTAGATGTATGTCTCCTCTAGGGAATCTAAAAGAAACCCAAGTCCACCAAAATAATCCTAAGCTTGATATTATTTTAGGAGGTTATTGGGACACTTTTATTTTAGTTAATGGGAAATTATAATCACACAGATTATGTTTGGTGGTGATGGAATTTGGGGGCTGTCAAGTTGTTTGGTTTTCTCTCCTAAATTCAACTCACCAAGGTTAAATTTTTAATTGTTATAATATTCTATTGCTATACAAATTCATTTTTATGTGACAAAACTATGGAAAGTTTTTCTAATCACAGCCGGTCTTTTATCAAATACTCTGTGTGTGGGCGTATTTGCAGGTGTGGAGAGAAGATGGCTTTTATCCTTCAGAGCCTGTTTTTGTTCCGGTACCAGGAACAAATGCAGAAGATGGTGGAGTTATTCTCTCTGTGGTGGTCACTGCCAACCAGGTAAAAGTATTTCTGTCATTAGTCAGGAAGAACGTAGCATTAAGGCATGGGAAGGTGACATTTAGTGACACGGTCCAGGTTTATTCCTATCTGGCACCTTCTCCCTTGTCTCCGTCTTCTTACTGTTTATGTATCCTTTTATCATGATCCATGCCTTTTTTTTTTGTATTTTTACTGGTACCAGGGATCAAACTCACGACTACACGTTTGCAAGGCAGGCGCTTATGCCGCTGAGCTAAATCCCCAGCCCAATCCATGCCTTTTATTGTTTTAAAATTCTGTTTGTAGAATCATAGTAATAATTTAATTTGCGTAGGAATTTATCATTTAGAAAACTCTTTCATACATATTACCTTCATCCTTGAAACTGCTAGGGTTATTTCCAAAAGATGAAAAATATTAACAAAAGATGAGAAATATAAAATAAAAAGCGGCCTTTATTCTGAGAACACGGAGAGAGATGACCGGCACCCCCACTGCTGGCGTCTGGCGATCTCTCCGGCGGACACGTGGCGTGAGGACCTGTAAATAGCCTCGGTTTGGGGCGGAACCTAAGGCGGGCATTAGGGATACTCAGGTAGCCCATTGGTCTTAGGTTTGGCGCCATATGTAAATTTCCTGGGACGGGAAGATGGCGTCACAGGTAACTTCCTAGGGGCAGGGGAGATGGGGCTTCCTGCTTCAGTTGTGGCTTTCCTGGCTACAGTGTCCTGTCTGGGCCAAAACCCTTTCAGAAACAACATTGTAGGACATGATTTTACAAATGTGAAATTCATAAGTTAAGAAAGTTGAAGGACACTTGGGTCAGATCTCATAGAGATAAAGCCAGTGTTCAGATCTTCTGGCTGCTTGTATAATAATGTTCATGCCACCATCTGTGCTGCCATTTCAATGAACTGATCTCAAAGTCCAATATCATAAGCCCTCGCCTCATGTCTCAGTAATTTTACTTATTAACTGACTTCTGGTCGGGGACAATCTTATGATAAATAGGTTCACTCTGAATACCAATTTTAATCAATTACTAGGGTCTGCCTGGGGTTCAAGATTCTGAGGCCTTTAAATGGCTTGGTGAGTAAAGTGCTGTGATCAATTAATGATGTCTGTCATGGACCCAGTCCTCGCGCCGTGAACTTGGCAGTCTTGTAATTAAATCAGGGAAACCGTCAGTCTGCTTTGCAATGCTGCACTTTCACCAGCTCCATAGTAACACAAAATGGGAGCATTTCTAATTCGGAGGAGAGAATTTGTGTGTCTCCTAGGAGATTGGGAAGGGGTGAGTAAGGAGATCATTAGACTCAAAGAGAACCTATGAAGGTGACTGGTATAAACAACTTAATTTTTTCATTTAAGTGTGAATTTCAGCCATGATTTCCTTTTCAAAATATTCAGCAAATATTTACTGAGTGCACGTACAGGGCATTGTACCTCGGGATAGACATAAACGTGAGTAAAACGTGGTTTCTTCCTTAGTGTAGTGGAGACAGACTGACTTTTGTTGAAAACAGAGGGCATTTACAGTCTCGTTTCTTTCTTTTTTAGAAGGACAGCAATTTTCTCCTCGTCTTGGACGCCAGGACCTTTGAAGAGCTGGGCCGAGCAGAGGTTCCTGTGCCAATGCCTTACGGGTTCCATGGCACATTTGTCCCCATGTGATAAGACAAGCAAGGGTCCAGGGTCTAGGTTTAAAACGTGCATGCTCTGCAAGGAAGAGCACAAAAGGACACCCCTGCTTCTCACATCATAGATACTTGGTTTAAAAATTTCTGTTAAAAATAGAACTTGTGAGATAACTGTGGCTTTTGATTTTCCTTCTTCCTGTTTATTCCCGGACCCTGAGGCCTCCTGTGTGCTAGGTACTCTCTCACTCAGCCACACCCCTTTGCCTGAGTGATTTGTACAGCTTTACTTTAATATTATTAAGCAAATGTTGATACAATATTTTGAAGACATGTATGTTTATTAGATGTATTTTCCTCTATGTAATAATAAGAATACATACAAGAAAAGATAGAATGGGGTAGAAAGAGAGACTCATCAGATAGGTGAGTGACAGAGGTTCTGGAAGAAGATGTACCAATGGCATAGGCAGGTTGAGAATCTAGATCAGAAAAGTTCTTTCTTCCGTCACATCCTGCTTGTTTCCTTTGGTCTAAAGTACTCAGTGGGCAGGAACCCAGCTCTGTCGTGCTTGGAGGCCTTCTCTGCCTTTTCTGTTTCTGTGTTGTCTACAGAGGATGCTACTGCAGTTGCCTGACATGCCCATGGAATATTTGCTACAATCCCCACCTCTCTCTCAGCTCAGCTTTTGAAGATGGTGGTTTTGGGGGTATCACTAAAATCTCAGGCATTTCTTCAAACCGCCAGGCGCACTGTTCTCCAGGGATGGGTGAAAAGCCGGTGGCTCTTCATTTAGTTGAGCAACAGGTGGCACTAAAGACCATATAATCTCCACATTTCTAAACACGAGTTTTTATCAAGTCTTACACAGCCCAGTGAGTCACACCCTTGACAATACCTTCGAAATCGTGGTTCCCTTTTCCTTCAGTGACTCACAAAACTCACTTGCTAAACTCCAGTCTTCAGCCAGTCTTCAGCCAGAGGCCCATGTTCCCTCTGCATGTTGACTGTTGCTAAGGAAGGTACCCAAACATGTAATTTGGGACACTTAGGAACTCATGGCTAGGTTTCCTTGCACATCCTGGACCAACATAGTCAGTTTCTTCTTAATTTTTCCTTAAGAGATATTTTAAACTTTATAACGCCATCCTCTTCAGTGACATGTTCTAGCCATATAAACGCCTTGTGTTGGGGCTTGCACTGTGGTAATCAAGTAAAAAGGGGTCACTTGGCCTTGCTGCTTCTGCTACTATTTGCTGCTGCCCACCTACCCTGCAATGACCTCTTTGTCCTCTGTGATGCTCCTTTGCCATGCAACTGTGCCTCAGCACCAGCTGACATGGATGAAAACCTCTACAAACTAACAAGTCGAACGAGAAGAGCTCTGCTTGGCTCCAATCCCTGAGAAAAGAAAAAAAAAAAAAAAAAAAAAAAAAACTGAAAATTTACAAGAGTCCGGAGAGAAGATACTGATAAGATGGGTGGCCCTAATTTCCATGGAGCTCTCGCAAGCATTTTGTGTACTCATGCTCTCTTCCTTCAAACTCTCCCTGTCCCTTACTTTCATCATTTGAGATACCAGTGCTGAGGTTAACAGGTCTGGGCTAGCAAGATAGATCTTTTAGCTCTCCTGCTTCTGCTTTGAAAGCCTTCTGTCCTCTGTCTTCATCCGCAGCTGATACACACATGCCTGGATGAGCAAACTAAAGAGCCAACAGTCTGGAAGCTCTACTTTGAAGGAAAAATGAAAATTTGCAACATGATATATTGTGCTTTGGAAGAGTTAGTGATATTGTCACAGTTTTACATGAGTGTGAATTGGTTTCAGTCTGCTGAGAGATTTGTAGTTTGAGCTAGTCAAGGTGTTGCTTCCGGTGCCCTTGATTACAACAGCAACAGTTAGCAGAAAATGAGACAGAAAAGTGGTTGGCAGCTGAAGTGACGTAGGTTAGAACAGTGTCTCTCGTGACGATGGCTGTGGTAAGAGCAGTAGACGTCACGGGGCATCACCATCTCCCGAGAGGTGGACATGAAGGAATGTGACCCAGGTGAATGGGCAGCGACAGGGAAACAGCTGAGAAAGACGGAAGGCTAAGTTCAGGAAATGCCTTCTGAATAATTTGTACAAACACCTTAGATTACGGTTACGTTTTCCTCTACCTATGTGAATCGCCATTAAAAGAGGTGAGTTTGGTTCAGTTTCAAAACATTTGAGATGAATAATTTTAAAATAAAAGTCTAACTGAATCCTGATTAAAATATGTAAGAGGACATTATTAAGGAAGAAGTTTCATCTTGCTAATGAGCAACGATTAGTTCTCAAGTACTTGAAACCTGAAGATACTTTTTTAAAATGCATAAACAAATTTTATGATTTTTTTGCCCAGCAAGAGCACAGATAAGTACGATTGACTTTCAGAAACAATATAGTGAAAACAATAAAAAGTCGTGCAGATTTTTAAAAGACAATGGGTTACACACATGTGAAAGGGTTTTGGCCCAGACCGGACACTGAAGCTGTAAAGCCTTGGAGGTGGAACTAAGGAGCTCCATTTTCCCCACCCCTAGGAATTTGCCTGTGGCGCCAAAGGAATATCAATGGGCTACCTGTGCATCCCTAATGCCCCCTCAGGCTCCACCCCAAACCTAAGCTACATGTATGCCCCCACTCCACGTGTCCATCGGAGAGATTCCCAGGCCCTTGGGGGGGATCTCTCCCCGCATTCCTAAAACAAACGTCATTTATATTTCATACCTCTTATCTTTTCAGCTGCCACCACAATTCTATCAACATGCATTTAACTCCCTTCTCTGCAGTCCCATGACAATATTATTAAAGGGATATATGTAAATATTATGAATCTTTATTTTAGAAAAGAAGATATGCTGAATTCTACTGGAAGCAAATGAAAAACAGATCTCTGGAGAATGCCATCTAGATCATGAAGAAGGCCAGCAGATAAAATCAGTCCACCAGAGTTCCTGAAGTATTCTAGCTTTAGGAGGACAAAGAAAATAGGCAGCAAAGCACTGTGAAATAGAGCTAAACAAAATGATTCATTGCCGTCTGCTTTTCTCTCTGTACAAGAATGAAAGGAATGCAGTCAGCAAACCCAGGATAAAACCTGCCAAAGGAATTATGGTTCAAATAGGAGACATACTAATAAGATATGATTTAGAAAAAGCATTGGTAGGTGAGGAAGGAAAGGGCTCCTTTCTTTCTTATGAAAGATAATGTAAATAAGAATTCCAGATATTTGAAAAAATCCAAAGAAATACAACTGTAAAGATACTAAAGGAAAAATACGTGAGAGTATATCTAGTGCTTCAAGTCCTAAAAGTGCAACATAAAAGAGAAGGCAAAAGTGGATAAATTACGTTAGGTTACAATTAAGAGAAAAGATTACAATGGAGAAAGAACATGGAAAAGTTAGACAGTTGTTGCTCAGCTGAAAATATTTGTGATATTTATGATGTATGAAGCAAAAGACTAAAATCTAAAATTAACTTAGAATTTCTAAAAATCAACAGAATAAGGCAAATAACCAAATAAAAGAACAGCAAAAATATGAACAAGCAGCGTGTAGGGGGTGAGAACTGAAGTTGCTTCTAGTTTTACACCTGAAGTGCCCTAGTACAAAAATTGTGACTCTAAACTTTCTGGTATACAGCTCCATTCTCTCTGTTAATAGAATTTTTGTAATTCACCAGGGAGGGGAAGAATGTTTGGAGGGAGAGGAAGGGAGGGGAGGGGAAGAAAACAGCAACAACAAAAAAGAATTCAGGTGTGTTATGTGCATGTACAAATCATGATGAACACTGCCATTATGTGCTGCAAACAGGTACTAATAAAATAAATAAAAGGAAAAAAGTAAACAGACTAAAGTCCCACATCTAGTTTTGTGAGATATCAAACATAACAGGTTTAAAATGGCAAGAAGATGCCTAAACAGAATTAATATAGAGATGTGGGAGCATGGGGCCCATGGAAACCATGAGTATAAATTCTCTGATCGTCCACAGAAGTTACTGAAAGTTGTCCTACTACTTCCTTGAACACAGCACGGAGGCTGGTCTATCACAGGTAGACATGAATGCTGAAAGATGCTCTGGTTCACCTCTGGGAATCACACAGATCTGATGACATCTTTCCAGTTTATACTCATAAACTTTTAATGCACAAGGAGTGACGTTCAAACATACACAGATTAACAATATGTTTCTAACATTTTGACCCAAGGATGAGTTCTGCCTTAGCCCTGCTATCCATAAAGTTCTTGGAGAAGACCAACCCTCTTAAAACAAAACAACCCCCCCCCCCAAAAAAAAAAACCCCCAATGACTGATGGCACTTTCTAACCTAGGCACTGTTGCCTAGCAGTCCAAGTTTTTGGTAAAATTGAGCATATGACCCAGGCTTAAAACACAGACTTCTCCTCCCCCTAAACTTAATGCTTATCATGAGCCAGTATCCAGAGACTCACAGAAATTGAATGTGTAGTGCACAAGGGAGGGAGGAGAGAGAGACAGAGAGAGATAGCACTTCACTTGGGTCAGCTTATCATAGGCAGGGAGCAAACAGTGTTAGTAAGGAGACCACAACTGGACTCTTTTTTTTTCTCCTGTGAGTAGCTCCAGAGAATAACATAAGCACCTCTGGTGTATTCAAACACTTCGACCTCACCTGTACACGAAGCTCTCAGTACACGGAAGCAAGGTTCCGGCAGATGAAAATTCCCTTCCTTAGAGTGGAGCTAGGAGATAAGAAGTGGGCGGGGCTTCCTTTCTTTCACACTTTGAGCAACACTCCTAGCCGTAATACTTGGGTTGCTAATCAATTTTTCTTGTAAGATCCCTCACTTCTCTGCTCCCCACTGTAGCTAAGAATTTCAATATGCACTAAATAAGTGCTTTCACACATTTCTTTTGCTCACACTAGCTTTTTCCTCGGGAATTTCCTGCTTATCTACCCAATAAACAACTTTAAAATTCAGCTCAAAAGTTATTTCCTCTCTGAAGCCTTCTTTTCCTTTGCAAGGCAGAATTAGTGTTAATTTGTTGTGTCATCATTTGCTTGACTTCCCATTAAATTGATCTTTAGGAAGACAGGACTGTATGTCATTCATCATTATACTTCAGCAAGTAAGAGTGACCAGCACTTAGATGTTGTGTAAATTGTTTTTAACTTACTGAGGGAATAAGACCTGGAAGGTGATGCCTATCAAGGCTACTTTGCCAATGTGTCCATTTGAGTATTTTATGGAACTTATTAATAGAAGCTAATCTGAGAAAAGGAGACCAGCAAAAAAAGCCAGTAAATGTTATATGAGTAAACATTACACCTACATGGCTTTTGGGCTTAAAGCTCGAAGTCTGAAATTAAAATCGTTCTTCTGAGGGTTCTGAAGGATGTGTTTGCAGGTCTCTGTCCTTGATTTGAAGCTGGTATTCTCTCTATCCTCACATGACATTCTCTCTATATGTGCTTGTGTCTGTGTCAATTTTTTTGGGGGGGTACTGGGGATCAAACTCATGACCTCATGCTTGCCAAACAGGCACTTAAGCCACTGAGCCAACTCCCCAGCCCTGTGTCAAAAGTTTTTAAACATTTATTATTTTTTCATTTATTTTGCTGGGATTGGGTCTTGCTATGCTAAATTTTAGACTCCGTCATCTTCCTCTCTCAGCCTTCTGAATAGCTGAACTATGGGTGCGTACTATCATATTACCTGTTTTCCTTTTTATGAGGATGCTACACACTAATGACTGCATCTCAATTAAGTACATTTGCATCAACCTTCCCAAAATGACATTCAGAGGTATTAGGGATTAGGATTCTAACCTATGAATTGGGAGCAGGGCACAATTCAACCTATGCCATGACCATTGAGAGTCAATTTGGTGAGTTCCTGTGATGTCAATTGTGCCATCAACTTGAGTAGATCAATACATGTTTAAATTAATGGAGCACAGTTTTGGGCATGTCAGTGAATGGCTGGCATGGAAGGCCGTAAACTGAGTGGGGAGGACCCACCCTGGATGTGGCCTGTAACCCGGATGGAACAAAAGGGGAAAGAAGAAAGCCTTCCTTTTGCTTCTTCAGAGGTGCCCCAATCTTTGCCATGGCCATTGGATGCTCATCTCCAGTTCTTTCAGGCTTCCTGCACAGACTCTTCTGTCTTCCAATGGAGACATGTCAGCCTTCTGACACGGATTCACATCAACTCTACAGGGAGTTTCAGGCCTTTGACTTTTGTGTGGCTCCTCCAGATCTCCAGCACACAGATGGTCATTTTGCATTCTTCCACCAGATATTGCAGGCAGCCATTGTAATCTACTTAGTGTAATATATACCTATATCTGTATCTATATATCTGTTCCTCTAGTAAATCCTGGTACCCCGTGTAGAATTAGATTTAATAATTTAGAACAAGAATTACACATTCAATATTTTACTAAATACAGCAATTTCTCAGAAATTTCTCCTACCCTCCTACATTTTATTCAACTGTTTTTGAAATGTGTAATCAGTGACTATTAGTATCTCAGGTGCAGTCAATATCTTGGAAATGTTGTAGCCCAAGTTGACCTGGAACTCTTTTTTTTTATTTTTTTTATTTTTTATTTTTTTAATTTTATTTAAGGAGAAAAGAAAAAAAAAGCAGGGAAAGGGTACAAGTTATACAGATTTACAGAAAAAAAATGAACAGTAGGAAATCACTAGTTAATGGATTACATATTGTCATCTTAGAAATAATTGTTCAAGTCACAAAATTAAAGCTTGTAAAGTGGACATTCCATCAATGATACTGCAAACAGTTCTGTTCATTGATCCAATAAAACTCTGTGATATCATTTTCTATCTTATACACTTAAATATACATGCAGTTATATAGTTTAGAGTACTTTCTTTTCCTCTCTTTTGTACCATGACTATTACACATTTTGGGTTTCATTGCTCCCACGGTTCTTATTACTTTTTTGGAAGAGAGTAAAACCAAATGTGACATAACAGAACAGAATCGGTCAAGTCAAAAGGGTGGACATAATAGATAATGTAAAAACATAATACAGGTGATCAACAATGGTTACCATAATGTCTCCCGCTATCTCTAATAGAATTGCCTATATCATTAGTTATAATACAATTGAACAAAACAGTAAAGAATAAAACCGACAAAACCAAAACATTGGAGACATTGTAGGTCTTCAAAAGTAGCTAAAAGTCAACAAGAATGGGCATCATAATGAATCTCATTATCTTCACAGCTGATGCCTAAACTTTCGAACCTGATACTATCCAGCAAAACAGAATAGGGGAACATCAGTTAAAAACCAGATGGTGAGAGTAATACAGGGCTTTAAATCAAGGTAATGAAAAGTCAAAATGGGTTACTATAATATATCCTGCTATTTTTTTCCTTTAATTAAAAGGATAAAGATAAAAAAGTAAATAATGGAGTGGAGATTGAGATAAAAGAGGGCATAACAACGAAACAGCGCAGATCAAAACATAACCATTTAAGCAGAATAGTGTTTCACCACCAGATAATCCTAACCTAAAAGTAGTTACCATATTGTTTCTTTCTTTGAAATCCTTGAGTACAACTTCGTATACTGTAGCATTAAGTATATCAAAACAATGTAAAACCATTCAAGAGAATGACAGCATTACAGAGTATTTAGAATCGACTAACAGAAAATGAACAATGGTTTCTGTATAATCTCCTTGTCTTTAAAAGGTTTTTGCTTATACTATCGTACATAATAAAGTCCAATAAGATACAGCCTATTTAGTACCTGGAACTCTTAAGGATCTTCTAGCCTCAACCTCCTGGGATTATTTATTTATTTATTTATTTTTAACTTTTTTTTTCTTGGTATCAGGAATCAAACTAAGGAACTCATGCTTGCCAGGCAGGCACTGTGCCTTGAGCTATATCCTTGGCCCAAATCAATCCTATTATATCTTTTCTTTACAGCTCAATGAGGAAGATGGGATAGACATTTGAAAATACGTGAAGAATGTTTGCTACATAATACTAATAATTTAATGCAGAAAGAGGGATTGAAGAGAAGGTCGTGGAGCTTGAAAAAGAAGAATCAAGATATAGTCTGTACAGGTACAAACTTCCTGAGATGAATGAGATCATTATGTATACCTAAGATGTACCAATCAACATTAAAATACTTAATGCAGACGATACAGGATTTATAGCTAGCAACAGAAGACATTTGAGAAATCACCACTGGGACCGTCTCTAAGGCCATAATTTTATCATCTTTTTACAAATGTACAAGAATTTTTCCTAATGTTATTGATCACCGACTGTCTTTCTTTTCATTTTTTCTCACATACTGTACAATGTAAGCTTATCTTCCTTAGTATCTAGAATAGTACCAATAGTGCCAGCCGCATAGAAGACCCAGTACATATTTAATAAGAAAATGGAGACAAGTGACGGAGTACTGGAAATCTGAAGTAACTTCGACATCTTTGCGAGCTGATGTGAGGAAACCAGGTCCTCTTGCTCCCAAGCTGACTAAATTGACCCAAGATGTGCTAACATATGTGTCCATGGGCTCATGTGCTCACCGCATCCCAACCTCCTGATAGATGCAAATGCTTGTGGGTGCTAAAAGTGGCTTTCGAATTTTCCTTAGTGAAAATCACGTAACAGCCCGACAGTAGCACCATCTCGGGAAGCCCTGTTGTTTATAGATGCTCTCAGATTCCAGCTCCTTGTACACTGCAAACACACACGTTGGCTCTGGAGCTAATCTGATAGGAGCCTTGCAGATCTTGGAGCTTTCAGTTCTATTCTAACCCAGGGTTTTCTGCGGGGAAGAGAGAAGCTTTAAAAAGTCACTGGAGGGCACAGAACACGCCCAAACCTGCCGGCCTAGAGAAGCTCCGGACGCCAGGACCCGCCGGAAGGCGAACCAAGGAGCACTTCCGGGAGCTAGCCCGCTCTGCGCAGGCGCAGTAGCAGGCACAGCTCCGGGCCGGGCAGCTGAGGGAGGGAGGAGTCGGGCCTAGCGCCGCCGGTGGACGATGAGTGCGGCGGGCCCGGGCGCTCGCCGCCGGGCACGAGTGTCGCGCCTAGTCTCGTTCAGCGCAAGCCATCGGCTGCACTGGTGAGGAGGCCCGCGGGTGTGGCGGCAGGCCGCGTCCAGGGGGGCGGGGCCGGGGGCGGGGCCAGGCCTAGGCGGGGCGGGGCTGGCGAGGGCACCGCCTCCGGGAAGCCGCGGCTGGGGCCCGCTGCAGCCCGGGCGGGGCGGGCGGTGTGAGGGTTGGCGCGGCTGAGTGCCTGGGGCCGCGCCCTGCGCTCTCTAGCTTTGGCCTCACGGTCCGTTAGTTTACTCCCAAGGCTTCCTGCGAAGCGATGAAGAATTAAATTTGCCTAAACGAAGCCTGGTAAAACTCGGTAAACGCTAGCTGAGATCTTATGCCAGGAGCATGAGCTACTGTACGTAATATAATTACAGCAGGGTGACTTTTGTCCCTCATGGTACTGGTGATGAAATGAGCCTCGAGTTTCAGTTTCCTAAACAAGCAGCACAGCGGGGATTTGAACCCCCAGCCCTCAGATGGCTTGACTGCAGCGGGGGTTGATTTTGAGGAGTTTTCTACTCACTGGCAAGTGCTACTCTCAGAACCTGTATTTCGTCCTGTAAAATGAGGAAAATGGCTATCAGGATCCACCCATTCATTACTGGGAATGGGTTTATTTTGTGCCTTAAAGCCTCGTGCTGGGCGATTTCTGCAGGGGCCAACACACACTTGGATATCATTGCCCAATTGATATAGGAGAAGGAGACTCCCAGTTTATTAGATGTCCCATTCGGGCTCGTGTTCTCTAAAATTGAAGAATGAATTTTGGGAACTGTGGCGGTTAAGAGCAGAAATACTTATTGAGAGACCGAAAGATTCTGTCTGAGAGAGAGAGATAGAATGGGTCCCCAATGGGTTGCCAAGGACCCCAGCTTTTCTAGAGTTATATATAGAGCAAAACCATGAGGTGAGGTAGTTCTAAGGTGGGGGAGAAATGGAAACTCATGAGGTGGGACAGAACTGTGGTCAAACAATCAGATTGTTTAGGTAAAAATGACCAAACTAAGGACAAATGGGGAAGCAAGTCACACAGCAAGGTGGCTTTCCTAAAGAGCAGTGACTGTTCCTGTAGGGGGTTGGGATGGTGACTCCTGGCTTCCTCAAGGTCATCCATACCTATTTATAATATATCAATCCCTGATGTTTATACTTGGGGTGTGGTTGCATTTGTTTTATCTTTTAAGGTCTGGCCCACAGCAGGAGGTGTGCGTGTCTCCTCCAAGGTCACAAGACATCTGGTCCTCTGTGCTGGCTCCCTTGAGGGCCAAGCCCTGTCTGACTGCCTGTAATATTTCCACCTAACTCAGCTGCCTGTAACACTATCTGGAGTTTATGTGTTCAATTTTGTGAAGAGTCCAGTGAGACTTTTCATTCAATAGCTTTGTGAATGATAGCTCTCTGAGTTTGAAAAATAGAGGGGAGAATAAAGTTATTAGAAGGAAAGGGATTAGATAATAGAAGCTCAAACATATGCTACAGGCAGCTGAGTTAATTAGAAATATTATAGGCAGGCATACAGGGCTGGGCCCTTGCAGGAGCCAGTTTCCTGAAGATGAAATATCTTGTAACCTTGGAGGAGACAGACACCTGCTGTGGGCCAGACCTCATGATAAAAGGCAGCCACACCCTAAATATAAACATTGGGGATTGACATTCTGAATAGGTATGGAATACCATCCCATCCCCTACAGGGAAATGCTCTTTAAGAAATGCCCACTTACTATGTGACTTGATTCCCTATTTGTCCCCAGCTTGGTCAGTTTTACCTGAAAAATTAGTCTTAGTGGTTGACCATTGTTCTGTCCCACCTCATGCCCGTCTGCTTTTCGAGTTCCCATTTTTCTCCACCTTGGTCTGACCTCACCTCGTGATTTTGCTTTATAAAAAAAGTTCCTAGAAAACAGTCTTTGGCAACCCACTTGGGACCCCTGCTGTCTTTCTCAGACAGAAGCTTTCTTTCTCTCAATAACCATGTTAGGCTCTTAACCTCCATTGTTCCTAAAATTCATTCTTCGATTTTTAGAGGACCCAAACTTATACCAGACGTATAGCAGGTTGGATGTTTTGTTCCTTATGTCATTTTGTGAGGGAGGTAATGACTCTGAAAATGGAAAGTTGGTTGGGTGGGTAGAGATAAATTCATTGGTTTTTGTTTGAAACAACTAACAAATGTAATTTAAAAATTTTTCCTAATGTGATATCCCTCAGCAGATTGGTAAGGTTTTCAGTAGGCAATCGTTGATTGAGGAAGAGTAGAGCAAGACTCTTAAAAGAGGATATGAAGGTCATGTAATTGTTTTTCTGAGGAAATGAGGTTTAAAGCTGCCTAAGGACATGTGTCCTCTTTCTTGTAATCCACAAATGAGTCCCCAAACTCGAGTTCAAAAAATGAGGCAAAAACATTTTAAAAAAGCAGCGCTGATTTATTTTATCCTGGGCCCAGCGACACAGTGCAGTTGGAGATTGCAAAAGCTGTGTGTCCTTGTTAAACTTGCAGCCTTGAAGTACATATCACAGTTTACAAAGTAAGGGGTTATGGGCGTGGATCAGGAAATCTGCTAAGGAAATGAGGAAAACCTTTGTTTTCCTTAGCAGAGGATAGAGTAGTCTGGCAGTAATTAAGAATTCTTTGTCAACTTATTTTACACTTTTTTTTTTTTTTTTTTACCGGTACTGGGGATCGAACTCACGGCCCCCTGCTTGCAAGGCAGGTGCTTATGCCGCTGAGCTAAGTCTCCAGCCCCTGTCAACTTATTTTAGCACCACATCTGTTATTTGTAGAGGGCAACAATGGTTAACGTATCAATTAGGTTAGGTTCCCAGGGATTTATAATTCTTTACATGCATTAATTAACATCTCAATTAGGTCACCCAGAAGAAAAAAAACGCATACAGAACAGGTGGCGTTACAGGTATTTGGCATAATACAAACATAATGAATATCTTGCTAGGGTACAGCATTCCCCACTGATTTTAGTCATCCAAATCATTGGCTCATGAGGTTTTTCAGACATAGGTATCTGTTTATAACCTTGTGTGTTTAAAATCATAAGCTTTATAGTTTGAACCCGATCTTTGACATAGTTTACCAATTTGTGCATAATACAAGGCCCAATAGGAGAATTGACAAAGGTCTTGCAGCTGCCATTATTAAACTATTAACCAAAAGGAGAAAGAAAACCAACATTTAAATTAACTCTGTTCTGTCTTACAAGTAACATTTTTTTTTTTCTAAAAGACAGAGGCCTCTTTGGGGTCTCCATAAGGGAGAACACAAGATTATCAGTTACATTTGGCAATCTTAAGCTTTAAAAAGTCCTTGGAGGGAACAACAGTCCACTTATCTGTAGGCTGATCACCTTTGGAAGCCTGCTTGAAGTGGGAATGATGAATCTAGGCAGGCTTTCTGGCTACTTTGATAGCAGTTGGAGTGCTGAGGACTACAATGTAGGGACCCTCCCATCACGGCTCAAGAGATTCACGGTGATGCCGCCACAGACCAGTGTCCCAGGCTCCACAGCAGGGTGTATGTCCTTGCAGTGGGCTGTAGGTGGAGGATGTTGTTGTCAAAATAATCGGTGGGTGGGAGTCAGAACTGGCTGAAAAGTCTGGGAGGACTTAATAAGATCTTGATTAGTTAAATCAGCTAATTTTTCCTCAGAAATCTTAGGGATAAGAGGAAGAGGTCTCTCATAGAAAGCCTCAAAAGGGGAAATATCAGTAACGTAGGGGGTACATCGCGCATGCAACAGAGCAAAAGGAAGGAGACTCACCCAGTTTTTGCCAGTTTTTAAGGCCATCTTACTTATTACTGTCTTTAACGTCTGATTTATCCTTTTTACTTGTCCTGAACTTTGAGGCCAGTAAGCACAATGGAGTTTCCAATTGATCTGAAAAGCTTAGGTTAGTTTTTGAGTTATCTGGGCTATAAAAACTAGGCCATTGTCGGACTCCATGGATAAAGGGAGGCCAAATCGGGGAAATTGCTATCAGGGCTGACTCAGACTTAGTAGGCAAAGCTTTAACCCATCTAGTGAAAAATACCTATCATTACCAATAAGTACTTATTTCCTTGAAGTCCAGGCTTTTCCATTTTTGTAAAGTCTATTTCTCAATGCTTTTTAGGCATGGTCCCATGTAGTGAGTAGTTTCTATTTGTTGCAGTTGTTTTGAGTTCACCAATTGGCACTGAGGGCATCTGAGGCTCACAGACTGGGCAAGCTTTGATATTAGCCCCCAGATGCAAGTCTTTTTAAGTGCAAATAGGCTCTGACAAAGTAGGTGGAGTCAGCAGGAATGTCAGGGCTATCTCAGTCCCCACTGATTTTGTGGCTGCCTTTTGGGCGGTGGTGTCTGCCAAATTATTATTTGTATAACAAGGCCATCTCCTGCCTATTAGGCTCTACAGAGGATAATAGCCACTCTCCTTGGCATCTAGATGGCAGCCAACAAGTCCAAAATTTGGGGAGCATTTTTAATCTTTCGGCCTCAGAAGTCAATAAGCACCATTCTTGATAAATGGCCCCATGAACATGGGCAGTAACAAATGCATACTTTGACAACTTGAGGCCTCAGTGAGGGCAATGAGTTCAGCCCGTTGGGCCAATGTTTCTGGCTCCAGGGTTGGTTCCTATAGAATCTGAGAGTCTGGTAACGGCAGCTCCCATGACCCGCTTACCTTGATAGATGTAACTGCTTTCATCGGAGAAATACAAAGGAACTCTGAATGGTGGCTCATCTGTCAAGTCTGGTCCCCAATACAGTTGTGGAGGGGCATCATCAGGCAGCAGAGTAGCAGAGTTTGAAGCCGCTGTCCCCTTGAAACTGATGGTCTAAGATAGATGATATTACTGAGTTTTGTTGGATCAGTGAATAGAACTGTTTGCAGTCTCACTGTTGGAATGTCCACTTTACAAGCTTTAATTTTGTGAGTTGAACAATTATTTCTAAGATGACAATATGTAATCCATTACCTAGTGATTTCCTACTGTTTATTTTTTTCTGTAAATCTGTATAACTTGCACCCTTTCTCTGCTTTTTTTTTCTCCTTAAAAAAAAATAAAAAAAAAAGAAACTGATGGTCGTCAGATCTAGAAGTAATGCCTGATAATGCATGACTTGGGAGTTGGGCAGCCATCGGTCTGGCGGAGGCTTGATGAGAGTCTCCAGCAAATAGGAGGGGACAATTAAGAGTTTTTGTCCAAAAGTCAATTTTTAAGCCTCCTTTACCAGGAGGGCCACCGAGGAAATCACCTGCAGACAAGGTGGCCATCTGGCTGCCACATAATCAAATCTCTTGGAAAGATAGGCAACAGGCCTCTGCCAGGGTCCCAAACTCTGGATCAGTCCTATGGCTCCTAGAAATTCTCACATTTGCTTTTTAGTCACAGGGACTGGAATCTGTTGGATGGCTTGTATCCGCTAGGAGGAAAGAGTGGAAAGAGTATTTTTTTTAAGGAGAGTCCAACAACCAATGTAGTCCTTTTGCCCAGCAGAAACCTCTTAAGCCTGGTCTTTAGGGTCCACTTGGTTGAAAATATCTTTTAAGCAACTTCTAATAACTGACTGAAGGGCATTTTTTTTATATCTCTCAAACTTTTGCAATTTTGCTTAATATCAGGGTCCGACTGGGTTACAAAGGCAATATTACTTGCATTTTTAGGTGCTATTGGTATATAAATGTGATAGGCCTTTTGCAATCTTTTCAGAAAATCCCGAGGGAGACTCATTAGCCAGTTGTCTCACCTCTGCTATCTTGGGCATATTGGAGGGTTTTCTGGGGTGCCCTATTGGCTATTGACAACAACTGGCGATACCGATTGGCAACCTCCTTACCTCTCTCTCTTTACCTCTGGTTGTCCACTTGGGGTGGGACGAAAGGAAAACATGGTTCTGGCATTTTGGATCAGAGGGCAGGCTGTATGGCACACCACTTTTTTGTCCCAGGGTGCCATGTGGCAGGCCATTGTTTTACTGAAATTATATACTTAACAAAAAAGGGCTTTTTTATGGATAACAAAAAGTAATTCTGCTGCATAATCTCCCAGATGTCCACAACACATGCAAGAACTTATATTTTATCTCTATAATCACCAATCACATTAGGTACAATAGTTATTTCTTTTAAATTTAGATCGGCTTTTTCCAGTACAAGACGAATTGTTCCTTTTTTTTTTTTTTAGCAATCAAAATCTCAACTCTGTCTTTACATTGTATAGCATTCCTGGAAATTCCCCTCCTCCAAACTTACAGTATTGCAAATTATCCTGTTGGGCTCTTTGCTCTTGAAAGCCATGCCACAGAAAGCATTTCTCTTTTTCATTTTTACTTTAAGACAAAACCACTTTTTTTTTTACTTATTACCAGTCAATTACCTTTTTCTTGCTTTTTAGACAACATTAAAACCTTTAACAAAATCCTTGAAATGACCTTTTTTAGTAGTCTGAAACATATTTAATCATTTTATGTCTTTTCACCACATTAAAATGCTACATTTTAAAAACTGTAACTTTTTAACTGGTTCAATTACATTATGATCTGGTTTTACTTGGTAAAGTTAATATGCTTTTCAAAAACCATAAATATACATATATATGTGCACATATATTCACATTTTAACCAGAAAGAAAAATACTTTTTAAAAGGCATGCCGAGGTTGTAGGTAATCAATTGAGGACTAAAACATTAAACAAGGCACCACAAAAGATAAGACCAACATTAAAGACACAAATGAAGGTTTTTCTGTTCCCAGTTTGGTGAGCTAAAGGAACACAAACGGGCCCCAATGCCCCACACGGGCCTAAGCCCTACACAAGGGCCTAAGCCCTACACATGGGCCTAAGCCCTCACACGGGCCTAAGCCCTACACATGGGCCTAAGCCCCCACATTATAAATGGGCAAAAGCCCCAGAGTTCGATGCAGAAGGAGCCCTAGCTCGTCTGCAGTCACTGTGCGCATCCAAATTACAAACGGGGCAAAAACCCCCACATGGACCGAAGCCCAAACTTACGAATGGGCTCGGGAAGCCCTAAATTACAAAAAAGGCCCCAGGAAGTTGTCTCATTTTATCTGCAGTTACAAATGTGCACACTCAGATTACAAACAGGCAAAAAACCCCAAATACTTACAGACATTTAGCCAATCGATTGGTGAAAAAATAATTTGGGGGGTCCCCCAGTAATCCCGAGTGAACCCCCAAATTTTATAATCCACAAACGAGCCCCCAAACTCGAGTTCAAAAAATGAGGCAAAAACATATTTTTAAAAAGCAGCCCTGATTTATTTTATCCTGGGCCCAGTGACACAGTGCAGTTGGAGATTGCAAAAGCTGTGTGTCCTCGTCAAAGCTTGCAGCCTTTGAGTACATATCACAGTTTACAAAGTAAGGGGTTTTGGGCGTGGATCAGGAAATCTGCTAAGGAAATGAGGAAAACCTTTGTTTTCCTTAGCAGAGGCTAGAGTCCTCTAGCAGTAATTAACAATTCTTTGTCAACTTATTTTAGCACCACATCTGTTATTTGTAGAGGGCAACAATGGTTAACATATCAATTAGGTTAGGTTCCCAGGGATTTACAATTCTTTACAGAGGAAAGCATTGATTAACATATCAATTAGGTCACCCAGAAGAAAAAAAGTATACAGAACAGTAGGCGGCATTATAGGTACTTTGGCATAATACAAACATAAGGAATCTCTTTTTGCTGGGGCACAGCACTCTTGTGTTTATCAAGGTATGCTCTTGCTTCATTGTGTACTTCTGTTTTACATAGTAGATACTCAGTAAATGTTTATTGAATTGAAAAATGAAGGGACCAAGAGATCAGTTGAAATCTTGCTGTGGAGCAGAATTTATTTATGCTAATTTATATGGTATGGTGGTGAAACTGGTCCAGGGAAAGAAACTCCCAACCTGCTACGTACTGGTACGAGTTTGTGTTCTCTAAAATCGAAGAAGGACTTTTAGGAACAGCAGAAGTTAGAGTATTACTGGGGAAAAGAAAGCGTCTGTCTGAGAGACAGACAGAAGGGGTCCCGAGTGGGTTGCCGAAGAGTCTGTCTTTTCAAGGGATTTTTATAGAACAAATCTAGGACATGAAGTGGGTCCAAGATGGGAAAAATAGGACATTGCAGGATGAGCACGAGACGGGGCAAAACTATTGTCAACTAATAAGATTATGAGTGTAATTGCTCAGGTAAAACGGATTAAATTGGGACCAAAGAGGGAAGCAAGTCACATAGCAAGCGGGCATGAACACAGATCAGGGCTGCTCCTGTGGGGTGGGTGAGTGGCTCTTCCTGGCTTTTTCACAAGGTGATGGCTGATTGCTATTTAGAAATAGTTCCTGACGAATGTCCTTAGGAAGTAGGTGGCTGCATTTATTTTGTCTGTTGTCTTGAGGTCTGGCTCACAGTGGGAGGTGTTTGTCTCCCCCATGGTTGCAAAGTATCTTGTTTTCTGCACTGGTTCCTTCAAGGGCATCACCCTGTCTGATTGCCTGTAATATTTAGTATCTAATTTAGTTGTCTAGAACAAAAGGAGCACACATGCATTGGTTACTTACTTGTAGATGAACAGTGAAATCAGAGTGATTTCACTTGGCAAGTTAAAGTCATAATAAATTGTGAAATTTTTCAAAGACTGAAGCAAATAATAATCGTAAGGAACAAAAAAGTGTCTGAATAAGACAATTGTGCCATGCCAAGTTTGTTTGTTTGTTTCTTTTTTTTGTCAGCAAATCTCTGAGTAATGAAGAAAACTTGAAACTCTTTGGGAAATGCAATAATCCACATGGTCATGGGCACAATTATAAAGGTAAGAAAAAGCTGATGAAATTCTGATTCTTGAATAGGGATGTAAGAGTGCTTAGCAAATATAAGTGTAAGAAAGTTATGGACGTCGTGAATGCTTTAAACTTGAACTAGAAGTTGAATAGAGGGTCAAAGGGAAAATCTCGTCTTGGTTGCGTGCCTCATAAATGTTTGTAGTTGTCTACCCTGTTATAGATAATTCAAGCCAAAGAGTGGTATAAAGAACTTTTTCCTTGGTCTTAGACTATATAGTAAAAAAGTTTTTGGGACTGTGTTTCCTTCTGGTTTAGTATCACTGAAGCTAATGTTAAAATTGCATTGTAATGTTTGAAGAAATATGTTTAATGTGATTTAAGCATTTTGTTATATATATACAACTACTGGTGTATCACATGGTAACCCTTTAATGTGTACAGTTTGTATGTTTTTATATGTCATTTTACAAAATTATGTTTAGAAATCTCATAGCAACACTCAAATTTAAAAACTAGATTTATTTTTTGACTAAATAATGACTGACGAAGGGGGACACTGCCTGGAATGTACTCTCTGGCAGATAATTAATCTGGTTCTCTTAAGAAAGTGAGTCCAATAATTTTGTGCAAAAATAAGAGATTTGATTCTTTGAGACGCAGCTGATGCCACACAAAACAGCCACTACACTGCCAAAAGCATTTTTAAAAGAGCAGGAGAGGTATCCAAAGGTCAGGATTTATTTAGTTACTACCTCTGTATGATAGTGTTTAATTTCAGTGTACTCATTTATCATGTAATACCTAATGGTATTTGTATAGACTTGAAAAAAATACAAATTCATAGAAGTTATTAATTTTTAAAGTAGTTACTAATCAAGATATTTTCAAATGCTTCATATAAGCACTATTCTATACAGTATTACTGTAACCTGTGTATTCTTATAACTAAAAGAGTAAGTTTTCTCTTATTCAAGGAGAAAGCTGTTTCTCTTTTTTGTGGTTTGCTTGTTCAGTACGGTGCTGTCCAGAATGGGGCCAGTTTAGCTGGACACCTGCCTGCCCATTTTCTACTTGTAAAAATACACCACAGGCAGCAGCTCGGTGTTCCCGGTGTAGCAACACTGTAAGCAGAGTTTATACCCGTTTGGCCATGGCTAGTTCCTCTAGCTAGCCAAAGCTCCCACTGAGGCTCTCTGTCTTGGTTGGATCTTGCTTTGATAGATAAAAGGGTCTTAACCTCAACGGACAAATTTTGGAGAGGAAAGGTAAGCATGGTTTTGGGAGCTAGAGATCTAATGATTCATATTGCTGACTTGTGCTTGAACGTTTGTCTGTTGAAAGTCATGTTGTTTTTGGCATTTTTTCTCCCCATAGTGGTGGTGACAGTACACGGAGAGGTATGTGCTGAAATGTTTGTGTTCTTTGCCCAGCTGGCTGTTTCTCTGCTTTGTGTTGTCCTGTGTGTGGTGAGCTGCCGCTGGTCTAGCTCTCCTTTCTCCGTGTGCTCGGGAGCGGGCTGTGTGCAGGCAGGTGTCACTGTGCTGGGATCGGTGATTGCCTCTGCCGTTCGTAGGCGGGCACCATGGATACACTGTACAGCCTTTCATAACGGCCAGAAGTTTCGGTGTGGGCAGCCTACCGGGGTTACTAACTCTTGTTTCTTCTTTAGATTGATCCTGTTACAGGGATGGTTATGAATTTGACCGACCTAAAAAAATACATGGAGGTAATGCCACACTGGTGCTTGTCGGGTGCTGTTCACTGTGTTAGTGTTAGGGGCGCCTTTGCACACGTCAGTGAGCCGCGGAGGTTCTGGGACTTCATGAATGAGGTTGGTGGGGAGTGGAGGGGCGGTGGAGGAGCGCCCTGGCCCTCTGAGGTCTTCACAGGGGACAGCAGTCCTGGGCGTGTTGTTGTCCCGGGAGAAATACGCTTGCTCACCTCGTTTTTCTTGTGGAACGTTCCAGTTTCTTCCACTGAACGGCTTCTATGCTTTCTTCAAGACATAACTTTCTCTAAGATGTAACCTTCTCCTTGAATCTTCCTGTTACCTCTCTGTATATTCCTTGTGCCTTTAATCAAAGATATTTAATACCATCGTTTTCTTAATCACTGGCTTTATCCTACACTTATGGAACAACTCATTATAGAAATAGCACACAGTGTTCAGTGAGAAGCTTACTGATTGTGTTATCACAAACTTCTTGCATTGTAAGAGATTTCATTTATTTTCAGCTGTTTGAGCAGGTCTCACTAGGTAGCCAGGCTGGTCTCAAGCTCTATGTATAGATCAGATTGGCCTCGAACGCATGGGCCCCTGGCTCGGCCTGCCCAGTTCTGGGACTACAAGCATGCGTCACCCTGGCAGACTCGTATTACGGGATTTTAGAAGACATGACCTAAAGCAGCTATTCACTTGGTAGATTAAGACTGAAAGATGCTGGGCAGCTAACCGATTTGCCCAGGCCTGTGGTTGGTCCTGCTAGAGCTGGGGGTCGGTCTTCCCGCCGCTCATTCGTTATGAGGTCACTTCAGCCATTTACTTAGTTCTCTTCAGTGTGCAACTTTTATTATAAAACTTGATGTTTCATAAACATTGTAACCATCATTCCTTCTTTCCTGTCTTCGTCCTTGCAGTCAACACGTTTGCCTGCTGTCCACCAGTGTTTTATCCAAGTGTTAGGGATAGAGAGATGGAGAGCCATAGCCTGTGTGTGTTACTTTTTCTAGGAAGTAAAAAAATACTGAGTGCTCAAAACTTGTTGGTTGAATAAATAAACTAGAGAATAAGTGAACGAGCAAATACCATTGTGCTCAAAGAACTTTAGGAAGGAAGAAAGACAGTTCTTGGGTTCACCGGGGCATAAAATACAAAGACTCGCGGTAAGGCGGCACTGGAGAGCTTTCAAGCAGCATGTGACTGACTGAATACTAGGGAGGGTTGTGTACCTGGAATGCACCACGTTCCTGTTACCGAAAGTGGCATTTGGGATGAAAGTCAGTGGATATGTTGGCACCCGGACTGGTCTGAAGATAAAGCAAAGATTTATTTTCTTCATATTCACTTGAGACAGCTCTTCATTTGAATTATTTAAAAACTAGTTCTTCATTTATTCTACTTAAAAAATAATTGACTTGAGATTTACTTTGTATGGGATTTTTCTTTTGCTCAAGAAATAATCCTTGTTATTATTATTACTTAAAACCACACAATATGGAAAATTAGATTGTTTTATAAAAGCTTAGATTTTTGTGTAAGAGCCAAAGTAAAAACCTAGAAAGAAAAGGCAGTTATAATCTTTGATAACAAAAAAAGAAAAGAAACATTATATTAACATCTGTAAAGCATTAAGGAGTAAATCCTTACATATTTACATTTTAGAGCCCAGGGTCATTCTTTATTATTCTTCAAAGCAAAACTTTAGAATTATATATATAATTTCAGTCTGTGTCTGCTTTATAAAATACAGTGCTCAGTTTGCATGTTTGTCCACTAAAATTGTGGCATTGTGCTGTAGGTCAGAATGTTGTGGAGATGTTCCTGATAACCTATGGGACAGAATTCAGAAAGTGTGCAGCTGAATTCTGAGTCAGAGTGGCTTGTGTTTCAGGCAAGCTAAGGAATTCTTCTCTCTAGTTTTTCAGTAACAGGAATAACTAATCATTACAGGGAGCAAGGCCTGACTTTAAACTGTGTAAGATTGTGTATAGAAATATAATACTTAACGAGCATTGAGTTCATGGCTAAACGATATGGTAAAGTTAGATGGAGCCTTTTGGGGTTTGAGTCATGAATAGAATCAGTGGTTTTTCCCTTGGTTTTATCTGCAGGAGGCGATTATGAAGCCCCTAGATCACAAGAACCTGGATCTAGATGTGCCGTACTTCGCAGATGTTGTAAGGTGGGTGTCACAGCTTGCCTTCGATAGATAACAAGAAAGAATTGAATCTAACGTTTTATCGGGTCACTGTGTGGCTTCTAAACTTTTCGTTTACTGTGTCCCCCCGATACACTAAAAATCTATTCTATGTTTTCTGTAAATGTAAATGTAAAGTGAAATTATGTTTATTATCTGAATTTTGAACTTCTTTCCTTTTCTTCTACAGCACGACAGAAAATGTAGCTGTATATATCTGGGAAAACCTCCAGAAATTTCTTCCCCCGGGAGTTCTTTATAAAGTAAAAGTATATGAAACCGACAGTAATATTGTAGTCTATAAAGGAGAGTAATAGTTCTTAGGGATTAACATTGTCAAAAGACTAGTTTCTTTTCATATTTGAAAAAAATCTGTGTCCCCTTACAATATGAAGCAATCACCGCATAATCTTTGTACCCGTACATTGTGTTATGGAGTGCCTGGTTTATTGAAATCATTGTAAGCCCTGTTATACATTTATTTGTTTTAAAATCAAATGTATCTTGAATTTTTTTAAATGGTGCTGGAGATCAAATCCAGGGCCTCACATGTCCTGCCCCTGAGCTGTATGCCAGTCCCTTGGAATATAACTTGGAGTATCTTTCATCTGTAGATTAGAAGTCATTTTCAGCAAAATATTTTGGTATGGACTTATTTTGGAAACAAATCTATTTTTTTGTATTTGTTACCTCATTTTCAGTATTCATATTTTTGGTATAATGTAAATGGTAAAAATGTTTATGCAGTATACTGTACGAGAATCTTATAAAAATAAAATTTGGATGACCACAAAATCTGGAGACAACGTATTTCGTAACAGATTGAACTCCCTTGATTACTTCTTCTAGCATACATTAAAGGTAAAACTTTATTCAGTGAAAATCAGACACGTCATCGGAGGGGCAGTGAGTTACTGACACACACATAAAGGCGGGGTAAATTGTTCTATTCTGTTGCACATCTTCCTTGAGCTATGAATTGCTGGTGAGGTAAAACATAGTGACCATTTCATACAGTATCAGTAAACTATTTTTTATGTATATTTGTCTAGAATCCTGAATATTATGGCCACGAAAATAATTTTAGCTCAGAAGACTGCACAGTAACCACGTTTAAACCCTGTTAATAGTCAATATAAAAGTCACCTGCTGTTCTGCAAAGCACCCTGTATAAAATTTTTCCTCCACTTTATTCTGATTATTAAGCTTACCTGTGTAATTTGCACTATATTCTTGGCATTCATTTCTGGTATCTTTGTGACTAAATCCACAAGAATGTATTTGCTTGCTTTTTACAAAGAGCTATTCTTCTGGGGCTGGGGATTTAGCTCAGCGGCATAAGCGCCTGCCTTGGAAGCAGGCAGTTGTGAGTTCGATCCCTGGTACCGATAAGAAGGAAAAAGACAAAAAAAAAAAAAAAAAAAAAAAAAAAAAAAGAGCTATTCTTCTGTATTCCCATTTGTCTTCTAAACCTCTTAAATACAGGGGTTTATGCTTCTCTCCTCATTGTAACTACTGTGCATGGAGTCCTGGAATATTGCTGCCGAAAACAAGGACTTATCCAGAGATTACAGTTCTAAAAAAGTTTGCAAAGGAGTAGAATAGTTTTTGAGAGTTAGAGGAATTTTATTTGTGATTTTGACAGTGCAATGCCTCCTTAATTAAGTTGAATGTATTTTATTTACCAAACTTGCCTTTTATGCTGTTTTGTATTGATTACCTGAAAACCTTACTTATTAAAGTTTTAATTTGCACAAATTCCAGGCAAGGTATTGTTCCAACTTTAAAGATAAGAAAATTAAAATAGGGTAAGCTACTTGCGGATCCCTCAGCAAATAAATTGTAAACTGAAATACTATACGAATGTATTTCCAGATTACAAATACCAAATTTTCCAGATCTGATATATAGAAAAACATTTTCAGTGGTACTAGTGACGTTCCAGCGCCCCTCCTCAGGACTTGCTTTAGGGTAACATTTCTTTACGTTTTTGTCCTTAAGGAAGTAAGAATTTTATCTACGTACCTACTCATCTGCATCTGATCTATTCGAGTGAATGAGTCAGTAGTGAATGTTCGGAAGGACCAAAGACAGTGTACAGGTAATTTCCTTCTTTTCTTCTTTCCTTTTTCCTCTCCAGGTTCATATCAAACACACCGTGTTGTTGTTCTACCCATTTTTCTCCCTGGGTATTGTTAATTCCTCTGGGCAACCTCTTTATCCTGAGTATCCGGTAAATATTACTTAGTATTATTATTTTGTTAGTTAAGTAAATGAATGACATACTGCTAAAAACTTGAAATTTTATAGTGCCTTCTAGGCACATGGCAAATATTATTATTTTGATTTTTTCAGTTGTTAGTTTTCATTAGCACATGTGTGTAGTACATAAAGCTCACATTCCTCTTGGGCAGTTGGTGCATGTACGTAACACAGGTCAATTCTTTTTTTCATTCCCCTCCCCTCCTCTTGCCTCCTGGGCAGATATTTTTAGACTTGAATAACCTGAGTTGTGAGGCTTGAATTTTAGTCCCAGAGCTGTTACGATTTAGTTGAGTCACACTCATCTCTGACCTTGTTTCTTTACCTGTAAAGTAAACCCTTCAACTCATTACTTTCTGGAGTTATTCTGCCTCTTTTATATCTAGAGGATTTTGAATAGCAAATAAATGAATATTACTAACTTAGGGGAAGAAAAAGGCCACTACGGGTGAGCGAGGTTCGGAGCTTGGTGAAGGAGGTCCTGGATGTCGGGGCAAGGAGAGTGGTGGTCTGTAATTTAGGAGGAAAGGGAACGGCTGCTAAAAGGGTAAAAATTCATTAGCAAGGCTGCCAGAATGCAGACAGCCAATAGCGAATTTCAGGGTAGTGGTGAGGTGCGAAAGCATCCTGGGAATTACACTTGGAAATTCAGGATGGAGACAGATTGGCGGTCTTTATGGAACAGGAAGCTGTCCAAGTTTTGTTTTTAAAAAGTTAAACAGCCGAACAGAGGAAGGCAAGGGAAGTGGTCAGCAAAGCCATTGCAGGAACTGGCCGTGAGTTCCTGACCATGCTGGTGACAGCAGAAACAGACCTGGGGGAGAAGAATGCGGCTGGCACCACTGTTTCTGTGGTTCGTATTTTACTAGGTATCTTTTTGTTGGTTTTGTAGGTATCTTTTATGTTGCCTCTTTTTACCCTCATAACCACCCTGCCGGACAAGTGAATTATCTACTGCTGCGTAACAAAGGAACCCCAAACACAGCTTAAAACATGGATCAAAACAGCACATACTTATTGTCACAGTTTCTGTGGGCCAGCAAGTGAGGGGTGGCTTAACTGCAGCCTCGGGCTCCGAATCACAGTCATCTCAAGGGTGGCCAGGAAGGGTCTCTTCCCAGCCACTCGCGTGGTACTGACAGGATCCAGTTCCTCAGGGTGGCTGAGGCCCCGTTCTTCCCTCTGTTTTCCCATGGAGTCTTCTTCATAAAGCAGCCTCCAGCATGACTCAGTCAGGGTCGGCAGCTTAGAGGGCGAGGGAGAGTGCAGGGCGGATCTAAGTCCCGGGTGCTGGCAGCCAGCCCCTTGGGACGTTGCTGGTTGTACAGAATGATGTGGAGGAAGCAGGAGACACGGCTGGGCCGGTTTCAGGATTTTGTGCCCCTCTTGGTGCCAATGCATGTTAGGTTTTGGAGGACTGAGAGAGCAGCAGTAGTTTTTACAATGGGAAATGTGGGGTTCATGGGTAGAGAAATACAAAAATCTTGGAAGCACTGTTCTTGAAATGAAAACCAACTCTAAAGAAAGATAAAAAAAAAACTCCTGTATCTCATGAGCACATTGACTCGAGTTCAGCTGTGGTGTACTGTGATGATTGATAGGATAGCCACTGATGGGACGTGAACATGGCCAGGAGTGCTGTGATCGTTTCTGTACCTGTGACCACTGATACTAGACACGTGAGGAGTGATCCCATTGGCTCTTTAAACCCCAAACTTTTAAAATTCCCCCTAGAATTGATATTATCTTGAAATGGGAAACAGATTGGATTCATTTTGCTTTTGTAAAGTCTGAGATAGTTCGAGCCTCCCTTGCACACAAATTGTGTTGGTTTCACACAATTTAACTTTATAGCAAAATTCTGCCACTTCTGGAAAATGTCCTAGATAAACACTCTTAAAGTCTCCACAGAGCTGCACGGAAACTGATGTGCACAGAAAAGGTAGAGGCAAGCGGTCCTCTGGCTGGAGGATTTTCAGAGAGCAGTTCTGTTTTTAATTGGTTCATCAATTGTTTGCTTCCTTTGAAAGTCAAACAACAAACTCCCACCTGTGCACAGCAACTATTGAGATGGAAGAATTAATGATTTAAAAAGAAACGACATTGTACCAGTCCCATGATTTTTGGCATAAGAAATGACCTGCCAGATTTACATTCATAAAGATGTTTAAGAAACAAGTCCTGAGTACTTAAGCCCAAGTTTGTCCTCATTCTGCAGTTTGTCAGTGAACATTCCCAACACAGTATGAAAGTAAGTATGAGTCATGTTTTCAAGCCATCTTTATTTCTCTGGGGTATAAATAGAAGCACTGTGATTAGGAAAAGCTAGAAGAAATGGAGGGCTTGGTGATTCTACTTCTAAATTACACAGTGATGTCTATCCATTTCTAAGTCTGCTGCTCTAGTCTAAGCCATCACCATTTCTTTTTTTTTAAATTTTTTGTTTTAAAGTGGATAAAACAGAATAAAGCCAATCAAAGCAAATCAGTGTAAGAGATAAAGGACTTCAAAACACTACAAAATCAACAATAGTTACCAAAATGCCTTTTGGTGTCTTCAAAATAGCTGCAAATAACTTTGGACATAGTAAAAGTCAAACATAGAATAGAAAACAAACAATAAAAACAAAACAATGAATGCAATAAAGGACTTCAAAACAAGCCAGTAGTAAATCCAAAGTTGCTACCATAATATTTCTTGCTATCCTTGAAAGAGCTGCTCCTGCCATCGGATTTCACATAATCAAACAAAACAAAAGAGAATCCCAAAAACAATGAAAATGATATAGGATTTCCAAAACAAGAACATGGGGAATCAACCATGGCTACAACCCTCAGAAGATCCTCCCTAGATGTCACACTGTGTACCACTAACCCCTGAACCTACGATGAGACCACTGGCCCCAGACCTGCAATGTTAGTGAAACACCAGAGCACCACAGGCGTCCAATTGCATTTTGCCTCCATAGCTGTCATCAGAGCTTGTGTTTTTTTGGACAATCGGTTACTTAAGGCGGGGGTAGGGGTTGGGAGCTGGCACTTCTTGTTTGCCAGCCTACGTGCCAGAAGGGGATGGCGTCTGGCCATTCCCAGTCTGGCGTCGGACCACACATGGCGCTGGTTCCTAGAATGGACTTGTTTGCTGGTGTGGCCATTAACCATCACCATTTCATGCCTGGATTTCTGATTATCCCCCTTTTTCTTTTTTTTTCCCCTCTAATTTTTAGAGTTTTTATTGTATTATAATTGCAGGTAAGTAACTAATCACCTATATCTGCCCTGATGACTGCTGACCATACTTACTGTATTGTAGATCATCATTTTACATGACTTGGAATGATTTTCACTTTCTGAAGGCTGGTGTCATGGTTTATGTCTGTGTCCCTCAGGCCTCATGAGTTTGAATTGTGCATTTGTTATTTGTTCATTGTCTCGTGCTTGGATTGATGGTGTCAGTGCTCCACCCACATAGGGATGGAGCCAGGATGTGATGTAATGGCAGGAAGAAGGTGTGTCTTGCTCTTTGCTGGTTCCTGCTTGCTGTTTGCAGCCGCCATGAACTGTGGCCCAGCCATGCTCGCCTGTCTTGGAGCCAACTAAGTGTAGACTGAAACTCCAAAAACTGTAAGAAATAAACCTTTCCTTTCCCAACTTTGGGCTTCAAGTATTTTGTCTCAGCAATGATCATAAAGTAACTAAGACAGCTGGTGTCCTAAATTATGCCAAATTATTAATAATCAACTCTTAAGGAGTGTTGTGAGACTCAACAGAACGTGCAGAACACGTGGTGCAGTTCCTGGCTCCTGTGGATCTTTATAAAACAGCAAGACAGCTCTTAGCCCCCACTGACATTGCCCCTGAAAGTTCTCATGGTTCTAGAATATAATCCAAACTTCTCACACTGCTGTGCCAGGCTCTGTAGCTCTACCTGCTTCTTACTTTGCAGCTTCAAGCCCTTCACTAAATTCTGGTCACTCTGGCCTCTCCTCAAGTCTTGAGGTGCATCAATTTCATTCCTCAGGGTGTTTACATTCACTGCTCTACTGCCTGAAAGATCAGCCGCCTTGGAAAAGCCCCACCTATGACTAAATGAAGCTTTGGGGGACATCCAAACACAAGTCATACAGTCCCCCCACTACCAATTTAGATAAAGCTGATACAGCTGATACAGTAAAGGGCTCTCCTTGGGCAAGTCATCATTAGTTAGCGACCCTGATTCAGTAGCTCCATTTTGGTAGGATAAAGGCTGCCTATGGATTCTCTCTCTCTCTCTCTCTCTCTCTCTCTCTCTCTCTCTCTCTCTCTCTCTCTCGCTTTTGGAGTAGGGGTTTGCCCCAGGCAGAGAGGGCCTTAGGTGATTTGGCAAATAATTTTTTTTTTTTTAATCATTTTCTTTCCCCCGAGGGGAATGGTCCCTCCTGGAATGTGGAACTGAACTCCTCTGTCCCAGGCAATCGTGTTTTCTCTATAGTGACCTCAACTCTCAGTAATTCCCAGGGTTCTAGGGACAAAGTAAAGTCTCTATTCTTGCAGGAAGCAGTGTTAAAAAAAGAGAAAAAGCAACGGGAACCAGACTGCAGGGCTAGCATATCCTATCCTCATCCGAGATTATATTGATGTTTGTGTAAACTTCAGGATTTGGCGTTTGTTGACTTGTGAATTAATATTGTATCTTTTAGATAAGTTTTGTTTAATCACTCTGTTTAGGGTGGGAATCACCTCCAGTTTACTGATGAGGAAGCTGGGGTTGAAGGAGATTAAGAAACTTGTTTAAGTGGAAGAGCTAGGATTTGACTGTATGTTTCTTTGGTTTAAAAAACACACATTAGGCTCAACAATT